ACGGTTTTGTTGGGTTTTAGTGGGTAGTACTGGCTTTTCGAACCGGTGAGTCCCACATAACCACCTGTAGGCTGTATTTCTACAGGTGGTATGCGTAAATGCATTTCCCAATATAAAAAAAGCCCGCTATATAGCTCAAGCAGTCGCGATTTTTAATATATTATGTAACATAGTATATGTCCGTAAATACTTTAAAAAGAAACGGATCAGTTATGGATATACCTAATAGCTATTACTATTCATGAAGTGATATTTATTTCGCTTCACCAAGCGAGTCACAACGTGTTCGGACATGTCCATTACACGTTAAAGTGACCTTGATAATGTGGATGTACGGTTATGATTCCTCACGAACCTACTAGTTGAATATAACATAGGAGATAACGAACACATATATCATTAGAGTATTAGGGCTGACATAAGTTAGAAACATTCACCAAATCTTAATCACCTATACATACAATAAAACATATTATAACAAAAATAAAATTAATATTTTTAGAATTACTAATACAGAATACCCTAAAATAATATAGATAAATTCATTGTTAATTTAAAGTTTTTATAAATAATATTTACCTACTTAGGTGATTGCGTGTTATAAAAACAATAACATAGGTAGGTACAAATAAATATTGGTATGCAATGCAGATATGAGAGCGGAAGACTTATAGTCGAGCCAAAATCCGGGAAACCCGAAACGCGCAGTGCGAACAGATGGCAACCCTGCCTGATCACAGTTCACACAAGCGATTCTGTATTATGTTACCTACCGACCTAGCAAGCGACTTAACCAAATTTAAGTGATGCGTTACGATAAACATTAAACATTAATATTTGCACAAGTAATATTAAGGGCATTCATTAATTTTCTTAGCTCAGTTACTTAATATGTATGGATACAAGATTATTTGTCATATCATATACCTACATACTTTATAGGTTCAGTTTTGAAATGGACAGATCGACTTTTAAATTTTACGGAGATAAACAATTTTATTGTGGTTGACCTTGAACAATTTTAGATGTCAAATTACAGAGGAGATCTAGTATAGTTAGTAGTTATCCTGCCTGAATGCATCAGGCAAGGTTTTGTAGCTAGTTTAGTCACTGATTTATAGTGTTTCAGCTTTACTTGCATGTAATTTTGTTAATTTATTATTCATATATATTGATTTCTATATAAATTTTACCTACCAATTAGAGCAATTAAAATAAATTCCAGATGGTTGGTTCTTAATGAATTAGAAGAGACACATAACTTTTGTATATAGAGATAGTTAGCCAAAACAAACAAAGATTATTGAAATAAACATTTGTGAATGTAGCTTATTTTTTTCTACTTGAACCCGATCAATGGATTTGAGTAAAACTCATATCACAGACTCACATTATTCTTTATACTAAACTATAAATCTGCCGTGCAATTATATTACTATAATAATTTCGATGAATATAATATGGCTCTGAATAATAACATTGATCAATTTGTACAATATGGCCATTGACCGGCACACACATTAATATTATTTGTTAATTTAATGTTGCTCGTGTAAAAAATGCTAAAGAAAAACTTTTATTTTAAAACCACATTGAAAATGTGGAAGAAACTATTAGATATTAAATAATATATAAATAGTAAGAGTTTTCAAAATTTATTGTGTTCTTTAATTTGATATGTCTAAAGTACATATCTAAAGTCATTACAGGTTTAATTTAAAACTGATACAATCTACTAAGCAAATAGCATCACACTAAGTGTTTACAGCATTAGGGATATTCTTATATATATTACAATTATATGTCCTATTCATTTTCTCTTTGTATAAAATTTTGTACGTATAAAGTATATAGTTAACATTTTATGAAATGACTGGAAAAAGCATGAATAGAACTTTAGAACAGTAAGATCAATTATCAATTGAATTAGGTCCATTCATTTTACCTTACAAATAAGACTTAAAACAACTATGAGTACTTCTAAATGATATTTAAATAAACTTATTTGTTAGTTCTTTACCAAAAGATAGTTGAGTAATTGTAGAGTTTTTAGTAACTATAATAATTTTACTATAAGTATGTATAATAAAATAATTATTTATGATGTGTGGAGTTTATCATAATATGAACAGGTACTTATAACTTAAGAAAACGTAATGTAAAACTTACGGAGTCCGATTAGGGTAATTAGTATATTCCATGGTCAGTGCACGAATATTTATAAACATAATGGTGCAACGCTGCTAGTGCACTTATGTAGTGTAATCAGCTGATAAGCGCGATATGGACGCGGGCGACGTACGTAGGCAGGTTGCATACGATAGGCGCATGCTTAGATTCGAACCGAAATCAATTAGCCCGCACTTGTATTACACGGCTCCACGTCGAGTTGGCGCGTGCACCTCTATGCCTATGACTAATGATGGACGTGCCGTGTGTACGGAACCGCCACCACGGCTGCGCCACACGATACACAAAATCGAATACCATTACTTATTCACTGATGCAAGATTGCTGTCGGGTGCAGCCTACATGCGCAGACAACGTTTAGTTATGCACGCTCCCACCGACTGCTCAACTTACCGTCGCTTTCCATTGTGGCGAGCACGACGCACAGTGTAAACAACTAAACCACATAATAAAACAAAATGGAAGTCCGATTCGCCCGCACTGAGATGAGAAATTTTATGAGCGCTCGAACGACACTTCTCCAGTTGTAAAACGTTGTTACTATCCTATCGTAGTATTTTAGCAGCCCCCCACCAATTTATTATCGGCCCTCACTGCACATAAATCTTTCACGATCACAAAGAAATATGTCCACCACGATGCAGAAATACCACGATCAACATAGATAAATAGGAATTTGCACGAATTATCACGTCCACTTAAAAATAATAATCATCGAAGCGTTTGACAATCCGAGACAAAACACCCACACCAAAAAATTCTACATGGCGACTGGCCTGGCCTGGCCCATAATAATTTCCACTCGAACGTATTCCTATTTCGCTCGTTCACCATTCATTTAATTATTTCTCAATACGAGCGAGAGGGACAGAAATATATAAATATTTCCTATGTATGAATAGAATCGGTGTTGTGAAGTGTCCCTCCCCGGCGCTGCCCGAAACCGAGTTGAATGGACCCGAGACGCGCTCAACCATTGGATCGATGACGGTCACGTGACATAAATATGTCGCGCGGCACTTGTGTGCCCGCGAACATTTGAAATTGCGTTATTAGGCGATTGCTATACATGCCTCGGCATTTTCCTATTATTGTTATTAATATGAATAAGGAAGAATATTCACATTAAAATAAAAAAATACATATGTATGACATATATTTTACACATAACTAATATGAAAAATAAACAATTCATTAATAGTTATTACGTTGTTAAAATTGATATTTAAATATGTTTTTACAATTTAAATGTTATATGAATATATTAACTGATAGTTCATCTCATCTTTCTTACTCTTAATAATAATTATTCTATTGTTTCCTTTCAATAAATAGGCTAGACATCGCCGCTTCTCGTGTTTTATGATAAGCTCCCAAAATGTCGATTTGCCTAAAAAGTTAAAAGATGTCATAATTAATCAAGCCAAATTACCGCCAGTTATCGATATACTAATATTGTTATCGATATACTATATTCATGAACGAATTAGCGAAAATTCGATCATGACTATAATATACGAATATTGTTTTAGTAGGTATTCTCATTAAAAATTATGCTTCCTCCTTACAAAATCCTTTAAATTTCTAAGACTCTCCAGAAGCAGCTCCAGAAGCAGAAAGAGCACAATGTTTTCCATTGTAGTTAAAAAAGAAATAGGATTTTTATTATTTTTTTCTTTTCTCGTGTATATAACATACAAAAATCGTTAATGATTAAACGTATTTTCTTATTATTATTGTCATAGAAAACTATTATTATATAATAAAAATAAGTAAATATTTCAGTGTATATGTATGTATTCAACCCTTTTTAACGTCTCACTGCTGGGCACGGGCCTCACTTCAATACGAAGGAGATCGGGCTATAGTCCCCCACGCTGGCCAAGTGCGGGTTAGCGGACTTCACGTGTCTTTCGAAAACTTGCTAGGTTCTCTCATACATGCAGGTTTCCTCACGATCTTTTCCTTCACCGTAAGGCAAGTTGTAATCATGTTGTAAATGATTCGCACATGGAAATATCGGAGGCGTGAGACACGGGATTTGAACCTTGAGTTCGTTACCAATGAGCTACTACTTCCTATGTAATATTATAGTAGATGTATATGTATAATAGATATAAACTAGTCCATACTTATAAGAAATACTTTAATAATTATGTTAAGTAAAATGTAATTGATTTTAAGTGTTTAAGTAGGTTTTCCACACACACTTAATGAAACAATGTTTATGTATTACTTTAAATCAATTTTATTTCTCTATTAAATAAAACCAAGGCACAAATTACTTTTATAGTTAACATAATTTCTTAATTGTTATTCAATATTACAGCATTCTGATTTTGTGTTTGGTTATAGCTTTAAAAGTGCTTCTAATTTATATTGATATAAAGGAATTTTAATAAAACTATGCTACTGGTTTTAAATAATTATATTTATTGTGTATGAAAATATATCCTACTTACTTAAAATTAAGTAATGACTATTATACTTAATTTCCATAGGTGAAGCAAGAATTCTAATTTACTAGAATACTGTCAAAATTATAAACATAATAAGTAGAGGAATGACATGAATAATGTGATAGATTTTTAAAATATTTTCCATTATAGTTAAGAATACATTATTTTCTCAGAATAATATGTGCATTGTACAATCAAAAGCTGTATTTATATTCAAAAAAAATATGTAATATCTATTACTCTATGGAAGCAAGGCTCTTTTGAATTCAATGTTTTGCATTATATTATGTGCTTAGACATTGTTTAAACAGATCAATGTTTATTAAATTAAAATAATTTTATAAAATATTATATGCCAAGACCAAAAACAGAGACAATGCAGTACATGGTTTTGTTCTCCCAGCGGACTGTGCATGAGCCATCAGTATTGTTATCCCAAAAACAAGAAGAAGCTGTATGTAGACCTGCTCCATTCTTTTGCATTATTGTGCATGTAACTGTAATAAAATAAAGATGTATTTCATAGTATGTAATGTAAAAATTTAAATTGCTCTTGGTATTACTTATGAAATATTTATTGTAGGTTACACTAAAACACATAATTTTAGATGTAAAGTATATTATGTCATTACAGAGTTTGACATAGTAAATATGATTAGCAGTTCATTGGTGAAGTACTCTGTACTCAACAGGCACGCCTTAAAGCCATTCACAGGAAAATTTAAATGATTAGCAGTTTAAATCAATTTTTATTAATTTAAAATGCTAATCATTTGCATTTTGTATTAATTGTAATTTTCACAAATATATTAAAGTTGTTTAATTTGTGGCATGAAGTTATATTAACTTCTTATCAAATTCTTTTTATAATTATTCAGAGAAAAATGTTTGATAGTGTCCCGAAATACGAAGCTTTCAATACCCGTTGTTCTCAGTAAAAAATTTAAACCCACCTATATATTTATATGGCTTTTGAAGTTTCGTAAGTTGTCCTAAACAAGATTCTACTACAGCAGAAGTCCATTGATTCACTTTATTGTGTTGATATGCTGTGCCTCCGATGGAATTTTCGATTGCTTCTTTAATTATTTTACTCACATCGTCTACAATGAATTGATTCTGAAACACGTCATGTCAAGTAAATAACAATCAATATAAAGTTAGTAAAACAATAGCTTAGAATTTATAAGTACTTCTTCTGTTAAATCGTTACATTCTTTTACTTCCATGATTAAAATTTATTTATTTCACAGTTGAGTAGGATTCTAGAAATTATAAAAAAACAATAAAATTTGACGCTATGGCTAACTCTCAAACTATATGACAGTTACTGAGTTAAGTGTTAACTTTAAAATGAAAAATATTTTCTTAAGTGGCAAACTTTAAACAAAATTTATCATTTTTTATTAATGTATTAAGTTTTTTTATTAATTTTTATTTATTATAATCAAGTAAAATTTTATTAAAAATCGATTTTAAAAATGTATTTTCAATGATATGTATTTTTTGAATGTAGTAATATCTCAATTATAAAGCAACCCTAAAATTTTTTGAATTTAAGCTTAACTTCTTCGCATCCTGAAGAATTGCTTCCCAGCAGTAAATTAAAAATGATTAGTAGATACGAGTAAATTCAAAATGATTGAATTAATATAGATTTTAATAATGTATTAGGTAAGTATAATTTCTATTTTATTGTTCCAGAAAAAAGTGATAGAATTTACTAAACTGGCAATATATATTCCATTGTTTAGTTTGCAATGTTGATTCCTGGCAATACATATTAAAACTTTCATAATTCATTTTAGGTTGTCATTTATTTCAAGTTGAGGATGAATATTTTCATAATAAATTGTCATTAATGGCTTCGTCAATGCAAAATAATAGAGTTTCTCCACCAGGCTATTGCGTATGTTGCAGAACGTGCAAGATGTGGTGCTGGAGAGCCTTTAAATGGCTTCCAGTATTAGTAATTGTGTCGGTCGTGACATGGTCTTATTATGCCTACGTTATACAGTTGTGCATTTGTGAGTAACTAAATCAGTTGTAAGTAAATGATATTTAATATATTGAATAAATTTATTGTTTGAAATTTCAGTCACCATTGAAAGTACAGTGCAACAGTGTATATATCTCGTGCTCTATCACATTTTGCTGATAATGTTTGCATGGTCCTATTGGCGGACAATTTTTGCTGATATCAAACCTATTCCTGACAAGGTAAGAATGGAAATTGAAATAAAACTTAATAGTACATTAACACAATATATAATGGTTATCTTATATTTTTACTATACTTGTTTGAGAAAAATACAGCAAACGAATTTTATTAAATTAGTACTATTATTAGTAAATGCATAATATTAAAAAATGCTTAAATATTTCTTATTACATTTACACATTAATACTACAATTATACTATTATAATATTCAATAGTTATGTATTACTACTTCTTAAATGTTTACCTATTGGTAACTTAACTGAATTATAGGTAATATAATTTAAAGAAATTTTTATAAAATAATAAAATAAAAAAAAATAAAAAATAATATATAATTGTTAAAAAATGTAGTTTACCCTAAATATCTCAATCACCTTGCTTGAAAAAAAGCAGAAATAGACACTATTGTATGTATATGAATTATTGTACAAACTTTTTAATTTATAATATGTGTGTGAACATAATAAAAAATAATAAATTATTAAAAATGTTTCATAAAATTTGAACAAATTCTTTTTCCCTAATTTCAGTATAAATTGCCAGAGGCAGAACTGGAAAAGTTGTTAAGTGCAGAAACAGAAGATGCTCAGAGGACAATTTTAGAGAATTTTGCAAAAGATCTCCCAATAGTGACTAGGTATGTAATCAAAAAAGTAATTTACATATTACATATAAACATAATATCCTATTTCTTTTTTGCTATTTTAAAATTTAACTTTTAAGATAAGTATGTTGGGACTTTAACACATCGCACCATCTAGTTCCATGGTAAGCTACGAGGCTTGTGTTATGGATACCAGATAGTTGATACATTACACATATATAACTTAACTTTAAATAAATACATATTATAAATATAAACTCCCATGACTAGAGTACAAACAATTGTGGTCATCACACGAATGCATGTCCCCAGCAGGACTCAAACCCATGACCACTGGCACAGCAAGTAGGGTCACTACAAAATGAGCCAAACAAAAAATAATTATATTTATTTTTGTATATGAAAGCAGCATTACATCTTGAGCAAAATTATTTTGTGTGATGATGTGACCCACACAGTGGGAAGCCCTCAACATATATAGGTAGAATACAAGCACTATTAAAATATTTTATATTAACATCATTCCTATTTTATATATTATTATATAGTTGTAGTTGTGGTTATTGTTATATAATATATTATATTGTTTATAATTTTTATGAAGGTATTTATAACATTTTTCACTATTGTAAGTTTTATATTAAATTTCTTAATCCTAGACTCAAACTTACTATAAGAAAGTACAGCAAGCGTTTCTTTAAGACGGAAAGCAAAAAAGAGATTATAGAAAACTTTGCTAGTACATTAGCAGTTTTAACAAGGTTTGTTTTATTTTCAAAATCATTTTTGCAATGGCAGAACAGTACAGTAATTGTAAAGTATGTGAAGTTAATTACATAATAGATGTGTATTAACAAAAATAATTATAAATAATTTTTATATTCCTTAGTAGCTATACTTTCCTAAATTTGTTAAATAAAATATAATTTGAACATAATTTTATAACAGAAGAGGAAATATTAATAAAAATATATGATTTTAATGTGCTTCCTAAACATAGTAATGCCATATCTATGTTACTTTCTAAAGATAACAGATACATTACACATATACATAGAACATATTTGGTAAACCACATCATGCGTTGAATTTATAAGTAAAGAATAGAGTTGCACATTAACCTTGTTTTATTTTAGGTCACATAAAATTAGTTATGCCTTTGAAGTTATGAATGGCCACTCATAACAATATTGTAAGGTCAAGGCTGCAAGTTTTTTACATAATTTAAAAAGTTGTTAGTTAATACAGACTATTATGACTGACTAATTTCTTACTTCAAAACACATCGATATTTGGATATAAAACAAAAATATGATCGAATCATATGTATGGATATGAGAGAAAAAAAAAACAAAATACAGCTTCCAACTTACTCAAATGAACTAGCAATTGATTAGTCATCTTTAAAATGGCTCAGAAACGTGAGACTAGGGCACAAATGCCCTAAAATAATACATACCCACGCCAATTGCTTATATTTTTTTTTTAATATTCTCTAAATATACCATATGCCAGTTCTTTGTGTCGCATCAAATTCATACAGTCAATAAATATTAAATAATATTATAAATGTGAAAGTGTGTTTGTTTGTCTGTCTGTCCTTCTTTCACGTGGAAACAGAGTGACGGATTGGAGTATTTTTTGTGTGGAGTTAGTTGGAGGGCTGGAGAGTGACATAAGCTTTTTACTGCGGGAAATTATCTCATTCCCACGGGAAAATACGTTATAATACAACCAAAAAAATATTTATGATCAGAATTACCTGAAACTTGGTATATGTATAGCTCTTCAATGCAATAAAATAAATACGTGTTTTAGCATTTTTCGAAATTCATCCCGTTTCGAATGCTTTACAGCAATCATGGTCACGGGAGAGGAGAGACTCTCCCGTGACCATGATTGCTGTAAAGCATTCGAAACGTCGGGAAACAAAAATGCAAATAAATCCGCGACAAAATCCGAAAAGATAGTTTTATTTAAAAAGTGGTAATCATGTTGGAAAATGATTCGCATATAAAAATATCAGATGTCGAGATCCGGGATTTGAACTTGCTACACTCGGTTTCGAGTTAACCACCGGGCTACCACTGCCACTACCACTACCTACGTATAGTAGTCTGATTAAACAGTGTGAAACATTTTTCAGGACAATGTCAGGTTCGGTCCGCTACTGCAACCGCTGTGTGCTTGTGAAGCCGGACCGGGCGCACCACTGCAGCATCTGCTCGAGATGCGTGCTCAAGATGGACCACCACTGCCCTTGGGTCAACAATTGCGTCTGCTACTACAATTACAAGTTCTTCATGCTTTTCCTCGGCTATGCACTCTTCTACTGTCTGTTCATCATGTCGACGTGTCTGCCTTACTTCATTAGATTTTGGAAGGTAGTTCGATTTCGCACTCGACTTTGCATGTTTTATGCATACTGTTATTTTTATTATGTTCACATAGTATTTTGTATTATGTTTATGAATTATAAACTTCGCATAATTTACTGCGTTATGTTCTATAGTACATACATAAAAACCACTGAGCGAGATTTAATTCTAATTTATTTTAATACTGTTTAACTGCTAAATAGTGTTATTATAACAAAAAGAACTAGATTATTTATTATCACAATCAACTCAAATACTCATAAGATAAATACTTTCTTATCTCTATACTCGTTATCATCGTCATTTTCACCACTTTCTCACATTTTTACACATTGGCCCTGTCTTACAGATGTTTCTGGAATACAAGCATGCCCACGGCGATGATTTGCTTGACAGCGGCTCGTTTTCTAAACAATGCATCGAGATTATAAACGTAACTCCCATTTCCTAAAGTCGGTTCACATTTGCGCTTAGGGATCGTTTCACGCGATAGTAAATAGAACAGTTGAACAGGTCATCTTTAATAGTGTTGAATTGATTAGATTAGTTCAAAGTACAGAAACATACAAATCAAGGCCTAAGTTTCTCAACCTGACTATATACATTATAAATATAACCCTTTTATATAAAAGAAATATATATCCAAAAACAAATATATATACGATCTATGTAAATCTTAATATGATCTTTTAAATAACGGGAAAAAATAATATACTAGCATTAGTCCGCGGCTCGGCTCGCGCTAAAATAACATTTTTTATATACTACCCCTTTTTCCCCTTAGTGTAGTTGAATTTCCAAAAATCCTTATCTATACCTACTATCTATAAGGTATCTCCTGGACCAATTTCAAGGTAGCACTTACTAAGATTTATTTATCTATGAGTGTTATTTTGCATAGATAATAAATTCAAGTTGATAACGATTTATTAGCTATGATTACGGCATTGCCAAAATTAAATGTTTCATCCGGTACGAGTAATATAGACATTATCAGATAGTCCGATAACATTGTGTAACCACTCTCATAAGCTTTATAGTATGATTCAACGTTGTGGCATTTCCTTATATATAGTTCCACATTGTTTTGAATGGCTCTCGATATCGCAGTGGGAATGTTTTTATTAATTATATCTCGTTAGAATATTTAGTTTAGAATTCGAACACTGTGGAACGTTTTCATCGTTAAATACTCGTATATATGTTTGTGTATTTATAAAATTTAGAATTTAATATGTAACAAGTATTTTCTTACATCAGAATATTATGTATTTTAATTTTTAGAGGTACTATTAAATATTATTGTTTACTTATAGTACACATTTTTTTTTAATTTTAGAGTAGTCTCAATTTCGTATGCCTCTTTAGGAAATTAATCTGAAACATATTTATTGTTATAACGTTTTTTTTTTCTACTAATTTCGTTTAATTTTTAAACTTTGACAATGACAATAAAATAATTCGATACTATCGAACTGATCTGCTGATGTCAGTCAATAGATCTAGTCTTAATGCTTATTTGTTTAAACCATCAGTACTTGTTGTACTTTGCAGTCGAGAGCTTTCTTACTCATTTATTTTAATAAGCTTTATTTCTACGATTTTGTATACATATATAAATAATATAATTTAATAATTAAAATATACAGTTTTTCGGATGTTGTAAAGTATAAGGTGTATTTTATTCCAATATGATTAACATTCATAATTCTGTATTAATAAAAACTCTTTCGCTAAATCGGTGGTTTAGACAAATAAGCAGTGAGACGAGATGATAGTGGACTTCTTTAATGACTACTAGTAAAATCTTCGAGTTTGGGTGATTTATTTTAACAGGACCCAAACATTAAAACTGTTATAAAAGAGCTGTTATTGGGTTTATTAATGTTATAATATATTATTATTGTATACAGGGTGATTTCGGCACGGCGGGCAGTGCCGGGCGCTATCACATAGTGTTTGCTTTCTTCGTAGCACTAATGTTCGCGATCTCGCTCGGCTCGCTCTTCGGCTACCACTGCTACCTCGTCGCTAACAATAGGACTACTTTAGGTATGCTTTGGCTTGTCATTGTACTTTTTAGGTGTTTTGATTGTTGTGGAGGGGAAAAGTAACGTGTTAATAGATAATTTGAGTTTTATCCTATTATGTTTTGATTGTTTTGACGACCATATTGATATAAAACTCTCGAAAATTAAAATTAAATCTCGCTTTTCTATCATACTAATTGATAATAATACAAGGTTTTAAATGGCTATGTAATAGTAAATTTATTATTTAAGTTTGGGATTTCCTGGAACGAAAATGTGAAGACTGCAAACTAAAAGTTGTTCAAATTAACAAACAAAAAAAAAAAACGAAATATTTGTACATATAAAAATATTTTTGGATTCGATTTAAATATCTAATAGAATCATAAGTATGATATATTTACACGTAAGTATTTAAGCGTTACCACGTACATGAGTGTATAGCATAAAATAATCGTTTGTTTGTATAATTCATGTTAGAAATAGAATGCCTTTATTTATGTTAATTAACAAGGATATTAATTATTATTTATGAAAGTGACTGCAATTATTCTATTTAATTAATGTAAATTATGCAAATGTAATTTTTTTACCGACTTCAAAATGGAGGAAGAATCCATTTTCCTGTTAGTTTTTGTTAAGAGACCACAAAAGTTTTTTTTTTACAAGTTAAAGAGTGCTTGTATCAATAGTATATATAGTGTACAAGCGCAAGAAGTCAAACCTCTATAGATTATCGGTACTTTTTATGAAATTTAAGTTATGTTATAAATAAGTAGGATACGAGAGATACTAAAAAAATGTTTTTGTCGATTTAAAGAGGAAAATAATATTTTATTATTCGCATAGTACAGATATTAAATTAAAATTTAATTTTCAATCAACTGTTGTAATTCATCCATAAATTATATACTCCAATAAAATAAATAATAATAATGCAGGGATGCAAATTTTTGTGAGAATTTCTTTTTTAACAATATTCATTTGGCAGCAAATCTAGTGCTATTTATAAAAAATCCGACAAGTGCGAGTCTGACTTGCTCACCGCGGGTTCCTTAGCAGGAAACATTAATATAAGTTTATATTTGCATTTTTTTTGTTATGTGGTGTACTTAAATATAAATGCTTTTGGATTTTTCTTTACTTGTGCTATAAGACATTGCTTGTTATGATTCTAGGTCAACGAGTTGATACCTCCCGCGTTTCTAAGAAAATGGGTCTTGACAGACAGACAGATAGATAGACAGACAGACAGACGGACAGCGAAGTGATCCTATAAGGGTTCCATTTTTCTTCTGAAATACGGAACCATAAAAAGAGCATATAATTATGTACTAGTATTGCCCGCGGCTCCGCCCGCATTCAGATGACCAATAACCAAATTCTTAGGTTTTACATATTAGTATACTCTTACATTGCAGTTTTTGTATTTTTTCTCAGAAATGAGATATTTTCCCGCGGTAAAAAGTATCCTATATGTTGACCCGGATAACTAGCTATCACCATACCAAATTTCATCAAAATCGCTCCAGTTGTTTTTCTATGATGCGGTAACAGACAGTCAAAAAATGCAAAAGTGTACAAGCGCAGCGGCCTCTGTATCGATAGTAATGTTTATTTCAATAAGATTTTCCAAAAAATATTTAATGTACAGATTCGGCTTAGTTACACTTTTATTATATGTATAGTTTATAGTATAATTTAAGTTTGTTTTCAGATATGCTGGTATCGTACCGCCGCTCGGGCAGTCCGACCGGTCAGATATTAAAGACTATGCTTAAAACCATGCTTGATGGTAAAATATAATTGCAGTGACTTTCGCACTACTATCACTTATCACGTAAATTCTAGTGTAGCGAAGTATGTAATAAATTATTATATCTATATACATATGTATGTGTCGGTATATGTATAAAATATTGATTATTGTATTTACGCTTGGAATATATGTATAGGCTCTAGATGTATATTTTACAAGTAGGTATTATTAGATGTATAGTTTATTAAACACGTTGTTATGTATTTAAATAAGAATCTGGGCGTAGGCGCTCGTTTAGTAAGTACCAACACAGTGCAAGTACTACAAAAATTTACGAGATAATGCTATATGACGTTATGAGCATGAGAGCACATGAAAAAGGCTCTCGGTTTTTTTTTTGTGAAAAATTGCGTTTTTTTCTGAAATAACACCTAATAATAGGTAAACTTAAAAAGCAAAACCTTACTTTAATACAAAATTTGATCCATATAGTTACGTGAAAATTTCTCGCTATTGCTCATAAGGTTACTACTTATCGCGTTTATTCGACCTAAAAAGGAAAAGGAAACTCACAAGCTATCTATTAATTGTAGATTACAATTTCGTATTCCTTTTTAATAAATTCCATGACAAGACGCAAAAAGAGTAATGTTTTTAAGCGGCTGCACTCCCCCTCACTTAAAGTGCATCTCACAAATATACGAGGATTGCACACAAATCTCTCATCAGTCCACTTCCACCTCGAGACTGCGCAGCCACACATGCTCTTTTTGACGGAGACGCAGATTCAATGTCCATTGAGCGCTGCGTACCTGGACTATCCCGGCTACACGTTGGAGCATAATTTCAGCTCACGGGCCGGAGTCTGTTTGTACATGCGAAATGACCTCTGTTTCCAGCGTCTCCGCCACCTTGAAGACCACACATTCTCTACAATCTGGATTATCGTAGATATAGGAATCGAAAAGATCCTGTATTGCTGTGTCTACCGATCGCACACAGGTGACCAGGAGACAACTCGATTGTTTGAAACCGCGCAGCTTGTCTTTCTGGGGGACTTCAACGCCCATCATGAAGATTGGCTGTTCCCATACCAGAAGACGGACCATGCTGGGAGAGAAGCGTGGAAGTTTGCGGTGTCACTTGGACTATCCCAATTGGTTGAACAAGCGACGAGGGTACCCGATGTAGACGGCCACTCAGCTAATTGTCTGGACCTTCTGCTGACAACTGATCCAGACAGATACAACATCCAGGTTTCATCCCCATTGGGTAGCTCTGACCACTGTCTGGTAAAAACTGTATCGTCTTACTCTCCACCAGATAACGACTCTACTGGTGTTAGACGAGTATGGCAATACAAGTCAGCAGATTGGGATGAGATGCGACACTTTTTTGCATCTTTTCCTTGGCGGCAGGTCTGCTTCTCTTCTTCCAATCCGTCGAGCTGTGCGGATGCTATAACTGATGTGGTGCATCAAGCGATGGAATATTTTATCCCGTTCTCTGATGTACCCGTTGGTGGCAAAGCTCGCCCATGGTTTAATGCCGAATGCACCATTGCTGAAAAGCGTAAGCAATCGGCTTACCTTGCCTGGGTTGATGCTCGAGACCGCAAAGCTCCGAATGTAAGATCCAAGAAGAGAGCCTTTAACTTGGCCGCTAAGTCCTACAAAAAGACATTAAAGAAGGCTCGTCTTGACCGAACTACACATCTTGGCGCAAAGCTCTGTGCCCAACCATCTGGCAGCAGAGCTTTTTGGTCCCTTGCCAAAGCGGTCGAGACGAACTTCTCTCGGCCCTCACTGCCACCGCTGGTAAAATCTGACGGATCCCTGGCTCATACGGCAGAGGAAAAGGCGACTTTGCTTGCCTCTCTTTTTGCCCAAAATTCATGTCTAGACTCTGGCAATGCCATTCCACCACATCTACCTCACTGCGGGATCTCAATGCCTGAAATCTGCATAACTAATAAGGAGGTAAAGAGAGTATTGTGTAGTCTAGATGTGAATAAAGCCAGTGGTCCTGATGGTATACCAGCGATAGTGCTTAAAACTTGTGCTCCCGAGTTGTCTCCGATACTGACACGTCTGTACCGCCTTTCTCTTAAGACTGGAATAGTACCTAAATCCTGGAAGCTTGCCAACGTGCAACCAGTGCCCAAGAAAGGAAGCCGTGCTGACCCTACCAATTATCGTCCAATCTCAATCACCTCCATACTCTGCAAGATTATGGAGCGTGTATTGAATACACGTCTTATGGCATACCTAGAACAAAACGACCTCCTCAGTGATCGACAATATGGGTTTCGCCGGAACCGGTCAACTGGGGACCTTCTAGTGTGCGCCAATCACATCTTTGGCGAAGCTCTTGAGCGAAGCGGGGAGGCGATTGCCGTCTCCCTCGATGTCTCAAAGGCCTTTGATAGGGTCTGGCACGATAGCCTTATAAGCAAGCTTGCAGCCTATGGCATATCTCCTGGCCTGATCCGCTGGATTAAAGACTTCCTGAGCGACCGATCACTCAGAGTTGTGGTCGAGGGTTGTTCATCACAACCCTTAAAGACCAACTCAGGAGTTCCTCAGGGGTCTGTTCTCTCTGCAACCTTGTTCGTGCTGCATATCAACGATCTGCTTATACCCGGTATCTATGGGTACGCAGACGACAGCACTATTGTAGAGAGATACCTGCCAAATCCTCGGGCCAGTAGAGATCAAATTCAGTCCGAAAGAGAGGCCATGGTAGAGCGGTTGAATCTCACACTCAGGACAGTCTCCACTTGGGGTGATGCCAATCTTGTGAGTTTCAACGCCACCAAAACACAGGCGTGCCTGTTCACATCAAAAAGGAGTCCTTTTACCTTGACCCCTACTTTCCGGAATGTGCCTCTGGAATACACTGACCGTCTGCAGTTGTTGGGCATGGACATTCGCCCCAATATGAACTACGGGCGGTTCATTGAGTCTAAGGCTAATGTCGCAGCGAGGAAAGTTGGCATACTAGCAAAGGTTCGACAGTATTTCACACCGGGACAGCTTCTTGTTTTATATAAAGCTCAAGTCCGGTCGTGTGTGGAATACTGTAGTCACATTTGGGCTGGTGCTGCGAAGTGCCATCTGTCAGCCTTAGACTCAATTGAGAGGCGTGCTCTCAGGCTTATTGGTGACCCTACGCTGGTAAAAGCTAACTTACAAAGCCTCGATCACCGACGTAGGGTTGCCAGCCTTTGTGTGTTCTATAGGTTACATTTCGGAGAGTGTGTGCAGGAACTACACAGCTTGATTCCTCCATCTCCTTTCTACCATCGGACAACCCGACGAACGGCTGGTCTCCATCCTTATGTCGTGGACATTCCACCCGTCCGGACGAAGCGTTTCGCTACGTCATTCATTATACGTGCGGCTAAGGATTGGAACAACCTGCCGGCGTCGGTGTTTCCGTCCGATTACAACATGGGTGTCTTCAAGGCAAGAGTGAATAGGTGGCTACTGAATTAGTGCGACTTACCATCTACGACTGCGTTACCACTTACCATCAGGTGGAACGTAGTCAAGCACTAATTCAGAATACTATAAAAAAAAAAAAAAAAATTAGAAAAATAAAACGCCCTTTCTGAAAATTTCAGTTATTTCGATATCTAGAGACACACCCGAGACAAGCGAGTAATCCCTATTAAAAAACTCCAATAGGATCTCATCAAAACCGACAAAAGCCACATAGAAACCAATAAATATTCATTGGTTTCTATGTGGCTTTCGTCGCTCTTCATGAGATCCTATTGGAGTTTTTTTTAATAGGGATAGTTTCTAATGTTACATACGTATAATTACAGATTACGCCACGCACCCTTATTAAAAAAAAAAACAGTTTTATATCAAAAAAATCTCATATTTGGTCTATTTTCTCATATTTGACACAATAGAAGCGTTCCGAGCGCCGATGTTCCGTGGCGGTGCCGACAAGAATGGCTTCTCTCTCGGCGCCTTCAACAACTTTAAAGAGGTATTCGGCAACAGCCCCAACCTATGGATAGTACCTGTGTTTACGAGGTAAATTGTCTTTGTTTTTATTTATTAATGTTTAAACGATCTATATGTTCAATGTTTTCGTGAATTTCTTGTTCTATTATCATCGAAAGTTGTGATGATAATGTAAAGCTGTGAACGTAAACCGTGAAACGATTTAGGAAAGATACATACATATGTATATATATATATATATATGTATATATATATACATATATATAACTCTATATATATATATATATATATATGTATTTCGTATGGAGCATCGATTTTATATTATTTAACATATAGGATGTGCGATATTAACACTAAATTAAAGTAGATATAACCGAATGTGTAAACATGCATGTGTTTCAACTGGAAAGTCGTCGTTACATGTTGGTTTAACACGTGCATGTTGGGAGTGTGGAAAAAGAAGTGAATGACAACCTAACTGTGTTTATAATTCAACATTACAGCTGTTAAATTACAGAATGTACACAACTAACAGAGTTTGTGATAACGGAGTTTAAAATACCCCCCCCCTTTTTTAAATACGTTTAAAATTATTATTAATAATATTTATTTATTAATAGATTAGTGCGTTTTCAAGTGTTTTGTTATCTCAGATATTTATAATAAGTCATAATTGCTATCTTTTCACCATCTTGTCGCTATATAGTCACATAATTAGTATTAACTGCATTCGCTATTACGCATTATTAATACATTCACACCTCGTCTACATATAGTTTTATGTATATATTTATGTACTTGTCATATTATGTAAGAATCCTTTTATTTCCTTGTATATAATAGATTGAAAATGGCGCGGGATTATGTGCTCAAATATATAAAAAAAATCATGCTAATTAAGCATGTACAGCATGATACTACTAATATCATATTAATTGATATTCAATATGGCGGTATTAACACGGTAATATTACATACAGTATTCCATCTTCATACAAACGGTCGGAAATCGAGCTATACCTACGCGCGTCGCGTTCGGTATACACTCGGTAGACAACCGTGCGGGGCTGTCACATCGTATAATTGGATACGAAAATTGTATAAGGTGGATATGATAAGTAACTTTTATAATTTAATACAAAAATAAACATTTTATTCCTCCCGTAACTTCGCTAATGTCAAACAAAAAAGTATCGAGACATGCATCGTATGTTTTAAAAATAAAAATGAATAATAAAAATTAAAGTATTTAAAATTAAACTTTTTATCCGAATACGGATTATTTATGCTATTAAATTTAACAATAAAGCTTTTCGTACGTCTCAGTCGAGGCGCAAATATTTTTAAATCTCAAATTTATAAGGGTCACATACTACCCTTATAAATTTGAATTTTTTTAATTAAATCTACTACGTTTTTAATACTACTTTTTTAATAAAAAATATAATATTTGAAATAACAAAATTAGAAAGAAACTCAAGTAGGTAGATGAAATTAAAATACTGGCCGGCGGGCACTCGGGCAGCCCTGTCGCGTGGGTACTGTATGCATTACATTACCGTGGTATTAATATTAATAAAAAACGTAAATATAAAAACCATTTTTTGTGCGATCTAATTTGGTAGATAGCTACAACTAAAAAGTCGCTACGTCAAAACAGTTTGACCGATGTCATTAAGATTTTTTATTTAGAATCTTTTTAAATTTTTTTTTTTAATTTTAATCATCAGAGTTTTTTTACATAAAACCAAATAGCACAGTGGCTGTGGACTAATAATTATAACTTTTATTTCTTTATTTTCACTTTTATGGGTGGAATGATGCGAGACCACTCCTTTTATTTAAAAAAAAGAATCATTGAAATCGGCTCAATATTAATGAAAGTATCGCATAGATAAAAAACCATGCTCATAGACCGACTATTGAATTGAGTTCCTTTTTTGAAATCAGCCAAAACAAAATACAGCTAGCTAGTAATTAAAAAAAAAGTGTGGGTGAATATATTCCACGCTACGCTAGCGATTAAAGTTTTTTTGTATCACATGGTACCTACATGTTAGGGGCTAACAGGTAGATTTAAAGTTATGGAATAATAAACGAATAAGTGAGAGTGGGAGAAAAATATTCCGCGCCAATGCAAAGGTTGTAAGGTCCACATGTTGCCAGCGCCGGCGACGGGTGCGTATACCCGGCGCGCCGCGAGCACCAGCTGCAGACGTTCGCGCCGCACGACGCGCGCTACCACTCTATGGGCACCACGCGCTCCAGGTCAGACCACGACCCGCCCCCGCACATACCTTGACACCTTCTAGACACGTCTAGAAACTTCCACGGATGCTCATTTGTTTGTACCATGTTCGATCGCTATTTGTTTTTTGTACGGCTTAGTTTTTTCAGTGGTGTGCTCCGTATAGGAAGGTTCTCTTTTTGGTTTTGTATGAAATCGAGCGTTTTGTTATACTTATCTGTATATTAGATGAAATAGATTTGCACCGTATGCTGAATTTTAATGGAATCGTTTTTTTTTTCGCTTTGTAAAACCAATCGATACAGTAAATTGTATAATTTTAATAATCGAAACATTCCAAAGAATAATTATTTCATAATCGAAACGTGTAGTTTTTATTTTTAATTTTGTCAATTGTCATGTTGGCACTGAAGCACTGTATCTTTACCGAGTTAAACACCATTTTTTTTATAATAATTATGTAGCCTAAATATTTTTACTTGTGGCATGTATACGATATATTATTAAGTTGGCAATATATTATTATAAATCTACTATTTAAATACGTTATTCGTAATATAGTAAAAAAAATATGTAATTATTATAATCTATCATATTCTTAACATGACAATTGAAATTGGCCGTCAAATTCATGGTTCTTGGCTGTCAGATACTTAGAAGCTTTATAATTTATTTCACAGCTGAATGGTACCATTTAACTTGCCAGAAATGTGCCAAATTTAACAATATACAATTAATTTGAATTTATTTGTAGTTTAGTTAAATTTTAAATACTTATAACCATTTATGTACTCCAATAATTGTTTTCTTTAAATTATAATTATAGCTTATGGCAGATTGTTATTATGCCTCATGATTTTCCTGAATACTTTGCAGATTTGAAATTATATTTGTCAATTGTGATTTAAATTACAACTCTTAGTTGTACTAGCTTTAAAATATTTAGGTATTTTAAGTCGTTAATGTAACATATACATACATACGTAACGAACTAGTGGTCAAGATATGTGCGGGAGGTTGGTTGAACAGGAATCGATTATGGACGAATTTCTAAAAAAATATATTATTATGTATATGCAATTAGCTTTTTAATGCATTTATATTTTGCGAGCTACATACAACACACAAGACTGATAAAGCTATAATGAATTCTGTTCATATTTTGTAAGTATGTTTTGTGCACAATAAACTTGTTTTGTTGTTTATTTTTTGTTTCTTTTATTTTTTTATCTTTAAATTTAATGAAGTCACTTAGACACACTATCCATAGACAACTAACGTAGCTCACAAAAATTAATTAGCAAGCAAATGGATACATATTTTTTTTAATATTTTTTTCTCTGTTATTTAACCGTCTGTGTGATGTATAAGCAAAATTATATTTTATGTATTGCTCTCAGTTGGCTGCTGCTTTCGCCATTTATATAAAAACAAGTCTTTCAGACAATTTTTAATATGAAACATAGATAGAGTGATCTACAAAAATAAAAATGTTGCCTATTATCAAAATTCAAAATATATCTACATACGTTATTATAAACAGTCAATTTTTTAACATTAATCAATTAAAAGCTTTACATTAAACTGCTTTTAACTAGTTTGTTTTGTGTTGTGCGGCCGATTAAGAGCATTAAGTATACCTATTGGCGTTAAACGATCAATTATTGTCAAAATTATTTTTACTTCTCTTCTCGTTCTCTCTCAGTCTTCTTTCTTCTCTTCTTATATTACGGTGCTTTTTTTTATATTTTTTATTAATTATAATGAAATAACTTAAGTAAGATACTGTATAATATCTATTGAAAATATTTTTGATTGGCTGTTAGTTGTTAAAATTAAATAAAAGAAGCACCGTGCACTACATTTCCATTCAAAATTTAACACCTTCTCTAACAAATGCCTTATTCAGTATAATATTATATATACAGAGCAATTTAGAATGAGCTTTTTAATATTTTAGCGTGGAGATGGCACACGAGACTGAGAGATGGAGACTTTGCCCCCGAAGGGGCCGGACCGTCCCGCAAATAGTATAAGGAAAACGCATTTCATAATTATATATCTTTTAATTCACAATATTTTTACTACAGTATATTTAAATAAAACCATTCGAACGATAACATGCTTTTCATTCATTGGCAGTCACCGAGCCCGAAGAGTTATAAAGTCATTCACTTCTTTTATCGTACTCAGTTGAGATTTGTTTAAAATTAAGATTTGTGTCCTTTTGCATGCTAATTTTATTTAGCTGCGTTAATAGAAGGTAGCTTGTATTAGAGTGTGTGCAACTTTTTTTTTATCTTTTTCTGATACCATTTATACAAAATAGACCTTTCAATTAATTTGCACGCACTTTAGTACGTTTCGTAAGTAGATGAAAGCACAGATTAGACACTAGCTTGAAATGCCCACATTAACACTCAAAGACCTACTTTCAACATTTACATTTGCATATTTCATTTAAAACACATTCTTTTAGTGCACATTTATGGCTATATCATAAAAAAAATAATGAAAAAATATATAAAAGATATAATAAGAAAAAATAATCAGACAAAAAATCACGCATAAAATAGTATTTAGTTACTGTTTTATTAAACAACTAGCATTGGCCGTTGTTGCGTTCAGATGACAAAAAACCAAATTCTTAGGTTTTACATATTAGTATACTCTTAAATTGTAGTTTTTGTATTTTTTCTCAGAAATGAGACATTTTCCTGCGGTAAAAAGTTTCTTATATGTTGACCCGGATAACCAGCTATCACCATACCAAATTTAATCAAAAATCTCTCCAGTGGTTTTTCCGTGATGCGGTAACAGACAGACAGACAAAAATTTTAGAATTTTAAAATTTTAGAAACTATAGTTTCGGCCTTTGTATCGATAATAATGTCTATTGCAATAAGATTTTCCAAAAAGTATTTAATGTACAGATTCGACTTAGAATTTTTATGTATAGATAAACATTTAATATTTTACAACAATTCGAGACATAACCTAGTCATTGTTTTAACACAAACGACATTATTTTAAATAAATATTTTAAAAAGATTTTATTGATATTGAAATTGTAGATTAGGGACTATCTGTATATCCAATTTTACGACATGCCTATACACCGAGAAACCTTAAAAGTATGAATCTTCTTAATTACACGTTCAAAAATTACATACATACCTACATATTATATATTATTTTAATTCCTCCTTTACGTATAGATAATAATTAATATAAAACGAACCTGTAATTAACATAAAAATTTAGCTCATTTAAGTTCCTTTAGAATTAAATAAGCCAATGATAAATTTCATTGTAAGTAGATGCTTGCATTTTAGCTGTCTTACTGCGAATATTTAGTGAAGTGTACTGTAAGTACATATTATAGTGTGACGTTATCATAATATAAATATGAAAATGTAGCTTTGGAGATGGAATCGTGTACCCGCTGCCGCAGCAAGATGAGGATACCGAGTCGTTGCTGAGTTCTGAGAGGTGGGACCGGTGGGGGGAGCGGGCGCGGCCATTCGACGAACGCGAAAGCTCTTCGTTTGACGAACTATGAGCGTAAACGGCCACGGCTAGTGCAGGTTCAATGCCGATCATCTGTGCTAAATTCTGTTCTCTAAAACTTCCTCAAACAATGTTGACTTTAGTTTACTTTAGTATTTTACTAACATATTGACATTATCACCGATATCCGACTTTCGTATATTAATTAGATTTGTCTCGATTTACCACGACATTGGTAATATATATATATATATATATATGTGTGTGTGTGTGTGTGTATAACAAACTAATGTTTATTCCTTGAGAAGTTAAAAGGGCCGATAAAACTTAAAAAAACATCCGTACTTGTTTACAATGACAAAATCGCAATTACTGCAATATGTACATTTAATATTAATTGTAAGTTTCATTTAATGAATTACTATAAAAAACCAAGATTTCTTAATTCAATTAGGTATATTTATAGTTTGACATTTTTGTATGAATGCTGTTTTTATTTGTATGAAAATGTATTTATACCATTTATGTCTCCCGAATAAGATTTAGACGTAGGATATTATTTTGCCAATGTTTATGATCTCTTTTGTATGTAAAATTCATTCTCTTTGAACTTAAAAATACAAGTACTATGTAGATTTTCATTCTGGCAAGCCTGCATCGTGTATGTGGCCGTAACCGCATTGCCAATATTGGTAGTTTTGAAAATAATAGAATAATTGGTGCTGTAGTCGTTGTATAGAAAATGATTTTTAGGTGAATAATATATATGAGATTTATCAAAATTTTGCTAAATGTTACGAAAAGAAGACGGTTAAAGTGTAAATGTTTTTTTTGATAAAAGAAACAGATAGGTACCTATCCAAATTTTGTTAAAACGAGCTTCTGATAAGTAGGTAAGACCTACATACGTTTTATTCCATAAATTAATTTTATTGCTTTTTAGAGAAATTAATAAGAATTTAATAATAGGTACTTATTTTTTTTTTGGTAAATACAGTACATTGTGTATTTTATTGCAATGTAAATAATAGCTTAATATTGTACTATAAGACTGTTGCAGAAGTAAGCTCTATCAGCGAGAAAATATTTATGTAAATAATTTTATCATAAATTTATTACATAATATTATTATAAAATATGATGCATTTTTAAGTCTTAAGATTGTGAGAATAATTATACAGGTGGAACAAATGAACGGGACTCGGTAGAAAAGTACCTTAAATATTGAAGATATCATAAGTTTCATTCAAAGGAAACATTCCTTTTTTTTTTAATTTTATTAATTGCGATTGCATTTGAATATTTTTCATAAAGTTTACTCAAAATGCAAAGAAGTCACTAAGATACAATGTTTGTTCGTGAGATTTATTATTGATAAATTCAATAAATAGTGACGTTGTACTTTTTTAGCTGGTTCGATTACCGGCTCCGGTAAAGTTTTCTATATTCAAATGCAGTTATAAATATGTTTAAAAATAAGTGAAATTTGATATTTTTTAATCCTTAAGGTACTTTTCTGCCTTGTCCCATTCTTTTGTTTCATTATTATACAGGATAATTATGACGCTATTAATATTAAGCAATTTTACTTGTTTATATTATTGCTTACCATGACAACTAATATATTATGAATAGACATTTTTGAACAAACAAGCTAAATAATTTTACAAACCTTTTTACTTTTATTTGGATTTTTTTCTTAGTAATAATAAGCTATATATAAAACATACCATCTACATGCTCTATATAAATAGAATAAATTGAAATGTTCGTAAAAAATAAAACTTTTTGCGTATATTTAGCGCTTTTCCGAATTTACACGATTTTGCGAACAAGTATCATGTGAATAGTGTATTTTTGTATTTCCGTAAAGTTTGTTTAAAATTGCTGTAATAGTATCTATAAACTTATGTATCTAATTCTAAGATTTCTCTTATATTGTATGTTAATATTTATAAATTTCTTACATTTATAATACCTGTACTGAAACCTGTTTTAATGTACTTAAATTTATATAATCGATATTAATAATTTATAATTTTACTAAAATATTACATTCCGTTAGTCTGCACTGTGACTTAATTTAATGGACATTCAATAACATTATATATTTTTGCTTAAAGAGGTTTGTTGAATTTCAAGTATTTAAAACTTAACTCAAAATCCGAATATAACTCACTTTATCTTCACAATTATTTATCAATAAATTAAAATATATACTGTAAATATACAACAGCAAAATAAAGTCATATTAAAAGACAGTTAAGTGTATTAAGTAACATAATGACACAGGGTGTGCACCCTTTTGTATTTTTTATAAGTGTTGCCAGCACTTTGATATGATTTTTAGTGAAAATTATGAATTATAATAAAAAATATATTGAATAAAATAAATTAAATACATAAAACATTTGTTTTATGTAGAGCATTTGTGGCAAGAATGCTAGTTGTATTCCTCCATTGCAACGTCGACACTGGATGGAATAAAACCTAGCGCTATTGTCACCTTAAAGGCGAGAAGAATAAAGGCAAACTAATATATGTGAATTGAGCATTTAAATTTCAATACAAGAAAATCAATTGAAAAAGGAACAGTCCTTTTTCGTCACCAGAATCACGGTCAAGTTTAAACGTTCGTTAATATATGTTGGGACATTAACACAGCACCATCTAGTTCCATGGTCTACGGAGGCTTGAGTTATGGATACCAGATAGTTGATACACTACACATATATAACTTTAAATAAATAATATTGTAAATATAAACCCATGATTGAAGTACAAACATCCGTGCTCATCACACAAATGAATGCTCCCAGCGGGATTTAAACCCGCGACCGTTAGCACAGCAAGTAGGGTCACTATAAACTAAGCCAAAAGTGTCGTCGCTGTCTTAAAACAACTGGCAACGCAATTCTTGCTTTTGTACATTCCGCATAGATGATATCGGTATTACAGTTTGCCAGTACGAGGCAATAATTCGAGTTATTTTATTTAAGTTACGTATATCCTTAAGGAGCTCAATCATTGGATTCCATTCGTTGATATAATACTGTTTAGAAAACAGCCGTGTGTAATGCAACGCCTAGTCAAATCTTGTTACAAAAACGTAGTAGATTTAAATTTTAATAGATTAAGCATCTAAGTATTGTAGAAATTAAGTTTTATATAAAGTATTTAAATATACTTTGTTATCACATTGTTATTTTTGATTGAATATTTTTTTGTTTCGATGTCGTTATTTCGATCAAAATTATAACTTAAATCAATGAGACTAATTATTATGCTAATTACGTAAAGTTTCATTTGTAATTTAATTTTTTAATTTTATATGAAGTTTTGATAATGTGAAGGCATTTAAATGTATTGAATTGATAAGTGTATAAAACATTTGTGATTTAGATATAATAAACAATATTAAATAAAACTTTGTTTAATTTAATTTACAGATATGTATCAAATAAAAGACCAGATTAAATATAAAAAAATTAATTTATTTAATCAAATATGAGATTACAATATTATTTAGTTATAATATAATCATCACAGGAATCGATGGGAGTGAGTGGACTTATTTTTTAAAAATTATAACAAATAACTTCAACTGAATGGAAACACTTACGAATAATCACAGCTGCACAAATAACATTGGTAATACTTCAGTTTAACAAATTAATTATAAAAAAATAGCAGAAAAAGCTCTCACAAAAATATGACGTCATAGTATTTTGACTCAGTAATTGGTACGATTATTTTGCAATAAAATGCTGTTTTTTTTTTAATTTAAATTACATATTAGAAATCGCAAATAAGTTAGAAACGTCATAACATTCATATTTTTTTTCAATTAATAAAAAAAAATCTTATGCTATAGGCTATAAGCAACAGAGAATTTGAATTGAGAATTAGAATCTGTATAATGATAACTAAATACGAACTAAGACAAAATTAAAATACACATAAAATTGTATATTTTAAAGGCTTTTCCACTGATTCCTTTACTGTAAACCGCTTCAGATAGCATAAAAAAAGTGAATTTGCGCTTGAGTCTCACTACTTTCATGGACAATTTTAGAATACTTCAAATTTAGCTTTAAACGAATCTAGGCAGGGTATCGTATGAGGAGAGACGCACCGGACTGTCATACATACATACTTTTATAAGACAACGGTTTTAGGTTTGACAGTAATAACTGTAACTGACCATGAAATGGCACTATATCGCTTTAACTTTAAACCTGTTGAATGTGAAACTGAAAACTATTTTATTTTCAAATCTAACAGTTTTAAAGTGTGCATATCTAAATCGTATTCTGTTCTAAAAAAAAAACTAAAAACAGTAAAACTGGCCAGTAGTAAATAATTCAAATAGTCAAGCCGGCGAGCAGCGCGCGCATGTCGTCGGCGCGGCGACAGCGCACGAGCGCGGCGGCGTCGCGGCGCGCGCGCGCCTCCCGCGCGTCCCGCTCCAGTGCGCGCGCCACGCGCCGCGCGCGCGCCGTCACGTCCCGCGGCACGCCCGCCAGCCGCGCCGCGTTGAACCCGTACGACTTGGGGCACGCGCCCGCCGACAGCTTGTACAGGAACGTGATCGTCTCCTCCGGCACCTCGTCCGTGTCCGCGCTCGCCTCGTCCGTCTCCACCATGCACGCCTGTGCATATTTTGTTACATTATTTTATTTGAATATATATATCGACTAGCATTGCCCGCGGCTTCACCCTCGTTCAGATGACCAAAAACCAAATTCTTAGGTTTTACATATTAGTATACTCTTACATTGCAGTTTTTGTATTTTTCTCAGAGATACTTTCCTGCGGTAAAAAGTATCCTTTATGTTGACCCGGATAACCAGCTATAACCATACCAAATTTCATCAGAATCCCTTCACTGGTTCTTGCGTGATGCGGTAACAGACAGACAGACAAAAATTCTAAAAACTATAGATTCAGCCTCTGTATCGTTAATAATGTCTATTTCAATAAGATTTTCCAATAAATATTTAATGTACAGATTCGACTTAATTAGAATTTTATTATATGTATAGATAAGATAAACGAATGGCTTACCTGATGGTACAAATTAACTTAGATTGGCCGCTGTAGCCGAAATCGTCAAGAGGACATTAAGAACTTAACATAACAAACTAGCTACTTATCCTGGATTCGCTCAGATGCCCTAAGTGCAAAAGAGTAGTCTATATTATGTTACTCAACGTCATACTCTGTGTATTAAACTTTATTCAAGTCCAGCGGTTTCATACTGAAAGAGTAACAAGTATATCTATACTTATTATAAAAATAAGTCCCCCGGCCGCGTCTTTCTGTCCTCCTGTCTGTCTGTACGCGATAAACTCGAAAACTACTGAACGGATTTTTATACGGTTTTCAACAATAGAAAGAGTAATTCTTGAGGAAGGTTTAGGTATATAATTTATTATGCTTTTATGTAAATTAGCTGAAATACGGCGACAAATGTTGAAGAGGTCGCAAAAAATCTCGCCAAATGGGAACTTTCCACGCGAACGCCGCGTAAACTAGCAAAGATACAGTTAAGTAATGTACTAGAGAATTCAAAATCTATAAAAATGCTACAAAAAAGTCCGCGATAGCATATCTCTATCTCTTACGGTTGACTTACAATAACCACTTTTATGTTAACATTTTTAATTAAAAACATTACGTTATTTTCAAAGTTATTTTCTTTAGTTCGGTATTAATCCTTATCCAAATGAATATTTTAGTTAGCTTAGTCATTTAATGCAGATTAAAATTGCTCTTTACACTAAATCAATCAGATGAATAGTTTTTGAGATATCGTTGTTAGAAGTAATTAGTAGCGAAACATTTTTAATGCTTGGCGAGCATTGAGATGCCTACGGCGAGTCCATCCCCTCTGCCCCGCATCGCTCGACCGCCTGCTCAAGCTATATAAACCGGGCGATGTAGCGCGCGATCCTAGGATACTTTTTACCGCCGGAAAATATCTTATTTCTGAGGAAAAATACAAAAACTGCAATGTAAGAGTATACTAATATGTAACACCTAAGAATTTAGTTTTTGGTCATCTGAACGCGGGCGGAGCCGCGGGCAATGCTAGTATTATATAAACTAGCTCGTACCATGTGTCCGAGCAGGACGCGCGGGTCGTCGCGGAAGGCGTGCACGAGCGCGTGGTAGTGCGTGGAGAGCAGCGTGCGCGCGCCGCGCGCCGCCAGCGCCGCCGCCACGCCCGCCGCCAGCGCCGTGCCGTCGTACGTCGACGTGCCGCGACCTGCGCCACCATACAGCACATATCATGACATATTGGAATGACTATTTAATAAAAAAAACTATGTTTAAAAAACTTACTTCAAAAACTAAAAAGTATAAATTAATAAAGATTAAATTTAATATACTATGAATACTAAAGGAAGGTGTGGGTGCGTGTGTGCGTGCTGTTAAGGGATTTTCAAATCAAAGCATTTTAAAAAAAATGGTTTTTATTTATTCTAATTAATTACAAATTATATGCAAGTGTCGCCGAACGCGGTTGGAATAGAACTAATTACTAATTAGGAAAACAAAAGATGTAACCTTATTAATGTAATTGTGCTAACTATGCAGCAACCTTTGCAATTTTCTTTACATAAAATAGATATAACAGTGCGTGTGCGTGTGTATGCGTGCGCGTGTGTGTATATGTGTGTGTGTGCGAGCACGCACCCAGCTCGTCGAGCAGCACGAGCGCGTGCGGGGTGGCGTGGCGCAGCACGGCGGCGGTCTCCTGCATCTCCAGCAGGAAGGTGGAGCGCGCGGCCAGCACGTCGTCGCGCGCGCCCAGCCGCGTGAAAACGCGCGCGCACGCGCTCAGCGCGCACGCCCGCGCCGGCACGTAGCTGCCCTGCACACGGTGCGTCTTACATATATATACGTATGTTATGTCTATGGACACTGAACAGAATGTGCCTTTGGAATTTGTGTGATGCAAAAAATATTCGTTTGTTCATCGCTTTATTTTATTATTGATTATTATTTTATTATGGATTATGGTTCAAGTTAATTCAGGCAAGTATAAAGAATTCTTAAAAATTTGTGCGGTATATTTACCCCCACCGATAAATCAGAGATCTCTTAATGATTTTCTTGGTTACGCCAACGAGGTATTTGAGGAAAAACCTTCTAAATATACTTTAATGTTAGGTGATTTCAATATTAACGATATTGTTTGGAATTCTAATGAGTTTAATTGTTCTATGGTTCCGAATATCAATTCTAATTGCGGCATCCATAGCGCTTTATCGGACTTCATGGAGTTGAACGACATTCGTCAATTCAATTGCATCACTTATGAAAATAACAGAATACTAGATCTAATTTTTTCTGATTCGGACTCTCTTCAGGTTAAACGTTGTGACTTACCAATACGGAAAGTTGATACTCATCACCCTCCTTTAGAGATATTGGTTTTGTTTTCTTCAACTAAAAAGAAAGCTGATATCAGAACTAAGAGGCCTAACTTCCATAAAGCGGATTACAATAAAATCATATCTGCTTTAGATGAAATACCTTGGTTAGAGGAGCTCCTTATTTGCGACCACGTCGATGCTATGATAGATAAGTTTTATAAAATACTGGAGAATGTAATCCAACTGCATGTTCCTAAAAATAGTCGCTGTAGTAGGAAATATCCAATTTGGTTTAGCTCTCATTTAATTTATCTTATTAAACAGAAACATAAATATCATGCGCGTTATAAAGTATACAAAAATCCTCTCGATTATCTTGAATTCCAATACCTTCGTGACGATTGTGAGAAACTTATACACCATTGTTATGACGATTATATTATGTCAATAGAGTCCGCTATAGGTAATAACCCGAAGTACTTTTGGACACATGTAAAAAATAAGCACAGAAACACTTCTAACTATCCATCCACTATGTCACTTAATGAACACAAATCTACAGACAAAAAAGGCATATGCGATCTTTTTGCTCGTTACTTTTCTAGCGTATTTGAAGCAAATGTCAGTTATTCGCATGGTACTCTCATCAAACCGATACCAAATAATGAAATGGGGCATATACTTATTTCTCAAGAAAGTATTGTAACTAAATTAAAAAGACTTGATGTACACCAAACTGCGGGACCTGATAATATTCCACCTATATTCTTGATGAACTGCGCAGATTCTTTGTCACTACCATTGGCGATTATCTATAATGCCTCTTTACATAAAGGAGTATTTCCAGATAAATGGAAAGAAGCGAGAATAGTGCCAATATTTAAAGATGGAGATAAGGAATGTGTGCGTAATTATAGGCCAATATCAATCTTGTCAGCAATGTCGAAGGTGTTTGAATCTCTCATATATCCGTTTATATTTCACCACGTCAAGCCATTTCTATCAACTGATCAGCATGGTTTCATTTCGAAACGGTCTACAAACACGAATCTTTTAAGTTACATCTCAGATTTAATAGTGGCAGTTGACAGTAACCTTCAAGTTGACGCTATTTATACGGATTTCTCAAAAGCCTTCGACAAAGTTGACCATAGTTTATTGCTCCTTAAACTTACACATTACGGAATTTCTAATCCGTTATTAATGTGGTGTCAATCTTATCTCAGTAATAGGTCGGCAAAAGTCGTTATCGATAGTTACGAGTCTCACCCCTATATTGCCACCTCAGGGGTCCCCCAAGGCTCAAATTTGGGTCCACTCTTCTTCATAATATTTATTAATGATCTTGTAGCTGAAATAAAGTACTCGCACGTCTACATGTTTGCAGATGACCTTAAAATTACGAAGGTTATTAAGCGAAGGACCGATGTCTTGCAACTGCAAGAGGACCTAAATAGTCTGGTTCTTTGGTGCCGAATCAATAAAATGCATTTAAACCCATTGAAGTGCTGCTTTATAAAATTTACCAGGAAGAAAAAACCAATAATGAGCTCGTATTCAGTTTCCAATGAAGCTTTAAAAGAAACCAATACGGTTCGTGATTTAGGTGTTTTATTTGATAGTAATTTGCGTTTCGATGCTCATATTGATGCCATTGTCACTTCGGCGTTAAAGTCACTAGGTTTTATCATCAGGCAATCTAGAGACTTTAAAAAAATATCAACCTTGATTAGACTTTATAATTGTTATGTAAGGAGTAAGCTTGAATATTGTTGTCAAGTATGGTCCCCATTATATAAAGTGTATATCGATCGCATTGAAAAGGTCCAAAAAAGATTTGTTAGACACTTATCTTATCGTATGAGAGTACCTCTAAGAAGCTATGGTGATCGACTTAAGCACTTCGAATTGCAACCTCTTCATGTACGAAGAAATATATTGGACCTAATATTTCTGTATAAGCTTCTCCATAACGAGGTCGATAGTAGTGGCTTGCTTGAAAAAAATTAAAATAAATGTACCATGGAAACCACCTCGAAATCCATGTCCATTTTTCAAAACGAGTAGAAGTAGAACTAATTTAGGAAAGTGTCACCCATTAGGCCGAATGTCGCGATTATTTAATGCAATACCATCAGCAGACATGGGTATCGACACACTTAATACATTTAAAAAGAAATGTTACGCTTTCTATTCGTGATGTGAACATTTGTCATAACATTTTTTTTTTTCTCTTTTTCATTTTATTTTTAGAATTTTTAATTTTGTTTTGTTAATTGATTGTTCAGATTTAGTTGCACCTATTAACTTTAAGTAATTCATGTTATCAACACTGTTTTTAGTGCATGTTGTGTTCTCCAGTAATTGGGGGTACATGTTAAACATTATCCAAAGAGCCTGTATTTTTTTTTGTATATCTATGTACTTCTGTTGGAGATCCTTAATAAATAAATAAATGTAATAACGACGACTGGAATCACACCGTTTTAGCGTAAGAAGTAAATAAAAAAATAAAAAAAACCAAGGTCATACCAGATGGCCTCCCAAACAAAAATGTTAGCTATAGTCATGATCACACAGCAAGGACTGAAATAAATTAATAACAACAATATAGTGTGTGTAGTACGTACCAGATGCGCGAGCACGGTGAGCAGGCCGAGCTGGCGCATGAGCGTGGACTTGCCGCCCATGTTGGGGCCGGTGAGCAGCAGCAGGCGCGCGCCGCGCAGCCGCACGTCGTTGGGGATGAACTCCGCCTGCGGCATGCACGGGTGGCGGCCGCCGGTTATATCCACGTACGGCTGCAACACGTACAAACAAAATTAAAATAGACAGTCATGAGAACTGCAGACAGAAATGGAAACTTATAACTTTGGAATTACTGTTTTTTTTTTGAAGTGAAAACTTCTAAAAGCCGGTTTGGATGACAACAACTTTATCGAAACTTTACCCATTTTATGCAAAATTTCGATAAATGTGCGGCATATTTTACTATGCCCAGTAAGCGCGGCAGTAAGGTTGAATCCGGCACTGGTCATACGTAGCATGTCGGTGACGCGAACACGTAAGTTTTGACCTTACCCTGGTTTATAGAATAGGAAGATACTATGATAGTCTCATAAACATAAAGAGATAGACCAACCTCCTGTCCCTTTTCGAAGGTGACTTCAGGCAAGCAAACATCTCCAATCTGTTGCCTGGCAAACTCAGCAAACGAAAGCAGAATGTCCAATGTAGCTATACATTTGACCGCCATCTCCCATTCATTGTAGTTCGTTGAGAACTTCTCGAAAATTCGACGACTTAGATCTTTTAATACATTCGTTTTGTGTTCCTCTGCGGCAATCATTCGAGCGAGGAAATCCTGAAATAAAATATTACAACAGCCAATTATTCTTGTAACTAACACTAACTCAAGCGTTTTTTTATCACTTTTTTTTTCTTTATTAGGTTCATCGACAACTTTTTATTTAACAATCACACAAGAGATAACATTAGGAAATCTACACTACTATTATAAAGAGGGAAGATTTTTATTTTTGTATGTTTGTAATGAATAAACTCAAAAACAACTGGATTTGGACCGGATTCGGAGAATTGGACTAATTTAGACGAAATTTGGTAAGAAGATAGTTTAAGACCCTGGGAAGGACATAGGATAGGTTTTATCACGGAAATCATCCCTTAAGGGGTTGAAAATGGCGATTTGTATGGGGAATCAACCTAGGGACGAACCCGGGTGAAGCGAGAGTGAGTCGCTAGTACAAATATAAAATGCAAAGCCACTATACACAAAACACAATATGCATCACTTAAATATAATAGTAAGAAGTAAATATGAAATATATATATTTTTTTTTATGCAAAGGATTTTTTGTTTATTACTTTCAAGTGTTGTTATAAACTGCTTTCGTTAGTTCTGAAAACAGCCACTAGGGGAATGTACTCTTCACTAATAACTAATTCTTATTAATATTTGTAATATTGACAGTGACTGCAGTTATATTTTATCTAATATGGTAGAAATAGTACAGACATTCTTATATCAATCATTATTGATTCAAATATACACTGAATATACCAAGTATATAGTATAAAAAAGACGAGGCAAGTATAAAAAAAAAGTTATTAAAAATATTGAACATTAAAGTCACAGGATACTTTTTTCATGTGTAAAGACGACGTTTTAAAAAGTTTAAAAAGCAACTGGACCTAATAACTTAAAATTACTATCTTTGTGTTCACTTTTAAATATAATAAATTTAGATATAAAATAAACAACAATATCTCTCTATACCTTAGTCTCGTCCGTGGAGTATCTCTTAAACCCTTTCCTTGTCCCTTCCATGTGGTACTGCGGCCCCGCCTTAGCCGCTGCGCTTTGTGGCACTTCTAATTGATACCGCTTCTTATCTGTGCCCACATATGTTATCTGAAATTACAAATATATTATAAATAAATAAATAAATATATCAGGACATTAATTACACACAACACCATCTAGTTCCATGGTAAGCTACGAGGCTGGTGTTATGGACAGATAGTTGATACATTATACATATATATAACTTTAAATACATACATATTATAAATATTTTTATTTATTGGTATAATATTATAATTTATTTGTCTGAATTTAAATGATTTAATTAGGGTTCCATCCCTCAAAAGGTAAAAAAAGGAACCCTTATAAGATCACTCTCTTGTCCGACTGTCTGTGTGTCACCACCTATTTTCTCAGGAATGCCTAGACCTAGCAAGTTAAAATTTATACCAGATACTGAGGTCTCTAGTCCCTATTAGGTGTATAAAAATCAAGGTCCTGAGTCAACACGATAAAAAGATAGAAGATTTTCACGAAAACTTGTAAGTACAAAATTTTACCTTAATTTTCATTTTTCTTTTTGGAATTTTACCTTTACTTGTGCTTTAAGAACTTGTTTTTAACCAAAATTGACAATTCTAGGTCAACCGTAAGTACCCTATAGGTTTTGGGTCGAAAACCTATATATGGTAGTTCCCGTTGATCTAGAATCACGACATTTGACACAACTTACAGGAATAAATAAAGGAAAAATTCCAAAAAATAAAAAAAGTTGAAAATTAAAGTTAAACAGATTTCCTACAAAGTACGGAACCCTCGGTGGGCGAGTCCGACTCGCACTTATCCGTATTTTTTTGTTTTAGTTTCAACTTATCGCTTCGCTCAGGGGCGTCTCTAGGTACGTTTTAATGTTTTTAAGCGGAAGCCTAATTATTTTTCTAAAATAAAAGTAGCCTTACATACTCCTTATAAAATCAGTTATCTAATAGTGAAAGTGCCATCAAAATCGGTCCAGCCATTTCGGAGATTAGCGAAAAACAAGAAAAAAAAGTAAAGTATATACTTTCATATGCATTTAGCAAAAAGCTGTCATTTTAAGATTACAAACATACACACATTCAATTTCATTAATCTGTATAGATAATCCTATAATAGTAATTTTTATCTTCAACAATCCTTGTAAAGAAATAAAAATATTATTATAAAACAATACTAACTATAAATATTGACTGCGACTCTCCTCGCGGTAGTTACGTACCAATATGTAGATTAAAATATTTTATGTCAATAAATCACAAAACGGTACGACGGTTTCATCACAATACTATAAGCCCCTGTGGCCTAATGGATAAGGCATCGGCCTCCTAAGCCGGGGATTGTGGGTTCGAGTCCCACCAGGGGTACAAAGAATAATCACTATTGTCTTTTTATGTATTTCAGGTAATTTTTAATTTCAACTCCATCTTATTTGGATTAAATTTAATGGATAAGCAGTTAGATATAATAACTATTAAGATATTTAATGTCATATCATTATTGTCACTATAAATCTTATAAATAAAATAATTTAATGTTGTTATATGATTATCGACTTATAAAATAAGATTTTTATACACAATACCTTAAGATAACTCATCCCACAACTAAATTTTGATTATTTACTATTAATTTATACACAAAATAAAATTCTAAGCCGATTCTGTAATTAAATATTTCTTGGAAAATCTTATTGAAATTAACATTATTATCGATACAGAGGCCGAATCTATAATTTTTAGAATTTTTGTCTGTCTGTCTGTGACCGCATCATGAGAAACCCATTGGACAGATTTTGATGAAATTTGGTATATGATAGTTGGTTATCCGGGTCATCATATAGGAAACTTTTTACTGCAGGAAAATATCTTATCTCCGAGAAATATATACTAAACGTTAAAACGTAACTAGGGAAGAACCCAAGCGGAGCGAGGGTGAGTCGCTAGTAATGTTATAACTCACCCTGCATTTAAAATACTTTTCCTGTTGAGTAAGATAGTTTTTCAACTCTTGTTCTATTTGCTTGATCTCCTCCAATATGGTGTCATACTCCTGGTCCACCCCCGCGCCAGGCAATATACGACCTTCTTTCTCTGCTTCTTGCTGATTGAATGCTTCCTAAGTGTTTATATTAAAGGAATGTAAGTAAATATCTTTATAATATACTAAATTAAAAAAAAATGTTTAAAATAAAATCACCCAGGTTTAAAAATAGTTGGGTAACAAAAGAACCTAGGAGGCTTCTATTATTATCAAAGACAAAATTACAGACAAAACAAAAGATATAAATATGTTTCTATATTTTTATTTATTTTTTGAAAAAATAACGAAATATACTTATTGAAGACGGAAGAGGCATTTAAGATTATATGTTTTTTGCCATGATCCCAGATTCCATGTATGTCAACATGTAATTTAAAAAAAATATACTAATTTATAATAACCTATATATTACCTTAAAGAATTTCAATGTGTCTCTATAATCGGGGAATCTCCCTTCAGGTCCGAATTGTGTTATAGATCGTAATAAAACTGCTTCTTCATTTGAAAATAGTTCGGATAATTTTAGAACAGACGTAAAACCGTTTAAAACTGATATAAAATCCAGTACTTTACGCTTTGAGTACGTTTTCTCTTCGTAAAATATGGCGCGGGAGTCAGGGTGGTCTTTTGCCTTTTTAGAGTTACCGAGGGCATGTATTCTATAAAAAAAAAAGTTTGCTCTTATTATATAACTATCTACTACTAATCATTATATTATGAATATGATAGAGGCCAAAGCAGAAGTAAAATCTATACAGATAAATAAATTAAAGTGTCTGTGTTTGTAATGTCAAAATAACAACTTTTTAGCAATACATATGAAACTATATACGGTATTTATAAAAAAAACTCAATTTTTACATTTTTGTGTCTGTCTGTCTGTTTGTTCCGGCTAATCTCGAAAAGGCTGGACTGATTTTGACGGGACTTTCACTTTCAGATAGCTGATTTTATAAGGAGTTACTTAGGCTACTTTTATTTTAGAAAAAAATATATTAGGATTCAACTCCAAAAATTATAATGCATCTAGGGATGACCCGATCGAAGCGAGGGTTAGTCGCTAATATACATATATGTATTATATTGATTTTTACTTCTGCATGTAGCTAAGTAGTCATCACTTTTACATTTAAATTTACACTTAAACAAATTGTAAGCGATATTTCGACAATATTTATAACAATTCTTTATTTTCTAATTCAGGCATTTGATACAAAAAATGTATAAAAATAGTGATAGATATAATTTTATAATACATACTTAGCCAAAAGCCTCTCCAAATCAGGTAAGGTAGCCAATAAGTTCTTCACATCCTGTGACAGCTCTTGGTTTTCATACAAAGCTTTGACCGCTTGTTGCCTCTCTTTGATCAACGCGAGATCGCAGCTCGGAGAACACACCCATTGGTATAGTAACCTATAAATAAATTAATAAATGATGTGAAGTTTAACCTTGCTCGAATGCTTCCATAGATGCCTTTCAGTCGCCTATGTGTTAGTCTAGGAAATAATCTATCATTAATTCTCATTAGCGTCCGGAAACCCAGCCGGGCGCAAAGCCAAGACACACAGGGAGGTGGCCTACTTCGGTGGACCGTGTGCCATGCGGGTTGCTCCTAGGTCCCATATAATTCTCAGTGAACTAATTTATATTATTGAATATTATAACAGTGTAATTTAGTGTTAAATAAAAATGTATATTTTTAAAAGACTTTTAAATAACAGCTTGTCATTTTTGGTTAACTTCTCTGACAGCAGAGTGGACCGTGGGGCCAACCCTGTGGTTGTGTGGTCTGCCTCGGCAGACAGCCGTGGGGGCGTCGTAGTTGAGTGCGGAAGCGATCCTGCGACGTCCCATTAAGACGAGTGCAATTCCGTTGGGTTTTAGTGAATAGTACTGGCTTTTCTAGCCAAAAAACGGTTTAGTCATTATTTTTAACAGTTACCTGTAAGTATTAACTTTTGTACAAAATCAAACAACTCACCGTTTCCCCATTGGCGTCGAACAAAAGTTCAGCTTATCATACAAACATCCCTCATCCTGTACAATTCTCAAATTCCTTAACGTAATAGCATCTAATACCATTGTATTGCCTCCCGTCCATCCATTATCGACCATATCCTCTTGTTTTAAAGTGCTATTTAGAACATCGGGTGGAGAATACTCAGAAAACTGGGACATGCCAAGAATTTGTATGTCTAGTAGGCATTTTGTTAAATAAGCAATACATCCACCCAGAGCCTTTATAGTTAAGTGTGAGTTTTTGGCTGGTGTCAGACCTAGTGCGTCGCCTGAAATAAAAAGTACATAAGTATTATTTGAATTATATATTTTATTAAACTTTATATACCCATATCCATACTAATATTATAAATGTGAAAGCATCTCTGTCTGTTGGATTTTCATGCTTAAACCACTGAACAGATTTTGATTATATCTGGCTAGGATATAGATTGCATTCTGGAGATGAACATACTTTGTTCCCCATCCCAGTTACTACACGAGCGAAGCCAAAAGAAGAAATAGAAGTCAATAATACTTTCTTAGATTTACGCGAATGTTTGACATTATTAAATAAAACTATCTTTTCGCATTATTTCGCGGATTTATTTTGATTTTTGGTTCCCGACGTTTCGAATGCTTTACAGCATCCATGGTCACGGGAGAGACTGAGGTGTTACATGTCTTAAAGATATAGTTGTTACAGACAGCCTACCCACAATAATAGTATAATAATAGGCTGTCTGAAACAACTATATCTTTAAGACATGTAACACCTCAGTCTCTCCCGTGACCATGGATGCTGTAAAGCATTCGAAACGTCGGGTACCAAAAATCAAAATAAATCCGCGAAATAATCCGAAAAGATAGTTTTATTTAATAAATAGAAGACAAAATAAAACTCATTGGAATTTTGCCTATTTTGATACTAGTGGCGAGTGATTAACAAGGTAGGTAGGTAAGGTGAGCTAAGGGGGTGTAACGCCGTCAACTTTCCAAGTCTAGGCTGTTATCAGTAACGTAATGTTAAAATCTCAGGATTTTATTGATAAAAAAAACTTGGCCTGCTACCTGACGATGTGCATTTTTTATACCTTCATATAAAAACGGTTTAAGTCCTTCCGGCCAGTCCCCATCATCATTAGTCCTGTAGTACTTCTCAGCTAACAACTTGAGAGTCTTGTCTGGAGCGGACAAAGGCATAGACTCGAGCCTTGCAGAGTGGCAGTGGGTGGATAGCAACTTGCTTGTTCTAGTTGATGTTGTCTTACGCTCGTAGATTATCTGTAATGTATTGTTACCGTCACTGTGTCTCTTTGCCATACACTTATTGAAGTTATACTGCTTTTGGGATGTTTGGAAAAAATTATGAGAGTAAAATTTTTACGATGCGCGCGCACACCGACAGCCAAAAAGCGACATGATAAAGGTAGCTGTTTGTTGCCATGGTAACAATTGTTATGGTCTGACAAATGATATATAATATTATATTTTTTCTTTAAATAATATTCTATAAATAGATGATTGTAATATGCCTAATATGCCTTATTTAATTATTTTATTAATTTACTCCTTTTACAGAGAGTTCTGACAAACGGGATGAAATCTTTAGCTATTTTGTTCTGTTACGCCAAAGAAGTATAACTTCTTACGTGCATACATAAGTACACACACACTTTTTTTTTTGTTTGTTTTTTCAAACTATTTAGGCAACACACCCCAATAAAGTAATGGCCAGCTTTCTTTATCTTCAATTAAATCTTTAATGATTTCTCGACAGTAAACACATTTTTATCGGTATATAAACTAGCATATAACAATTTTTCTGAATCGGATCAATGTTTTTAGAAATTTCCTCCTACTTACAACCCAACATACTTTTATCTTTATAATATTACCGTACATGTTTTGAGTACTTACCTTACCTTACTACCATTACTTGTTGTGTCTGATTTCACATATCTTGAATATTTTGTATATGCTCTACTTATAAATATGCTAGCGAATCACCCTCGGTCTGCTTAGGTTCTTCCCTAATTACGTTTTAACGTTTAGTATAGATTTCTTAGAGATGAGATAATTGCCCGCAGTAAAAAGTATCCTATATGTTGACTTGGACAACCAGCTAACGTCTTACCAAATTTCATTTAAAACGGTCCAGTGGTTTTCTCGTGATGCGGTCACAGACAGACCGACAGACATAAATTCTAAAAGCTATAGATTCGGCTTCTGTATCGATAATAATGTCTATTTTAATTAAATTTTCCGAAAAATATTTTATATACAGGTTCTACTCAGAATTTTATTATATGTATAGAAGACAAAATAACGCATATATACATATTGATAATATGTAGAATAATGCAAAGAAAATATTTAGTACCAAAGCAGGTGGATAGTGCGCGAGCGTGGTGAGAAGTCTAGAGGAGTGTTTGTCGTCATCAAACTGTCCCATGTGGAAATGCCCTATTGTTGTATCGATAAAGCACACTCCAAACGTGCTGCAGCCATTGTTTTCCTGAAAAATAGTTATAAAAATGAACAAATAATTTGCATACATTGACTCCTGACATACAGGTTTATTCTAGTTTGGGAGTCAGAGGCTTCAACAGACTTATGTAACAACAAACAATTGTGTCAAGAAAGATTCTATTCTATACTAAGTTGTTGCATGTTTTGTATAAATATTTATTTTTAATGTTAGTAAAGTTAGAATTCTAACTTGAAACTGTAATAACTTTTGTTAAAGTTGAGCGATTATAATAAACAAATAAAGTTTAAATATGACTTTAAAATACGGACTTTGAATATACATATATCAAATAAAAAAAGTTAAAATGTTATAAAAATGTCTTTAATTTTGAACGAAAATCCCAGTTAGAACAAAGTTTATTGTCCCACAAGTAGTACATATTAATTGTAGTTTTTTTTAAGCACAGTCTACTTTATGACATAAATTTTTTTTTGTTATTCTGGTACGAAAATAATGCCTTATCGATACCCTTCCTTTTTTTATTACTCATTTCCAGTCCATTAAACTATTTATTTCTAAACATAATCTATGTACAGATGCGAAACTTTCTCTTATTATAAATATATATATAGAATACATATGTCTAATACTTCCAGGGAATCGGCAACCTGCTAGACTACTGGGGTGGAAAGAATAACACAAAATAACACAAGCTCACGTACAACGAGCAAAACTACCTAAGGGGGGAAAAAGTCCCGCAAGAAGAAGAAAGATATGTCTAATAGTGCAGAACTCTATATATGTATATATGTATAGCGTGAAAAAAAATGTTTTTTTTTCTTAGCTTTGGGGTAGAATTTAGTAGCTTATAAAAGACAATATTTTTGGAATAAAAAAATTTTTACTCAACATCTTGAGGTGGCCCACTGATTTTTGAAATAATGAATTAACATATTTTTTTTGAATTATTAAATAAAACTATCTTTTCGGATTATTTCGCGGATTTATTTTGATTTTTGGTTCCCGACGTTTCGAATGCTTTACAGCATCCATGGTCACGGGAGAGACTGAGGTGTTACATGTCTTGAATGTATAGTTGTTACAGACAGCCTACCCACAATTAACAAAATGAAAAATGCACCAATTACATTACAATATTTCTAACTTTAAAACATTTTTATAATTTATCCGAAAAGATAGTTTTATTTAATAATGTCAAACATTCGCGTAAATCTAAGAAAGTATTATATTTTTTTTGAATGTTTTTTTTTTCGAGTGATCATCCTAGAAAACATTCAAGAATTGACGAATATAATCTTTTGCTACCTAATTTTCACTGTAATATTGCATTTTTCCAATTGTAAAAAAAATTCAAAAAAATTACATGTAATTTTTTTATATTACAGTGAAAGTTGCGTAGAAAATGACTATATTACTCAATTCTTGAATGTTTTCAAAGATGATCTCACGTGAAAAAACAATTTTTTATTCAAACCAAAATTTTTAATTTATTTGTTAATCTTAAAAATCAGTGGGCTACCTCAAAATATTGAGTTTTTTTTTAAGCTACAAATTCTACCCCCAAGAAAACAAAACTTTTTTTTTTTGCTCCACCCTAACTTATAAATAAGGACATACCTCTTCCGCGATGGCCAGCATGTACTCAGCGGCGGCGAGCGCCGCGCCCGCGTCCTGCAGGCCCGGCGCACGCGCACCGCGCACGCTCACCTGGCACACCTCGCGCCGCACCACCTTGCTGGACTGACCGCCTGCATACAATAGGAATTTATAACGGGCTTATATTTATCAATTACGTGGGGAAAATGGGGGAGTGGGGTCCTGTAAAATGTCTTCTTTTTTTACCTATATTTATCAATTACATGAGCTCAAAATGGGGGAGAGGGGTGTAATAAAATGTCATCAAATTTCATTTAACTGAGAGGGGCATAATTGAACATTTTATTGTCCGTTTTTACTCACTTTTTTTACACCTCTCTTGCATCATATCTGGAGTTTCAGTTTGTTCCACTCTCACTACTTTATAGCCTTTAGAAATCAAAGTGGTAGCCATGCGAGAGTATGCACTTTCAGGAAAACCTGAATGTGCAAAGTCACCCTGAAATTGTGTTGTACATTAATATTAATCATAAAAAAATATTATAAAAATCGGCAAGTGTAAATCTAACCTTCACACCAAGGGTTCTGTAGATTAAAACAATAAAATATATTGTTTTAACTTTTAACTTACCAACTATGTTAAAAGTGAAATCAAATATATACCCATGTATGATATTTATTTTATTGATGGTATAAATAAGTTGGTATTTAACAATATTAGTATCAGCCATAATACTAAGTTGTAAACTGAAACTGTCAAGGCATCAAATGGAAAATATCCCATATCTCAAAAAATACTCAACATATATTTTTTAAAAGAATTTTCATTCTGAGTTTTTTGGAAGCTCAATTATCTCAATTAGTTTTTTTTTAGAATTTTGCAACTCATACTTCCTTAAGTGTGTGGAAAAGTCAATAGTGAAAAACATCTATCTGCATTTTAAAGACCTATTCGGAGAAACTTGTCACATTTATATTGACCTAAAATTTTTACGCCACCCTACTGTTTTACAGTTTGGAATTTAGCTATAGAATTGTCTAGTGGTTGAAATGCACCATGAGTTGTTAATTAAAATAGCTGTGAAATATGCCATTTTAGCTATTAGGCTATGGAATCCTAAAAATCAAATTCACTGTTTTGAAAAAAAAAACATCACTGTGTAAATAAAGAACTTGTACCTTCATATAAGAGAAGCCAAGTTCATTAACACCAACCGATGCATCCATATGATATAACTCATAGAACTTGCCCACTTTGAAAAATAGCACACAGTCAAAGTGTTGAGATTTTATTTCCCACCATTGTTTATGACCCTGCAAAGATAACATTATAACTTTTATTGTGACATAAATATGTAAAATGTAAAAGTAGAAAAATTATATTTGTAGTTATAGTCTATTTGGAATTGCTTTTGTAGTCAATAACATGCAGCACTGCCAATTGGCGAGTAAATTACCCAAAAAGTGGGTAATTTTAGGCGATTTTTATGGCGGGTAAGTTTGACGGGTATTTGCATTGAGCGGGGTCAAACCAGGTATTTTAGTTCAACTGATTAATTTGATATTTTAAGTTTTTTTGAGAATTGATTACAATGACTTCTTCTTCTAACATTAGTAGAATCTTTTATTCTAAATAAAACATGAATTACTTAAAAAATACTATTTTCAGGTATTCTGTCCTTGGTTAGCGCTGGTGAAATAAACCGGGTATTTTGAGGCTTACCCAACCAATAATGGTTGGGTAAATTAACAACTGTTATCCCTATCCCTATGGTAGCCCTGATAACATGATAGGTAAAATTTGAATTGTTTTGGATAATTTGGGATTTTTCAAATTGAATACAAAAATTAAAATAAGTAATTTAGGTATATATAAATGAATGTATGTATATTTATATGTCCTTAATATCTGGGTATCCAATTAGGTAAACAATATTTACTATTAAAAATATATTAAGTTTAGACTATCTTAAAATTAATATTATCTCACATACTGGTGTTTGTTTCTTCATGAAATCAGGAGGTACATAAAGTGTGGTAGGATCATAGTCTGGATGGTCAGGCCTTCTCCCTTTAGAATCTTTTATCTTATCTGGTTTCAACCAGTCAAGTTTACAGTGATTCCAATTGCCTTCATCAGATGCCAATGATTCTTGGGGCTCAGCTTTTATTTGAGAACTTAAAGTAGAAAAATAATTTCGAATATTTTATAATTAATTCATATATTAGTTTATAAATATTTCCAAAAATGAAAAAAGCACATTTTTAATTTAATAGAGAACAAAGAAAAATAATTCATTTCGTGTTACATAATTTTAGTAGTATATAAACAAATTTCGGTACATACTCATTGAGTGTCACTTTCTTAAGTTTACTCCCGACTGGGGATTTACCAGGTTCATATGAGAAACTTTCTTGTAATTTTTTTTCAATGGAAATTTTGTCTTTTTGTACTGAACCATTTTCTTTTTCAATTTTGTTATCTGCTAGAAAACCTTTAGATTAAATGACATTAAGCTAACTTAAAAAAGTAGTCACATACTGAATATAATAACTTTTATTGAAACAGAACTTAGAATATAATAACAATTACCTTTGTTTTCTACATCTGAATCATCAGAATCAATAGGGTTTAACCTAATTCTTTTCCTTTTTTTAATTGAAATTGGCACCTCTTCATCACTGTCATTATTACAACTTGTATTAACTTTCGGCGAAGGAGTAGATTTTCTTTCGCGTTTTTTGCCTATAAAGTATTATACATTATATTAATGTTTCACGCAAGTTATATATAAGGTTTGTTTAAAATAATATTTATGATACTTACTTTCTGGTTTAACATCATCTTTATTGACTGGATTATTTAATTTATCTTTATTCTCACCACTATTCTGTTTTGGTTTCTTGTTACTTGGAGGAGTTTTAGTAAAATAATTAAATAATGTATTTGAAGCTATGCTGTTTCGCTTAGACATTTCTATAGCTATCGTTTCATGACCCACTAATAAATGTAAGCGATATTTAATGTTTAACCTAATTTATTTGATTAACTATTTTTATTTTTAAAGATTTTATAGTCGACGTTTAAGTTATAAATTTCAGACATCAAAATTCAAACAATGTAATTTGCGGATGCGTTTTTTGGCGCAAATATACAAAGCATTTGACATTGACTACTTGACGTTTGTAATTATGTCCGAAAATATATAAAATATAAACAAATTACATATTATATTTAATATTACCTAAACTCTAATAATTATGAATTAATATACTTAAGGTAAATATGGTTTTATTTTTTATTACTTCAAATCTTAGAAGAAAAAAAACTATTTATAGTTCACTAAATATTACGTAACAAAATATATAAAAAATTTAAAGTAAAGCAAATTAACATATTATTTTTTTATTAAATTCATAAAAGACGAACAACAAAAAAAATTCATAGTCGCACTAAAGAAAGCATTACCTATTAGCACACTAGCTTGAGCAAAGTGAAGCGGGTTCAAATCCCAGATCTCGCATTTCTGATATTCTCATGTTATGTGCGATTCATTTTCAAGGTAATAAGCCTCTGCATTACGGTGAAGGAAAACATCGTGGGGAAATCTGCATGCCGGACTATAACCAGATCCGTCTCGCATTGAGGGAAGGCCCGTGCTTAACAGTGGGATATTTAAAAGGGCTGTGTACAAAGAAAAAAGAAGAAATGTATGTTTAATACAATGAAATGTGCAAATCAGGGGTTTAAGATATTATTTATTCTTTAATTTTTTCAACATCTTAATCAACGAAATTGTTTTGCACAAAGTGCTAACCATAAAATAACATTTTATAAACCCTAACTGTATTTTTTTTCACAGACAGTATTTAAGGAATGTTTCAAGAATAGAATATGAAACTTAAAATAAGTAAGACAATTATCCAAATGACAGCATCAAGAAACTAAATTTAAAAATATAATAATATGAAAAATTATAATAAATCAAATGACACAACACTATATTATAATTAATTGTAGAATATAATTAAATTATAAATAATATACTAAATAAAAATTACAATGTAATAGCTATATATTTCTAAGAATGAAGTTTCCTTCAATTTATAATGTAACTCTAAGTATTTTAATTATGCCGGCTTCAGCTTAAATGAACAAATGTAAGTAAGTTTAAACAATATTGTAATATTACTTATCTGACCCTCAAATAAAAAGGTTAAATATCTTTTAACCGTAACAGGAAATATGAATTAAATATACTAATAAGTTTAAAATGTAAGTATTGTTTGTACAAACCAATTGTTTTTTGAATATTAAAAGAAAATTAATTTGTGACAACTTAAGACTGAAATTTAGGTAAACCTTCAGAAAAAACGGAGATGAGATAATTTATAAGTCTTAACAATCTGAAATAATATAACTTATATACGAAATTGAAATGAAAAAATATAGCTATCAATTATAATCTATACTTTCATTTAAAAACACATTAGTATTAAAACAGTTGTTTGCTTTTTTTTTGTCAGCATTTGTCAGTTGTTTGTTTTTTGTCAGCATAGCTTTAGATTTTAAAATGCTTTTTTTATAGTATAAGTAATTGTATATTAGAATGCTTGTTAAGGCAAGACAATAAAGAATAGTATAACTGTAAAATCAGTTCATTTTACTTATCTATTGCACTGGACACGTTTTTCAATATATTATTTACAGGTCTCTTAATGTTACAAGAATTTAAAAGTAAGAAGCGGACCCTAGATGGTTTAGTTTTAGATCCGAGTAACATTGACTTGACCATATTTAATTAGGTAACCCGTTTGTGATATAATTACTTATATATTAATGTTTAGAAAATACTTTTTATTCGGGTAGCAGATGTGTGAAGGACAACCTTACTTCGGATCTCTTACTAATATAGTGCATGACATGCTTAATAAGAACGTGTAGTTTGATTAAAACAAATTACAAACACTGTTAAAGATTTTCCAGCCAGAAATATTTTACTTCAGCTCAGGCAGTAATTTAAAACTCAGGTTGTACTTTCAAAACTTCTAAAGATAATATTTTTCTTCATCATATTATGCAGGTGGCGCCATCTTAAAAACCTCTCATTGTACGTAGCTCCATTAAAGTCTTAGATCATTCTAATGCACATCATGCCCTATTACTGTCTAAAATCCGCAAAATAGTCCATAAAATTAAAACTTGAATTTGTAATTAATTACGAAACGTCAGTCTACATTATAATTTGTGGCTCTGGCACAGATAACGCAATAGACTTGTGCGGTAGTACTTGGCCACCATTCACGTATAGTTCATCCTTTACTATAACATCTTCACCGAGTACCGTTGTATTTTCCATTCGCACCCATCGTCCCACTACAGACTTCCACCCAACTATGCAGCCGTCGAGCCACGCGTGTTGCCGCACTACCGCCCCACGAAGGATTGTACTGCGTTTTATGCAAGCACCTATTTGACAAATAAATACAATTTTACAAAAACTTTAGAACATATTTTGAACAGCAGTAATTAGATCATTAATTATGTAGGACAAACGTATTTTCGTGTAGATACTTTACTAGATTACAAATCCCAAATAGGACTCCTAGTAGTCACTGATCAAAAGAATTAAATTAAAGAAGCAAATTACTAAATTTCTGCAGAAGTTGAAAGAATCATGTACTCGACATGTTTTACACCTGTGCCCTATTTTGCATATTAACTATCAGTATCAATAATGTTCGTATAGAAAACACGGGTGTCTCGTCAAAATGAATTTAATCAATGTAAATAATTTCAAAAATAGTCTAAACTATTTTCTTTTAGTATATTTAGGTCTCCGAAAATTATGAAAATCGGATTATAATTGCTATTCAGATCTCTTATAATGTATCTACATATAAAAAAACATAAGCAAATAGGTACTCAATTCGTACCTAGCCGCCTTGGAGCCGGTCAAAGTCGAATCACATATCTATACTAATATTATAAAGAGGAAAGATTTTTTGTTTTTTTGTACCAAATAAGCTCCGAAACTACTGGACCAATTTAGATGAAATTTGGTAAGAAGATAGTTTGAGACCCTGGGAGGAACATAGGATAGTTTTTATCCCGGAAATCCTCACATTAGGGTCACATCATGATGAAAGTTTGTATGAGAATCAATCTGTACTAATATTATAAAGAGGTAAAGTTTGTGTGTTTGTGAGATTGAGAGTTTGTGAGTTTGTGACGTTGTAGGGGGTAATCTCTGCATGTACTGAACGGATTTAGATGAAATTCAATAAGAAGATAGTTTTGACCCTGGAAAGGACATAGGATACTTTTTATCCTGGAAATCATCCCTTAAGGGGGTGAAAATGGGGGTGAAAGTATATATGGGGAAGCAAGCTAGGGACGAACCCGAGCGAAGCGAGGGCGAGTCGCTAGTCAATATTATAAATGTAAGAAGTGAGTGAATTTGTGGTCAACTTTTATCCACGTATCCCGTTGGCAAAAACTAGTTGTAATTGATTAAAAAAAACAAATAAAGCAAATTTATTATTCAATAAAATATATAATTATTACCATCGTGACAAAATACTAAAAACCGTAATCTTTATTTTATGACTTATTTTCCACGGAAAGCAAACGACATTATAGAATTCGACGAAAACTTCAGGACATATTAGAAATACAAGTGTGATAACTGTTAACAAGTAACTCCATCGATAAGAGATTAATTTCGTGCAATTTAAGTACCGAATATGATTCCTAGTAAAAAAAACAACATGACAGATAAGAAAACGTTAATATAAAAAAATGTTTTAAAAATCATTATTAGTTTTTTTTTGGAATAACTATTCATAATAATGTTGAAACAGACTGCACTCAAGTTGTGTAATATGACATATCATTGTAATGTAGTGAAATTATAATTCCACGGGTTCAATAAACGCGATATCTAATGCAAAAAGAATTTTTCAAATCGAAGGAGTAGTTCCTGAGATTAGCGCTTTAACAAATAAACGAACAGACAAACAAACAAACAAACAAACAAACAAACAAACAAACAAACAAACAAACAAACAAACAAACAAACAAACAAACAAACTATACCTCTTTATAATATTAGTATAGATTCATATTTTTAGTGAATTCTAATGAAAATTTAGTTTTTATTGTTTGCGATTGAGTATATTAAACGTGCTTATCGATTTTTATTATTCTTTTTTAATGTATAAGTTATATTGTCTTTACTATATAATACTAGCAGAACTCGCGGCTTTACTCGCGCTAAAACTACAAAAAAAAAACTCTAAAAACTGGGTTTCATAAAAACTTTTATCACCTATTTTACCCTTTTATAAAGAGGAATGAAGGCGAATAGTCGAACGGGTTACAAGGCTTATATGATGACTACGACCAGTCTGTCAAGACTGTAACGACTAAAAAGAAGATTTTACCCTCTTCGAGGTTGAATTTTAGAAAACGCTGAAATACGTAACTCTTTATTTTTGCCGTACTCAATTCATACGAAATTTTATGCAAATAAGTCCATGGAATAAAAAGTTTCATACAAACTTTTAACTCCTATGTCACCTCCTTGGGGGTTGAATTTTGAAAAATCCTTCCTTTTCAAAAAGTAAGTAAATTAATTATTAACTCACCATCCTCAATAACGACATTTGGTCCTATAGTGACATTTGGACCTATTCTACAACCTTTGCCAATAGTAGCTGTAGGGTCTATGAGAACATTGCCCACCACCCCGGGCCCGTCGTGCAGCATGTCTGAGTTTTTCTGACGTAAGCTTGTGAGGTATAAGCACATACCTGTAGGTTAAATTAAACTGAATAAATCCTATGAATAATAACAATGTTCTTAATTCATTAATCAAATTACTAATATTATGAGAAACTTTGTATGTGTGTATGTTTGTTACTCATTCACTCTGAAACGAATGGACGGAATTAGATGAAATTTAGTATAGAGATAAACTATGACATTGAGTTACAAATAGGTTTGTTTCAGGCACCCGAACAAAGCGATATCCTCGTTAATATTATTAAATTAAATACACCATTAACACACACCACCATCTAGTTCCATGGTAAGCTACGTAGCCTGTGATATGGATACTAGATAGTTGATACACTACATATATATAATTTTAAATACATACATATTATAAATATAAACTGATGACCCATGACTGGAGTACAAACATTCGTGCTCATCACACAAATGAATGCCCCCAGCGGGACTCGAACCCGCGACCGCTGGCACAGCAAGCAGGGTTACTACAAACTGAGCCAAACGTGTCGTCAAATTTGTCATTATAAATTATCGTCATTATAAATGTAAGTGTTTGGTTAATTCTCAGTTAATCCCACACAAGCCGTTCAACGGATTTGATTGAAGAGTTGCAGCATCAATCGACCATGTAATGGATTAACACATAGTAGTTAACTTTTGTAACAACCGTTATCAGGTGTTGTGATTTGAGTTTGTTGCGTAATTGTTTAACGCTGATGTTATTATACAAAAACACTTTAAGCCGAGGATCTTAAAAAAGGAAACTATTTAGACGATGGTAATATTTACCCATAATACTTTCTTAGATTTACGCGAATATTTGCCATCTATACATTAATACATATAATAAAACAGTAACATAGTGAAATCTAAATATGACATATGTTATAAAAACAATAAAAGTAAATAAATATTGTGTACAGAATATATATGTAATGATGATGTTCTCCTAGCCGATTCCGGCTACGGCGGCCAATCTCATTGAGATTAGCCAACTGCGCAAGAGATATTATAGTGCACAAGTGTACGCGTAGACACAAGTGCACTCTCTATTCTTATCACTCTCATACTCCGGTGGGACGACCACTCGACACGACTGGTGAGAGTTAAGGCGCAGGACCGACGGCTTTACGTGCTCTCCGAGGCACGGGGGTGAAACACCGCCAACTTCCCAACTTCGGGCTGTTACTGAGACTTACTATACAGAAAGACTCAATAACTAAACTTGGCCCGACCCGGGACTCGAACCCAGGACCTCCGGGTGTGCAGCCGTACATGCTAGCCACTACACCACCGAGGCAGTTATATATATGTATGTACTCCAAAACAATTGTTATTAAAATTTGTGCCTGTTTGGCTTTATGTCTGTGTGAGTTTTAGATAAAACGCACTAAACTGATTTTAACAAAATTTTGTGTAATGATAACTTATTACTTGAATCAACATTTAGTATACCTTTTACTACAGGGAAATCTTTCGATTCCACGGGAAAAGCTTTCACATTTGCATATATTAGTAATAAGATTTTATAAAGGCTATATATATATATACCAGTTAGGAAATCTTTAGGCTGTCCAACATCCATCCAAAATCCTTGTAACTCCATTGCATACAACTCTCCATCTTTTGCCATGAAAGGAAACACCTCCTTCTCTATTGACATTGGACGCAACTCTATTCTACTAAGAACAGATGGGTTAAGTATGTACATTCCTGAAATATTTCATTATGATTTTATAGATTTTAATAAAAGTAATGTAATAACATAAAATCTAAAATAATATAAATTAAATATACGATTTTCAGTTTACCTGCATTTATTTTATTAGATATGAATTCTTGTGGTTTCTCAACAAAGCTTTCAATTTCCCCATTCTCTTTGTACACTACAACACCATATTTGGATGGTTCTTCAACTTTTGTTACTACTATTGTTCCTTCCTGAAATATCAATTTAATTTAATTAAAACTATTAATAAAAAATATGTTTATTATTAAAAGCCATAAGGATCAGAATATGATCAATATCTAGGAGAAGAATAATGTCTTTTTTTAACATGGCTGGACTGATGAACTAATAACGATAAGATTAGTCACTAAGTTTATAGACAAGTTAGAAAACTGGCCAAGTTCGAGTCGGACTCGCTCATGAAGGGTTATGGTACCATTATCTATAAAACGGCAAACTTTGTTGTATGGGAGCACACTTAAATATTTACTTTTTAGTGTTTGTTTTTATAGTGGCAACAGAAAATTTCGATTGTCTAACCATCACAGTTCATGTGATACAGCCTGACGACAGACAGATAGACTGACAGACGGACAGACAGCAGAGTCAGAGAGTAATAGGGTCCCTAAAAATGAGACCAAAAAGTGTTTACAGTCTCCTTTTTTACAGAAAATTAATACTAATAATACTAAAATTGATTTTGATATTAATTGGTAGATTACTTCTTAATACTATTCTTGTGTCTATATTTAGTTTATTTAATTATCTTAGAAAGGCAAACAAGTTTTTACAGGAAGCAGATGACTAATGCAGATAATATGCTTATAAAGGGATATAGTTTTCACTTCATATATTAAATATATGATTATATTAAAAAAAATATTTTTCCCACTATTTATTAGTTTTATGAATGATTTAAGTTATGAATGAATCTAACAGAAATTACTATTATTATCACTTTCATATTATATGACATGACAAATGTATTTAAATACAATTAATACAATGTTTCCTACATATTTAATTATTTAGGAATCTCCTAGATGGTATAAAATAATAATAAGCTTTCATAATTGTTCCATTAATATTTTATAAAAAATTATGGTTGTATTTTTTTTTTATTATTATCATAAGGTGCCCTTTATTTTGCATAGTGATATTGAATATTAAATATTGATTATGCTTAGTTACAAAAATATTAATCAACAGAATTTGCCTAATCTCAAGAATTTGACCTAGAATTAATCACTTAATTGTTGTAATCTATTCTAGGTTGTCTAATCTAACATAAATTGATCAGTATAGTGTAAATTGTTCAGCTATTTTGTTTAACCTAGTATAAATTAAACAAAAAGTTTGAAAATCATAGATGACTTTTTAGCATGCAATATAGGATATTAATTGTATATTAACCTTTCCATGACTTCTGTGATATTTAGCCAGCTCCTTAAAGGGGAAGTCACATATAACATCAGAGTTCAGTACAAAAAATGGCTCAGGGCTCGCACTTAACAATTCTCTTGCTAGAGCTAGAGGTCCAGCAGTGCCAAGTGGTTCAGTCTCATGTGAAAACATTAAAGATACACCAAGTTTCGACACTTGTTCACTTAACTCCTTTTCCATATCCTCTGCTCTGTATGAGACAGCTAAAATTACCTAAGACAAATTAAATAATTAATTTTAAAAGTTTGAGAAATATAAACACAATCAGATCATACGTTAGAAATATAAGATCAAACAATGTAATTTTCCTACAAAAGGAGGAAAGTTAACACTCACAATAAAATTTGAACAAAGAAACTTACTTGCGTCACCCCTGCATCAACTAACGCTTCAATTTGATGCATTAAAATTGGTTTGTTAGCGAATTCCACTAATGGCTTAGGCCTACTTAAAGTTAAGGGTCGTAGACGGGTCCCATATCCGCCAACTAGTATGAGAGCACGTATTTCACCCAATTTCTTATCAGAACCGCACATTTTTATTATTTAATTAAAAAAAATTGCAAAACAGGTCTTCTATGCAAACAATAATAGTTTCTACTATCTATATTATCACTTCATACGTGGCGGTCGTATAATAATAGTAGTTATCGTTATCGTAGTAAATAAAACACATACAAATTAAAATATTTGTCAATTGTCACACTGACATTTTACAATTTAGTATACAGGTAATAGATTATGTATGTCACTCTTACACACGTGTATGGGGAAGATTTCTTACAAAGAGGGCGCTACACATATGATCTATTTACATTCAGTCTAAGGTTAAGCAATTTATTATATCTCTTTTGTATCTGGTTTTTTGCTTCTATTGTGCTCGTATCTTACCTGTGCGATGTATTGTAACCTGTAAGTAAACAGCTGATGGAAGAATTGAGAAGGAGACGTGCATTCTGTGGTAGTCCTGACTGAACCTACCCTACCCCAGCCTGCAAATTTATGATATTTGCAATGAAAAAAATACTAATCGATAGATTTTCAATAGCTCAATTTAACTACGTAGCCCTTTCAAATTGCTCACCTTTAATTATTTAATTAAAAATCAATAAAGTCTTTGAAAAAAAAATAATTTATCTGTATATTCAAACTCCTATATCTTTTGATGTATACAATATTTCAAATTGCTCAAAGTTCTAAAACACTGCTCAAGTTGCATTTGTAATTGCTCAAGTAGAGTTTTTACCAGCTCCATTTTCGCTGATTATTAAATAATTAAAAGTATAGTTGTAATCCCAGTTTATAACTATACTCTTTGGTTGTAATAAATGTAACGTAGGTTAAGTGAGCGTGCGCATGCGCACCGCGCATTGTCGGTCGGTCTCGGCGGGCTTGGACAATCGTTCCAATTCAACGTCTTAATTCTGTTTCTCGGTGGATTTCTTTAAATTTATTGAATTTATGAATTGTTCACATTACGTGATTCCACTTCAGATATTATAACATAAAGAACAGATCTGGAATCTACCAATAAATGAAAATTAATACCAACAGATAAATTAAGACAAAATCTTATGTTCAAATGCTTATTCTATTAAGGTATTAGCCATGACAGGTATCATTAGTAAAATGTTATTAACATCAATACAAGACGGAACTTTTTTTATTTTTAAATATACATATAGTTTAATGACATTTTTATTTCAAAGAAACAAACTGCATGAATATAAACTGCCTTTAATATAAAGGCCAGCACTCACCTATCTATACGTTAAATTTATTCAAACTATTTATATTTATTTAATAATTAAGGAAAGTGGAGCTGGTGAGAACTCTACTTGAGCAATTATAAATGCAACTTGAGCAGTATTTTAGAACTTTGAGCAATTTAAAATATTGTATATATCAAAAGATATAGAAATTTGAATATACGGATAAATGAATTTTTTTTCAAGGACTTTATTGATTTTTTATTTTATAATTAATGGGAGCAATTTGGAAGGGCTACGTAGTTGAATTGAGCTATTAAAAATCTATCGATTAGTATTTTTTTCATTGCGAATATCATAAATTTGCAGGCTGGGGTAGGGTACCTCCTGACTGACTGGTGGATCAACACAGAGCCTAAACCGCTGGTCGTAGAAACGTGAAATTTGGAGGATGTATTCCTTATATTATGACGTAGATATCCGATAGGAAAACATGTTTCAAAATTCATCCCTAAGTGGGTAAAATAGGGGATTAAAGATTATAAGAAACTCTGCCATTCTTAATGTGAAATACACAGAAAGTGGTGAAAAATAAGAGCTAAAAAATAATTAAATAATTAATTTAGCTTTAAGATAAAAATTAAAAAATATTTATTTGGTTTTTTTCAATAGTCATCCCTTAAAGGGATAAAGAGGACAATAAAGTTTATATGAGTAGAAAATTATTTATGATCAAAATTATTTGAAACTTGGTATTAATGCTCTTCAATACAATTTAATAAATACGTGTTGTAGCATTTTTTGAAATTCAATCCCATAAGGGGGTAAAATGGAGAATAAAAGTTTGTACGAAACTCTATTCACAGGAAGTGGCATTTACCTTTAAAATTAAAAATAAAACAATACAAATAATTTGTTTTCATTTTTGTATTCTTGTGGGCAAAATTCTTATTCAGATTTCTATTTAGTAGTTTTTCTTCCCTAACAGCAGCATAAGGTGTTAAGAACTTGGACAAAGGGAAAACAGATGGCACCGCATTATCCTGTAACTTTAGACGTTGTAAATTAAAATCTGCAATTTTAAACAATTATGGGGGCTTATATATTATATGACTGTAAAAGTTCCAATAGTAGTAAAAAGTACAAAAAATAAAAAAATATATTTACCTGTAGACGATTTAACAGTTTTAAAATCAGTTTCTGTAAAATGATGTCCACATAGCTTTAAATATAAAGATCGTGATTTCGGTCGTCCTATTGCTTTAGCCCACAATTTCTTTAGTTTTTATCATTTGAGAAGAAATGATATACGTTTTGTTTGCATCCTGGTACTGCATAATTTGTCATTTTAATAAATTTTAAATAAAAGAAAAAAAAACCATCTCTAAGAGCTTTACAATATACTGAGGCCAGTAGTGATCGCGACTTCTAGCGGGAGAAAAAGGCAAAATCCGCGTTAAATTGTCACAGACATTTGACACTTCAGTTTAAGTTTATGTAATTACGTAATGGCTGGTAGTTTGTCAGTGTCACAAGAATCTTTCTAAAATTCCCTTACCTGTTATACAATGGCTGTGCCGGTTCGGATTTTATCTCGTTGCAAAGGTATATATCAAAAAGTATTTTATATCAAATATTAAAACCCTACATTATGTACAATGTTCTATGAATGTCCAACAGAATTTTTCATAGGGTTCTATATTTTTTGTGTAACCATGACACTGATTGTAACCTTGTATTTTTTTTATTTTCTCTTCTAAAATGTAAATAGTAAATTTGGAGAGTTTTCCTACTATAACACTTTTATTTTATGAAAAACAATTAATTTTTAGTTGGAATATACACATTTTCAATGTCATACCAATTAGGATTTAACCTTCATCTATTAATATAACAAATTTGTCTATTTAGAATCATCTCATTCTCATTATTGTATAAAGGTAAAATTTTATATCAATAATATATTTATTTGTATCACTCTTACTTATTTCAATATTGATTACTTTATCCAATGTACTGACCTTTGAACAATGACAGGTGACAGATTTATCTTATTTTAAATATGGTTTGTAAAAAAGTAATATTATGAACTATTTAAATAATATATACCAAAATCTTATATGCAAACATAGGGTGTGGCTTTCAAGTGTATATTAATATTAAATATGATTGAATAACATTTCTAATTATTATTTTTTTCAAACATTAAAACATTAATAAACTCTATTTCAATCAAATTAAATAATAGCATATATAAGTTTTATCTTTTTTTGTTAACAGATGGCTTAAAGTTTGGCAATATAAGATATTCCAGCAGCACACCATATACTGAAACACGGAAAAACTTGATACTAACAAGTGAGACCAAAGTTATCATACAGGGATTCACTGGCAAACAGGGCACCTTCCACGGTCAGCAGGCTCTTGATTATGGAACAAAAATTGTTGGTGGTGTGTCACCAAAAAAGGCTGGCACAGAACATCTTGGTAAACCAGTATTTGCCAGTGTGAAGGAAGCTAAGGAAAAGACAGGATGTGATGCTACTTTTATTTCTGTTCCTCCACCTGCAGCACCCGCAGCCATCTTAGAAGCTATTGAAGCCGAAGTACCACTTATTGTGGCAATTACTGAAGGAGTCCCTCAGCATGTAATGATATTTTAATATTTTTTTAAGTTACCTGTCATATATATTGATTTCATAAAATCTTTATTACCTCTTTGGATTGCATTTCTATAGATGTATTTCAAAAGGCTAAAAAACTTTAGCATTATTATATCATCACATTTATCATTCATTGATATGATCAATATGCAAGTAGCTAATCAACATATCTGAACAATTGATCCAATTGTACATTGACTTCTTAATTATTCACATACCATTTTGTCTGGGTATTTTAGTACACAAACCAACATATCTACGTAGTATGTATATTCATTCTTATTTACATAAAAATCACAATTTAATAATTTCTATGAAAGCAGTTATCTATTTGGAACTGAAAATCAGATATTTTTTATAATAGTTTATTGTAATTCTGTTTAAAAGTAATAAAGCATACAGTTTTTTATACTATTATAATAGATAATAGATTTTTGCACACTTAACTATTTTACTAATGGTTGTTTACTACACATACTGTTTTATATAATTCTCATATTTTACCAATATTGGCATCCTAATATTTGACAATAATTAGATAAGAAAATGGTTAAAATATTCTGCTAATGACATTTTCAGGACATGGTGCGTGTGAAACATGCTTTACTCCGTCAGAATAAATCTCGTCTAGTAGGACCCAACTGTCCTGGTATCATTGCACCTGGAAAGTGCAAAATTGGTATCATGCCGGCAGCTGTTCACAAACAAGGTTGTATTGGTGTGGTGTCTCGTTCAGGCACCTTGACTTATGAAGCTTGTCACCAAACTACTGAAGTAAGTTAATTACACTTTTGCATTGTTGCATTTTGTTGGTGAAAATAAAAATTGATTTAATGGTTTACTAGTTATGTTTATTGAATACATAGTAATATAACAAAAGAGTAAAGGGTACAGGCATAACACAATAAGCTAAAAGTATTTTTGTTATAAAAAATTGTGTTATCCTTAGTCCTTACACATAAAAAAGAAGTCGAGAGCTATTGAACAAATTTGGGTGTGGTTTTCGCATTTCTCGAGAGTGTTGGTGTATTAAAATTTTGCCTTAGCACTTGTAAAAGATGAACATTGACAACATTAATAAGTCGATTTGGCAGAGAAAGTGCTACTAGGTTGCTTTATTAATGTGAACAGCATGAAACATAAAAAATAAGTGAAAACAATTTATGGCAAATATAAAAAATAATAAAATTTCAACAAAGAACAACCTACAAAAAAGTCTGCAATAACATTTATCTCTCTTACATTTTATATAATTTTTGACTAAAGTTTTTAAGTGTTAAGTTGCCCATTTGCAATGTTTTTTTTATAAACTAATTTATTTATTATTAAGTACCTACTATATTTGGCAAGTTAATTTTTTTAAATTATTTGTTTTATAATAGAAATCGATATTCGACCAAAACCAACCTTGATATTACGTAAAGCGCACTGACGAAGTATGCATTAATTAAATAGGTAAAGATCGGCGCATTTATGTGGATGCAGTATTAATGCACCATTAAGCACTGTTGATTAATCGAGCCTTGAAAATTAAATAATTTTCTTTTTATTATAAAATATTTTAAGACGTTTAATGATAGAGTGAGATATGACGTTACTTAGCCTACTTTTATTTTAGAAAAAGAATTAGGGTTCCGCTCAAAAATTAATATTATTTTTATTATATAATAATAATTATTATTATTATAAGTTTTTTTTTTGACAAACATACACAAACCTCCGTCTCCGTCTTCTCTTTCCGTATCAAAATCCGTTGCGTGGCTTAGAAGAAGTAAGCGGAGAAACAGACAGACGCAGAAAGCGACTTTGTTTTATAATATGTATAGATATTATTACATATATAATAAATCGATACGATTTTCAGGCTGGTTTGGGTCAAACCCTCTGCGTGGGTATCGGTGGTGACCCGTTCAATGGTACGGATTTCATCGACTGTCTCGAAGTGTTCCTGAAGGACCCAGAGACGAAAGGCATCATTTTGATCGGTGAAATTGGAGGAAATGCTGAGGAACTTGCATCTGAATATTTAACTCAGATGAATACTGTAAGTTGTGTATAAAATAACGTGATATCGATAAGTTTTGGCATTTAGTTTATTATAATATGTTGAGTAAATAATAGTTATTATCAGTATAAACATTGTTAGATAAATTCGTCAAATATTTTTTAAAACCCTAGTAAGTATACAGATGTCATCAGTAGATTACGCAAGAATACGTAGTGTGTGCATAGATATGAGAATTGATTTGCTTATGAAATGATGATGGTTGACGATTGTTAGTTTTCTTAGTTTTCTACAGGTAGGCAACGTAAACATTCTACCTGTTTATACTATTTAATGTATGAGAAAAAAATAATTTTATACTCAATTTTTTTTATTGTGATACAGCAGATACGAAGAAATATTTTATTATTAGATGAACACGTGCTTTAATGGTTAAAATTATCTTGTTGTATATTTTGTATATAAAAATACTAGCGGACCCGACAGACGTTGTCCTGTCTACACGTCTTTAATTTGAAAATTTCAAACTTTTTTTAATAATTTTTTTGATGAAAATTATTATTCAAATTGTGAATATCTAAACCATTCCCAGATCCCCTTGAACACACACAAAAAATTTCATCAAAATCGGTCCAGTCGTTTGAGAGAAGTTCAGTGACATACACACTCACAGAAGAATTATATATATAAAGATATTGCATAGCGTTATTATTAGCAATTTAGAATTTCAAGATTCCACAGCAGTCAAGAAGTTATTATTTGTGTAAAATACATAATGTTAATTATAATTTAAAAAAAAATAATATTTGTTAAACCTTCACGCTAAAACAGATGTTCAGATTTAGATGAAATTTAGTACACTAGTACCAGCTATTGAAATTGCCTTTTTATGTTTTTGTCCAATGTCATTATGTGAAATGTCATGTGTAAAAGTCCAAAAACTTATTGTCTATATCATAAATTATAATAACTTATAAATTGAAATTAATTCGTATGAGCTAAATAAAGCTTAATTCAAATAACAATGAATCCAATGAATGTTTTTTGTTTAGGGCCAAAAAGCGAAACCCGTGGTTTCGTTCATCGCAGGTCTCACGGCACCGCCCGGCAGGCGGATGGGCCACGCCGGCGCCATCATTTCCGGAGGAAAGGGCGGAGCAATGGATAAAATTAAAGCTTTAGAAAAAGCAAACGTCATTGTCACTCGCTCTCCCGCCAAAATGGGCATTGAACTCCTCAAAGAAATGAAAAGATTAGAAATTGTATAAGTCCACTAACAATTCATATTGTCCGTTTACTTTGTATAGTCTTTTAGTAATTATACTGAAGTTATTTATTTCCTATCGTTGTTTCAGTCGGCCCACTAATAAGTTTAACCTCAGGGTGAACGAAAGATTTCTAACACTGACAGAAAATTATATTTTTTTTAATTTCGTTCATAATCTCGTTGTGTATGTTATTTACAAAGCACTCAATGTAGTATTAAGCATGTCCCTGTATGTTTATTGTAAGATACCTGATCAAGTATAAACTCTCTAAGCTTAAGTGCTATATGGATTGTTTTGGGCGAAGCTTGAAGTGTTGTATTTTTTAAATATATGATGTTTATTCATAATATCTATTAAGACCTGTTTCAATTTTATTAATGTGAAATAATAAACAAAATATGGAATGATGGCTTTTATTAAAAAAAAAGAACAAAAAATCACTCAGACATAGTGAAATGTGGTTTTAACCTTGTAACAGCAAATTTTCGGCTCAAACCTAATATAACAAAACTACTACATTATGTTATGCTGCTTACAGCTCTAGCAATTATTATAAATATAATAAGAGAAAAGTTACATAACACTACTACTTACTGGTAGGTAATACTTTTATTTCCTTACTATATGAAAACTTGAGATTCTACTTTAATAAAACTAGAAATATATTATATTTTTAAGTTTGTTAGGGCCGTTCATAAAATATGATCGCACTTATGGGGTGGTCAGGGGATCTATTAGTGAAGCAATATTGATAGGGGGGTCGTAGAAAGAGTAGTTTGTGTGATGTATTTTTTGAATGGCTCCTTATATATAATTAGGAAATGCTAAATATTTTTAAACATACATATTAACATCATTGCAGTCAGTCTATGCATCTTTTAAATATCTCACTAATCGTTACAAAGTATAATTATGACATGTGTAAAGATAATAGGTACAACTTAAAGGTAATTCTGTTTTGGTTCTCTAACAATAATTTTCATGTTATACTTCACTCAATCAAATTAGCTGAATGTAAGGGTTAAATGTAATATGATAGATATTGTATATTTTGAAATGTTGTAAAGATTCTTTAAATGTTAATAACGATCTCGTCTACCTCTACCACCTCTTCCACGCCTGTCTCCATCATTCCTCTCTCTACGAATTTTCATGGCTTCAAACCTTTCAGCCATCAAAAGCAACTCATCTGGCACTTCTTGATTAGCTTCTTCTAATATTTTGATCAATTCCTGTGCATGTGCCCAGTCATTCCTAGTGACAAAAGACAAAGCAATGCCAGTCTTACCAGCTCTGCCAGTCCTACCTACTCTATGGACATATTCCTCAATATGACGAGGGAAATCTAAGTTGATAACATGAGTTAAATCTTTAATATCAATACCTCTAGATGCAACATCAGTTGCAACCAAAATATTAACTGTGCCATCCACCATTTCTTCCAAAGCTGCTTCACGATCAATTTGATCTCTATCTCCATGGAGAGATTGGCATTCTATACCCTTTAAACACAGTTCTGTGGATATATGTGTGGCAGTAGCTTTTTTACCGCAAAATATTATGACTTTGTCATTTTCATCCATATTTTGAATAAACTCTAAGAGTGCAGCTTCTTTATCATCTTCTTCTACAAACATAATTTTCTGTGTAACTGTATGAACTGCTGCAAGATCTAAAGAGCCTACATTCACTTGGATAGGGTCTTTCATGTAGGACATGGCAAGGCGACGTACACCTGATGGCCAGGTAGCAGATGTCATTACAGTTTGACGATCAGGTCTCACATCGAATAAAGATTTTCTGATCTGAGGTTCAAATCCCATATCCAACATTCTATCAGCTTCATCCAAGACAATATAGGAAAAGTTTATAATGTTAAGATGTCTTGCCAAAACAAGATCATTTAATCTCCCAGGTGTAGCTATAACAATATCAACACCCTTAGTTACAATTTTGATTTGTTCCTTTCTATCTCCTCCTCCATAAATACAGACTGATTTAATGCCTTTATACTGGTACTTTGATACCTCTTTTTCTATTTGTAATGCAAGTTCTCTTGTTGGGGCCATGATAAGAACTGTTGGACCATCTCGTTTTTCTCTTGGTATAGGTTGTCCGTCTATATGAATTAGAGCTGGTAATAAGAATGCTAATGTCTTTCCTGTTCCAGTTTGAGCAATACCAATCATATCTTCACCACGAAGTAATATTGGCCAAGCTTGACTTTGAATAGGGGATGGTTGTTCAAAACCTTGTTTACGAATTTCTTCTAAAATTTCTGGGTAGTGTTGAAAAGCTTGTTCAAATGTTAATACTGGATTAGGCACAGGTCTTAGCCCAGGCTTATCATCAAAAGTTCGTTTTACTTGTATATCATTATTAGCTAATCTCCAACAGGTAACCTCAGCTGGAGTCATGTTACTTATTGTAGGGTCTTCTTTATAAAAATCCTTAATAATTGGTGGTAAGTTGTTCCATCGTTCTTGTTGTTGATTAGAGTAAGAGGAATTAAGTTTGCTCCAATCAATCATTTCTTCTCCATCTGCAGAAGTTTTTACAAATTCGTTAAATTCACCACTTGCATTGCTGTTATTGAGATTTTCTTTTACAACTGAAGCTTGACGATCTTCTGTTAGTTCATTTATCTTATCTTCCACTTTAGAAATAGCCGCATCAGTGCCTAATAATGTTATATCAGTATCATTTCCATTAGAATCGCCGATTTTGATTTTAACGTCGGATTCATACTCAAGTTCGCGTATTTTTGTACCACCTTTACCAATAACACGTCCTACTTTATGTGATGGAATTCTAATAACCTTTTTGTTTCCTTGATCTTGATGAAAATTACGACGAAAATTACCACGATTATTTTGGGTATTTCTAGACTCATCACCACGTGTTCTCCAGTTAGATTCATTGCTTTGACCTCTTACACCACCCCATGGTCGGCCTCGGCTAGAAGAATTAAAAACTCTGGCATGGTACGCAGGTTGTGGTGCTATTGCAACAGGAGCGGTGTCTTCGGAATCTTCTTCCCAGTCAGACATTTTTATGTACAGAAGTTAAAGAAGAAGCTTAATTAAATGTAATATTAATATAACAAAACTATAAGAATTTTATTTAACCGCACAAACACTGACTAACCGCATTTACATCAACTTATCTTAATAATTAATAAATACGAGTCAAATCGAGACAGCGCAAGCGGCATGGACAAGCGGCAAGTATACACATTATAGATAAAGACAAAACACGATGTTGGTTATGAAAATATAAACAAAACGTAGTGTTTACATTCTCTTTGGACGTTTGGTAGGAGTTTTTGAATTTTGCATCAGTTTTATATTTGCGACCACGCGACCTTTTTTCATTTAAATTAAATTATAATTATTTATTTATTGCCTGTGCAATACAGACAATATTACCAAATTTTTTTGGTAGATAATTGACTTTAAAACTTGGCGTAGGCGTCGACTACAGGCGAAACTTGTCGAAAATCGAAATTCGAAACAAGGCATCTTATACGAGTGCACGATATATATCGATATTTCATAAAGTATCGATACATGTACGCGATATATCGCTTCAACCCGATAATATCAAATCATATAGTATCGATATTATATATCGATAGATTTCATCCGATATATCAAATATCGTGAGAAATTAAAAGCACATTCAATTTCTTTTTTTGTAATATTAATTCCTTTATTTATGGATGGCAACTTGATTAAGAAAAAGGATTGTTAGCAGACTTGAAACGGAAAACCCCGAATTATTGAAAAACTAGCCTTCGCAATAACGGGACGCAAAGACACGAAAATGAAAATTAGTTTCATAATCTTCGTGAAGGCAGACTAGTAGTAGTAAAAATTTTATAATCTGTGACTGTAGTCGTAACTCGTAGTATGTCTGTGCCTCGAGAGTCTTACTCGCTTCCGAAATCCGGGTTGCGACTTCCACGTCGTTCATCCGTCATCGTTGTCGCTTCTCAGTACAAATTACAAAATAACCTATAAAGTATAAATAAAAGTTGTCTGTTTTGTTTAATACAGCTTACAAAATTTAAATATAGTAAGTATGTATAACGGTATATAAAAACGGCTATTTTAACTCAGCACTTTAGTAAAATTTTGTTTCTGCAAAGTCTAGAGAAAAAGTATTAGGATTAATAAATAAATAAAATATCTTGTTTCTTCACTAACTGTTTTTACTCATTAACCTGATCCGTACCTAATATTTAATATTACAGACTAGTTAAATACAAACAAATAACTTACGACTTACGATATATCGCAAATTATACGAAATATTATATCAAAAAAAATATCGATATTTTTTTACATGAACATCCCTAGGTATCAGGCGAGTCGACTCGACTCTCGAGTCGCATTTATTCCTTGTGCGTTTATCCCTGTTTTCCAATTAGAGCACTAAAGCGAATTATACGGCATAATGCTTACTTCGAATGTTTCAAGTACAGCAACGCTCCGCTCAATCTAGCATTTTGTAAAAGTAGGTACTGTTTTGGCGTAATGCGCGCAATAGCAGAAAATATGATATATACATCACCGTTGCAATATCTGTTTATATTTTATTTATATAATTATATATTAATTAGTTATATATTATTATATAATTTATAATATCGACGATATATATTATATACATAATAGCTGTTAATTTTTCTTCTTTGAACACTGAACCTTGTGCCCTCTGCTGGTGCATTTGAAAACTAATTTACGTTCCAATCAAGCATTAGCACACTTCGGCATTGTGCACCAAAGTACGGCATTATGCTCTATGATTGGAAAACATGGTATTTCAGCCGAATCGAATCCAATCGCTACTCGTCAGCAAAGTAGGTCGTGAATGCGCTTCGATATTTTTAACTCTAACGTGTATTATAACCTATACAGATACATAAAATTGAAGTGTCTGTAATCTCAAAATAACAGTTATTTACTAAATGAACATGAAATTATTTATGGTACTTTTAAGAAAAACCTTTTTTTCATAATAGTTGTCTGTCTCTTCCGCAATCTAAATCTGATCAAATCTGAATCTAAATCTTTATATCTTTTTTTATAGTGTACAGTATAATAGTATAGTTATATAATAAATATAATAATAATAGTTAATTATTGTTGAAAATCGAGTTGAAAAGCGCTGCCGACGAAATTCGCCTGACGAGCAATGCGCGCGGAATATAGCTATATATATAACTATATCGATTTAAAAGTATCGATGTGCGATAAACATCGATAGAAAACATCGACGTCTAAAAACATTGATTTTTTCGTTAGCAAATGAAACAGTCTGTCACTGTCAAATTAAATAGATTAATAAATGTGTTTATTATTACTGAAAATACAAAACAATTAATACTCTTAGTATTTTTGGGAACACTGTTATTTTGTTTCTGAAAATCATTATTAACGATATCAATAGCAGATGAATTCGCTTCGGTAATACGTAGACTTCGGCTTCACAAATTCACTTAATTCACTCACAGTTTTTTTTATTATGGCTTGCAATTGTTTACAATTAGCCAATGACAAATTAAAAAAAAGCTGTATCAAACTAGAAAGAACAAGGAAATTTAGTCTCACAACAATAGTCAAATCAGGCAACACGAGCATTGACGTTTAAGTTGACAGTATTTTTTTTAATCTCTCGCCGCTTTACGTTTTACTTGACAGTATTTTTTAAGCCCTAGGGGCTAGGAAATGCAAGGAAATAAGTATTCGTACAGCACTTGTCTAGTATTCTTTTATCTGTGATACAGCTTACTTCGGTTACGTTGATCAGTGTCATCTAGTGTATAATATTTGAACTCGATGGTCATCTTGGATGACCTTAGAGATAATATTGACGTTTCGATTTTTATTATCATATCAATCGATGTTTCAATGTTATTGAAATCAAAACATCTATGTTAAAACATCGATGTTTTCCAGCTAACCATCGATGTTTATTTACTATCGATCATCCCTATGCCGGGCTTTACAATATGCTGAGGGATATAGTGATCGTGACATCTGGCGAGAGAAAAAGATTTCATTTAGAGCGCTAGTAATGTAACTATTGTACGTTTACCTACTATTATTATTTTGTTATTAGTTTATTAATTTTTGAAATAAAGTATATGTAGAATATACTTAATTAAGTTTTTTTTCTTTAGTGGCTTAGATGATAGGTCTATGATTGTAAAACATAATAATTTCAATGACAGCACGTTATTTAATAGTACTGGCAAGCTAGGTACGCAGCGGCCAAAGCGTACAATAAAAATATATACTCGGCTATAATAATTCTAAGTACGTATATATACCTAAAAGAAGACGGTATAATACCATAAATCGTAAAGTACATTCAACATTGTTCTTTTGATTGTGTATCGAGCGAGTCGATTTTCTTGAATTACGGGAAGTATATTTGATCTTACAAAAATGGAGGTGGAGTTAAAACAAAAATGGAAAAATCACCCATTTTAAGTAAAACGTTTATTTACGGTATTCTTGGCTTTTCGTATATTGGATTGATCGCAGAGATAAAAGCTCAAAAAATGCTTGCAATCAACTTAACCCGTTAAACGATAACATTGATTGGGTTTTGTTAAAAGTTCTTCAATCGCCACAAAATGAGCAACTGGGCGAGGCGGATGCACCGGCGAGCTGCTACACTTAGCAATGTGGTTACGTCTTGTGGTCATCCAAATACTCTACCATACCCTAGAAGATTAGAGAAGGTGAAGTTTGGTGTACCCTTACACGAAGTATGCAAGGATGACATACCAGGACCTTTGCTCGTTAGTATCCGACAAAAATATTTATTTGTGATAGTGTCAAATAAATTGCCGCGCTATAGAGGAGGCAATTAATGTAATTAAAAGTGGCTATGTACTAAATATTTTCAAAATTTCTGACATACAAGACTACATACGACATAATAAATATACGGTATATTTTCTGTGGCAAAATACTGTGCGTTTTTATTTAGATATACTCACAATTTGCGTAAGCTGTGATATTTTAAATGGTGATTTCTGTAGGTGCTGATATTGAAGCTGAACAAAGAGGCACCGTTGCGACGGGATGTGTTTCGCGCGCCAGGACACCAAGGAGCTATGAAGAAGCTCATACACTTCCTTCAAACTGGACGACTCGTTAATGTCGATAACTATTCCGTTTATACGATAGCAAGCGTGCTGAAAAAATTTCTGAGGTAAATTTAATTTAAAAATATCTATATAGTGTTTTTGATTCTGTGTTTATATTTAAAAAAAATATATAAATATACTTTACTACTTAGGTAGACTTAAAATTATCTATCATATAACCATTTATAAAAAAGATTCATTCTCAACTAATACATTTTTGTTAAATTATAATAGTTTTATTGTGTACTTAATTTTTAAAAGTATATTCAAAGCAGAGAATGCTTTATTAGTATAAGTTCATACTTACATACATACATCACACTCACACAAACTTCATATAAGTACAAACAAAATAATAATTTAACAGTATCTAATATAACATAGATTGTAAACATTACTTTGGTCTTATCTTATCTTCATCATATATTTTATTAAAATGTCTAATCTTCATGTTTTTCCCCTAACAATAGTTTTTAGCAAAGTTTTTGACTTCTATGATCAAGTTCATCTTTTCAGTTGAAAATTTTTGTTTACTATGCTTTTTACTATAGAAAAATACCTGGAGGGGTGTTTGGTCGCGACGGAGAAATGCATCTCTTTACTGCTGTAGAATTACCACCAGATCAACAAGTTGATGCAATAAGGAGGTAAACTATATTTTTTTTAAATTATCATCATTATTATCACACACATGTAGTCTCCTATACATGTAATAAAATTGTAACTTTGTGTAAAATCTTATTGAAATATGCTACACTTGGGAAGTCTTCGTTTTTGTGATATACCTTACAAAATTTAAATTCTAACACTAGTCAATTTCCAAAGCTTTTTTTAGTATTTTTTTCGGTGCCTTTAGAACACCACACTGTGATGTATATATTTAAATTATTTATGTACTAGCGACTCACTCTTGCTTTGCTCAGGTTCGTCCTAAAGTAATTCATTAAATTGACATAACTTTTTTTACAACACACAAACAATTTTTTGATTACTAAATTATTACAAAAGAATTATAATGCACAAACACAGAGACAAACCGACAAACAGACAATAATTCTAAAAAGCATTGTTTTGGGTTCCATTGCGTTAATAAAGACCTCCAATAATAGTTTTTCTCAAATATCTTCCATTTATAGGTACAGCGATCAGTTACGCTTTTATTATATGTATATATTTGTTTCATTGTTAATTTTCACTTTGTAAGCATAAACGATACTTTAAATTTATTTGATAATTTCTTTTATATTACCTTTACCAGAAAAAAATGTATAAAAAATGTACACGTTTATCAATCTGAAGTGTTTATTGATACATAAATTGGTTTTAACCGTCCTCAACGCTTCATTAAGCCAGTTCACACAACTATCTTATTCCGCTTTATGGTACATTAGACTCGTTTTGTCGTGTATAACTATTAAGGATGCGATGATAAATGTTATCAACTAGCAATACCCGCGACTTTGCCCGCGTTCTAACTTCCGATCGCTATCAAACTTCATAGGATCACCCGCTGTGCTAATCAGCTGATTGCTTGAGAATTTCATCAAATAATACTTTCTTAGATTTACGCGAATGTTTGACATTATTAAATAAAACTATCTTTTCGGATTATTTCGCGGATTTATTTTGATTTTTGGTTACCAAAAATCAAAGATAGTTTTATTTAATAATTTCATCAAAATCGCTCCAGCCATTTTGGAGTCCATAGAGAACTTACATACACATCGATTTTTATATAGTGTATAGATAGATAATATGAGAAATTAAAAGAAAATAGTGATTATAAACTAATATATTTATCTACTTGCCCGGCTTCACTTAGGTGCTTTTTTAAAAAGTTTTAATATACTTATGATTCTTCTCAAATTAGGTGGTTATTCAAAATCTTCCCAAATTACTTCCTAGTAATCTTTTTTTAAAACCTATGTCTTTTCTTTAGGCTTTAACGCTCATACTAAATGTAATGCCCATATTAAATGTAACCGTTTCAGTTAACAATTTTAATAGCACCTACTATATAAAAAATAGCGACTGACGATTGGCCTATATAGTTTTACCATACATATTTATTGAGAAGGTGATGATGTCTTTGCGTAATATAAAGACATTGTAAAATGATTGTAGGTATTTCAGCTTCATTGTTAGTAAAACTTGGTGTTGGACGTCAAACTACTATGTAAGGGTAGAACAATACTTGTTTACGTATCAATCTTGATGTTTCTCCTTAAAATAACTTCATCAATTTTCCTCTATCAATCATTAATTTTTTAGGTTGATTTCCTTTACAGACTTTCATCCCCATTTTCGTCCCCTTAAGGGATAATTTCCGGAATAAAAAGTATCCTATATCCAATTCTTTCCCAGGGTCTCGTAAACTATCTTCTTACCAAATTTCATCTAAATAGGTCCAGTAATTTTAGTGTTTATTCTCTACAAACATACAAAACTTTCCTCCTTATAATAGTATATATTAGTGTATATATAGGTATAGCTCGTAATAGTGTAGATTACTAAATTTTTATCTGAATCCAAATCTATACATCTGTACAGATAAATAAAATTGAAGTGTCTGTTTGTAATTTCAAAATAACGGCTTTTTACTAAATGCATATGAAATTTGTATACGGTACTTATAAGAAAAAAAAAACGATTTTTAATATTTTTGTCTGTCTGTCTGTTCCGACTAATCTCCGAAACGGCTGGACTGATTTTGACGGGACTTTCACTGGTAGATAGCTGATGTTATAGGGAGTAACTTAGGCTACTTTTATTTTAGAAAAAGAAAACTTACCTAGGGACGCACCCGAGCGGAGCGAGGCTAAGTCGCTAGCTAATTATAAATGAGTTTGTATGTATGTATTTGTGTATATGTGTTTATGTTTGTTACTCCTTCAAGCTACATCAGCTGACGCTAATCGTAATCTTCTTTATAGTATAACCTCGATGTGTCTTCTCGAAGAGAAGGATGAGAATGATGATCTCATGTAACAAGAAAAAAGCAAATAACCAAATAACCAAATGAGCTGATCAAGGGGTAGTTATTTTAAAATCACAGACAGACACTTCAATTTTCTTATAAGTATACATAAATTCGAGATATCACTTTTAAAGATTTCGTCCCAGAGGGGTGCCAAAGGAACCTTATTACTAAGCCTCCGATGTCCGTCCGCCCGTCTGCCAGAGGGCTGTATCTCATGAAACCGAATAGGTAGAGAGTTGAAATTTTCACATATGAATACTATGTACTTCTTTTGTCGCTATAACAAAAAATAATAAAAATAAATAAAAATAAAAAAAAATAAAAAGGTATGGAACCATTCTTGTGCGAATTCGAATCGCACTTGATCGATTTTTATTACGTTTGCTTTATTTATGACAATTATTATTACATGTTAGTGTACAATTAAAACGGAAAACAAAGATGGACGGAAGCAAAGAGTTTACAATCACGCAATGAAAGTGACTCCTATGAATATGCTTACGCAAATTGTTTCTATATATGAAAAGTAAACGCGTTTCTTGTGAATCGGGAAAAAATTATAAGTTTTATTTTGTATAATGTTGGTATGGAGATAAGTTTTTATTTTATTGATAAAATTTAAAAAAAAAATTTGACTATCACCACGTTATTAAGTGCACATAATATAAGTTTTAATCTACATATACTAATATTATAAAGAGACAGAGTATGTTTGTTTGTTTGATTGAACGCGCTAATCTCAGGAACTACTAATCTGATTTGAAAAATTCTTTTTACGCTAGATAGCCCGTTTATTGAGAAAGGCTATAGGCTTATATATCATAAAATATATATTCTATCTATACTATACTAACCGTTAAAACGTACGTAGGACGAACCCGAACGAAGCGAGGGTGAGCCGCTAGTCTCTTCATATTTATATTATTACTATAAACTTCCCTATTGAATGAATTATCTAATGCAAGATTTTTCGAATTGATAAGATATTTAGTAGGTTAAGATACGCCCGTTGAAACATACAATTTCCTTAATTCATAAATAGGAAAATAACTATGTTTTGACAATAACAAAACCGAAAATAAAAGTACGTAGCTAAAATGGTCGCGTTATACTCTGACTATTCAATTATTAAGCTTATTTCGTATTATCTAGTAAAGTATAGTGTGAGACTACCTTTATAGTGAGGGCGGTCGTTGACCTCCTGTTTATGTCAAGCGTTTAATTTTCCTCCTGAATTAGGTCACAACGATCATTAACCGTCAACTTTCGCTATAATTATATAATTAAATATTACACAAAATATGACGATGTAGACATCTTTTAATATAAACATCATTTATAGCAGGCACATCACTAAAGTTACATTAATAGTGGGCTGCTCGTAAAAGTTACAATTTCTGTAAAAGTAAATTGAGCAAGTGATAAAAATTCTAATATATTTCAATGTTAAACCTAGACCTAGATCTACAGGGACTTGATTAGTTTCCGGAAAACTAAAATTGTTCTGTTATTTTGTTGTGTTTAGTCATCTTAACATGTCTAGGCTGGGCACAGGCTTCCCTTCGTAGTCTACCACGCTGCCCAAATGCGTGTTAGCAGACTTCACATGTATTTCGACAAATGGTTAAATTCTCTTAGACATGTTTTGTCACGATGTTTTTCTTCACCGTAAGGCAGGTGATTGAAAGAGATTCGCTCTGAGTTTGAATCTGTTTCACTTTGTTTTCCAAGCAACACACTATCACTGTGCTAGCACAGCCTAATATTATTTATATTATACAGTACAGGTAATGTTTTTTGTCTACAGGTTGCTATTATCACTGCCCGTTTGCACGCAGAGATTGTTGGTGCTACTCTTCGGAACGTTCAGGGTGATGGCGTCCAACGCTGAGAAGGCTGGTAAGATATAAATAGAATTAGATGCTGGAAACGACTTAGTTTAGGCTATAACGTTGGTTAAGCGCCACGGGTTCGTTCTCATGTAAATTATAATCTATGCATTTAATTCTAACTTCTAGAGCAGACCTTTAATTTCCATCCAACAGTACTTATATTTTAAAACGAGTTCATGTAATTTCTTTATAGATATTTCAAATGAAGCTAAAACATTTTATGAAAGAATGTGAAATGTGCATTATTATCTTTTTAAGTATAAAAAATGTTTATTACCACATATACATGAAATGAAAATATTATCTTAAAAGTAATAAAAATTGCTCCGCGAATCTGCACGTATTAGAAAAAACGTGTAATTATCTTTTTTATACAGAACATCGAAAGATTATGATTTTAAAAGATATTACACCTAGGTAACGTCGATCGCGTGCCAGCAATGTATACAACGGTGAATTAAAAAAAATAATAATGCATTCCCCTGGTTCATTGGAATTGAAAATAATAATTAGACCAATTTTGCCAATTACAACGGCGTTGGCGATCTAATGATGCAACAAGCTAAGCGGGCATTGTGTTATTATTTAATCTGTAGTTGTTCGTTCGCCGTGGTTGACCTACTTCATCACTAAGGCCTCTGTTCCGCCCATATGTTGTGGCATGCGCTTTTTTATTCTACCTAGGAACGATATTTTCAAACTACACACCTAGTTGAATTAATTTGTATAAACTTTATGTAGGAACTAAGTTGATGCGGTTAGTGAATTAATGAGTTAATGAGTAGATAAATTGAAAGAAAGAACACAATCCTCGTAACATGTTGGTTTTTTTTTTTTTAGAATTTTGTGATGTCTATTTTCTTATTGATATCTATATCCTACCTATGTATAACAAAATTCTGAGTCGATTTTGTATTTTAATTTTTTTTTGTAAAATCTTATTGAAATATGTAGTTATTAATATATATTACGATACAGAGGCCGAATCTGTGCTTTATCGTTTGTACAATGGGTTGTGTCCCGAAGAATTGTTCGAAATGATGCCCACGGCCACTTTCTATCACCGCACTGCTCGCCATCGACAGCGAGTTCATGCTCACACATTGCAGCCCAATCTCGCTGTGGAATGAACTCCCTGCCGAGGTTTTTCCAGAGGGGAGGGCTACAGTATGGGGTCCTTCAAAAGGGGAGTAAATAGGTTCTTAAAGGGTCGGCAACGCGCATGTGATGCCCCGGGTGTTGCAGGCGTCCATAGGCTGCTGTAACCGCTTACCATCAGGCGGGCCGCATGCCTGATTGCCACCGACGTGGTATAAAAAAAAGGCCGAATCTAGAATTTTTAAAATTTTTGTCTGTCTGTCTGGGAATGCATCACGAGAAAACCACTTTTTACTGCGGGAAAATATCTTATCTTTGAGAAACCTATACTAAACCTTAAAACGTAAAGCTACGCTAGTTTTTTTATATATATCTCAATATTTGTAATAGTGATGGAACTACCGACATTATGTATAAACGTAACTAGACTTGTGAATATTTTTTTTACGACAATTCAATTATAAGATGCGTAAAGTAATAAATTCTTTGAAGCCAATAACAAGAAAATTGAATTGAATTAATAAATTATAAACAGTATATATTTTATGGGCGTAATTTCAGACATCGAACCGAAGTGATTTACCGACAAGTGACAAAAACCGGATGCTCTTACACTTTTATGGGTCAACCACTTGAACGCTCGGTTGTCAAATCAAATATTCTAATTAGCTGATCTATTGCGTACGTACTGAAAGAGACCGCGATTGTGTTCAAACGATTCGATGCACTTATTTGATGCGGACAAGTCCATATTAAAGTCATATGCTGTATTCGGTTTCCATTGTCTTTTTTATTTACGTCATGCCATTCCTATCTTATACTGTTACAAATTAAGTTTTAAAAGTCTAAGCAAAATGTACGCTTCTAATTTTATTTAAGTAGTTTTTTTTTTATATCGTCACAATTTAGGTTTTACTCTCTGTAATAAATATTAAAATGAGTTTTATTGTTAACATTAACATCGTACAAGGTATGTATAAATTATTTAAATTACCTAAAATACAAAAAAATAGCACTGCTAAAGTTTTTTAAATTTATCTTCAGTGTATATAATAAATTGCACTGAATATAAAATCTTTTATCCAAACCTATAATTAACTTGAAAATTCTGTATCTATATACTCCGGGAATGTCAAAGGAAGTATGAAAAATTAACTGTCATAAATGCCGACGAAACCGCAGGAACCATCTTGTATTATAATATACATATAAAATCGCATGATATAATGTTCAAGTAACCTTGGTGTAATGTTGCGAATCATTTTTATCTACATCACTATATTCGTACTAGATTAAGTACATGTTCTATGAATGCTTTTTGGATGTGTGTATGTACGTTTGATTATTTGTGAAAAGAGAATTTAGCTAATTCAGATATATCGTTTTATCTGAATGTAAAGGATGTTGTTATATTTAATGGCACATTATTAACAATGGCGGATATCATGGAGCGGCTCTCGGAAAAACTATTTTCGTTTTGTGTTAATTTTACTGTGTCACGGCCGTACGAAATTGCAAAAATAATTCTTTAGATCTTCAATCTTCATCCGTGTCGAAGTAACGTTGCTTTAATCAATATGAAGTGGTTTTAGATTTGTTTTCTATCTATTAATGTTGGGATTGAACATATTTTATACATATATGACTATATATAATAAAACAAAATCCCTGCGTCTGTCTGTCTGAACGCGATAAACTAAAAAACTACCGAATGAATTTCCATACGGTTGTCACCTATGGACGAAATGAGCATGAGAAAGGTTTAGGTGAACGCTTAATTAAATATTCCATATTTAATATTTCATAAAACTCATTGACATTTAAAAAAAAAATATATAAAAATTAACAAATATTGTAAGGTAAAATACGGTTTTAATTATATTTTTTTTGTATAATTTTGTGGGTACCTAGTAGAAGGTACTGTAGTGTGGCCCCTGATTCAAGGAGGCCCCATGCGAGCCACAAACAATTCTTTATTTCAAAACATATTTTCGAAGACGGCTCCATATAAAGTTTTAAAAAAAACTACAAGAAAAAATGTCTTAAATTTTCGCATATTATTTTTTACGAAGACCACGAGGAATATAATCGTACCTATGATCTATAAAACTGTGAATGGTCCTCTAGCTCAGCTTTTTTACTAAATTTTACTCTAACTGATCTATCGTGAGAACGGTTTAAAAAAAAACCAACAAAGGGAGAAAACTGTCGCTGTCTGTGGACCACATGCGTTTTCAAAATAAGCAACATTTTTTTTGTATTGGGGCCCAAGAATGGTGTTTACACCACTGGGAACAGCACTAATCAATACATAAAATATCTCTTAATGATTTTCGGTAAATTAAATTGATAAATTACTTACGTATATAAATTTTCCCTAACATTTTTTATGTAATTTAGATGAAAAAAGTACAATAATATAGTTTAAGTGAAAAGAATGTGCATTAAGTACATTCACAGTCGCAAACGCCGGGCTATGTAGTAGTTGAACGGCCCATTAAACCATGTTATTCTATCCCCCTTTTAACTCTGTTAGGCATTGGGTGGCATTTTATTTGAAATGTCACTCGTCGTTACATAAAGGTGCTATTACTTAGCTCATTGAATTCCTATAGCCTACTGAATTGTTAGTTGTTCATTTGTGTAAGTACTTCTGTTCTGCTATTGGCTATATGGATTATTTGTTTTTTTTTTTTAATTTATATTTTATAAGTATTATTGAGATGAGAATTGTATTGTACATGTATGTATTCAGCCTTTTTAACGGCCCACTGTTGGGCACGGTCCTCCTTCAATGTGAGGGGGATCAGGCCATAGTCTACCTACCACGCTGGACAAGTGCTGGTTGGCGGACTTTACATGTCTTTTGAAAACTTGCTAGGTTTTCTCTGACTTACAGGTTTCCTCACGAAGTTTTTCTTCACCGTAAGGCAAATTGTAATCATGTTAGAAATGATTCGCACATAAAAATATCAGAGGTCGAGACCTGGGATTTGAACTCGCTTCACTCGGTTTCCCAAGCGAGCGCGTTACCACTGGGCTAACACTACCTTATTGTATTGTATAATACTTAGTCTATAATATTTCCTTTACAATTTTATCATAACACATTTATTTAATATAACCTTAGAAAATATAAGCAATTACTTAAAAGCGAACACTTGATGTAAAAAGAACAATTACGTGTAATTATAAAATAAGAAAAAATCAGCGCGTCCGGAAAATATATTGCGTTTTAATGTATTTAGAATGGTAAATAAGTAAATGTATATGTAGTAAAACGTTATATGATGAGTTCGCATTATAATATGAAGTCATTATTATACATATCTAAAATTATATAAATATAACATAATATGAACATTAATGTAAGTTTTCTAAACTACAAACTGAATTATTATAATTACCTTAATACCTACTTAAAGTAAGATATGATAATAATTATAATTTATTAACTAGCAGAACCCGCGGCTTCGCTCGCGCTAAAACTACAAAAAAAAAATTTTAAAAAACCTGTTTCATACAAACTTTCATCCCCTATTTTTTACCCCCTTTTACTAATTTTTAACTTTTACGAATTTTGAAAAATGCTAAAAAACGTATTTATTTAATTTTATTGAAGAGCATTAATACCAAGTTTCAAGTAATTCTGATCGTAAATATTTTTTTGGATTTTATTATAACGTGTTATCCCGTGGGAATTACATAATCTCCCGCGGTTAAAAGTATCCTGTGTCATTTTCCAGCCCACTAACTATCTCCACACGCAATTCACGCCAATCCGTCGTAATCACGTGAAAGAAGGACAAACAAACACACTTTCACATTTATAAAATTAATTATGTATTTGTAGATTTTAAGGGTAAGAATTTCAAGTTTTGAAATAGATCATTTGAATTTTATTTAATGTTTACTACTTACATAGCAGTATTATATTCGAATTTTTAGTGGTTTCATATAAAAACAAGTTAAATCGTCCAAATGATCAATTTTTCTACAATTATTTATATTTTCAAAGGGCATTTCCCTAAGCGCCGGAGATGTTATATGTTTGTCACGGCTTCGTTAAGGCAAAATGTTACTTAAACTTATTAAACGAAAATAAAGAAAAATGCATTGTTTTGTTACGTATCTTAAAACCTTATCGACTTGCCATTTTATCAACAAAAACAACCAATAAAGACTATCAAAGATCACAGTTGCGCAATCCATTAGCCCAATTTCCCTCAATTTATAGGTACTGGAATGACATCAGAAGCCCTAGGCGTGTCGGTGGCACCATCGTTCTTCCACTCGTGCGTGTCCGACGGGAAGACTGCTACAATGGAAGATGTACAGAGATTCAAGGTTAGTATATCATTCCGATGCAATTGACTGTCGCTTTGATATGCAACTATTGACTTAAGTGGATAATATGTTCCCACGTGAGAGTATTGTAATTCAATTTTATAATGCGAATTTGTTTTTTAATATGCGATAGCGTATATAATATTCCAATAGATGTAGGTGCGTTGTGTGGGATCAATATGTCACCTTTTTAGTGGGCGGTGCCTGTCGAATTGTTTCAGTTTAGTTTTTTTTTTAATTTAATGATGATTCCAGCAATATGTTGATGATAAAATCAACTTTAAATAGTTTAAATTCGTCGTATTCAATATGAACGAACGGTTTGTAACATCGAGCGTGGTTTGTTACCTTCTATTAAAATAGTTGGCTCGAAAGTTCATTATAAATACGCATACCGTTTAAAGAATTCGTATATGAGGGAGACTGTTTATACCTTGGCCTGGTGCAATGCTAATCTTTTGGCATTGTTATCAGCGTTGAGATCCGAGTGTTCGCTTATCAGACGATACAATTCAATTTACAATTCTAAGTGAATGCTTTGAATAATCGTAATCTTTGATTTTTATGTGTATTAATTCATAATTAACAGTTGCAAGTTAGTTTTAGTAACATATACAGTATATAGTGGAACCGATTGGTTATTTATATTTTTTAGAATTTCTATTAAAAGAAAGGTGGCCACATTAAAATAGTTACATAAATAAAATGTTATATACAGTGTAATGATATGGTCTAAATAAACAAATTGTTGTAAATTTTCCACCTTTACCGTAATAACTTTCTTTATATGTACATATGTATTATGTATATAGCTTTACACAGTCGCTTACTAACTAATTTAAATTATGCTGCGTAAAGGCGGAAGTTTCTGTAAGTATAACAATTTGCACTTCTAACATGCATTCGTAGTTAGCATCCATTTTGTTTTAATTAAAATGTAATTAAACGGCTAATTTTAAAACTTACAATGGCGCCTACGTCGAAAAGCAGGAGGTACTCAATTCGTTTGTATTTTTTGTGGGTATGTTACGCGATTTGTTAGGCAATTGTTGATCGATTTTTAATTTTTTTAATAAGATTATGGCAAATATTATGTACCTCAATATCAATCTCATACATATTTTGAAGAAAAGTCGGTGTATATACGGTTTTTTTTGTAAAATTTTAATTTGTATATAGCGCTGTAATGGTATTCGTCTATAAATCTTTAATTGATTTGTCTTTATGTTGTCTTAATAGTGTTAAATTTTATATTTAAGACACTGCTTATTTAGCTCATAAGCTAACAAATATTCGTATCCATAAGCATATGTCGGTATATGCGTGCTTGATATATAAAACATCTTCAAACTTTAGTCTATGCATTTGCCTTGCTATTTTTTGTTACAATTTCCGACCCCTGCATTCCGTAGATAAGCACTTGATTCATAAATTGAATAAGTCAGTCATTTCCCATCTCGCCTTGACTCATCTCGCCCTACTAATTTTAATAGGAAGTGGCCGCACGAAGCCTGTAAATTTTACTTCAGATTTTATAATAATATACTTTATTTGATAAAACACTAATTATTCACATTGTATAAAGGTTCCTTACGTTTTAACGTTTAGTGTAGATTTCTCAGAGATGAGATATTTTCCCGCCGCAAAATGTATCCTGTATGTTGACCCGGATAATAATCAGTTATCATCATCAAATCTGTCCAGTGGTTTTTCCGTGATGCGTTCCCAGACAGACAGACAGGCTAACATTCTAAAAACAATAATACAATATCGGTAATCATGATTATTTCAATAAAATCATTAAGATTTCATTAAGATTCCAGAAAGTATTCAATGTACAGATTCCACTCAGTTACAATTTTATTATATGTTTATTGTTTAGATTGACCTGCATTATTTTATAGTATAGGTGTTTAGGAACATGCAAATATAGCAATTAATAATAGGTATCTCGATACTATCGTAATTAGATTGTTTATAGTTTATAGCGCTTTTTATATAAATATTTATTTATTGATTTATGGTTAAGCCGATTTCATCTAATACTTTTTATTTATTTTTTTTTACATTTAAAATTAGTTTTGTTGCATTTAGTACCAAAATTTTCATATTTTTTTTTTCTCACATTACTAATTACAACTATCATATTTTCATACATAAAACCTTCAAAACAGGTGGCTACTCGCATAATGCGTCAACTGATCGAGCAATTCAGCGCAGGGGATCTATTCGGTAGGGAAAATTACGAGTACTACGCACGAGTTACGGGAAGGATATTACGGGTGCGGGACGAGTGGATATGCTCGTTCCGTGATCCTCCCCCACCGAGACATCATAGAGATCAGGAAGCTTATGCACGTATGTATACCTGTCTTTTATGTGTACATATCGGCTTTGTGTGTTATATGAACATTGTAGCTTGTACATATGAACTGAAAATTCTTAATAAATATATACTTAGAAACAGACTAAAATCTACGATTAACAAACCCAAAATGCGTGTTTAAAATCGAATCTGCAATGGTCGCAAAAGCAATCACTGCGCTTTTACGTAATATCTGTCTAAAATTCATATTGTCTGTCTAATATTCACATTCTTTTAAAAATTTTGCTTTTAAAACGTTTTATTTACGAAATTTATTAATTTTTATTTTAGACATAATTCAGAAAACAAACTTAATTTGTTTACTAATTAGTTATGCATATAGTATTTATTATACGTAATCAAAAATATTATTATATTCTTGGAATTATTATGAGGTTTTCGTTTAAAAATTAAAGAAGATTTTTTTTAAAATCACCAAAGCGATGATATCCAAAACAAATCTCATGCAATAAAAGCAATGGGAATGAATATAACATTGGACCACAATAAATAAAGGTTGCACAAAAACATTGTGGGGTAATTAACGAGTTAATAACCTCAGGGCAAATCCAGTTGGCGGCCAATTGTTATGGATTAATTGAGTCGGACACTTGGTGTAATTTCTTGAGAAACGTTTATTGCTTCTTCAAAATTATCATTGAGACTCGTTTGTTCAATAGGCTTGGTTTAATACGAAGATTTGATGTTTGTAATTGTAAAATGCCCATGTGCATAAAACTGTTCAGTTGTTTATTGAAACATAACAAAAAAAAACTTTTTATTAGGTTTTTAAAGGCTAAAACATAAATAATGCTCACCAGCGTATGTGGGTTTGTCTACCAGTTTAAAAAAGTCCCAAATAACTTGTGGATAGTAAAAAGTTGACACTCGGTACAAGTAGACTAGTTGATATTTAGTTTTTTAGTTTCACGACTCTATTTTAGGTATCCAAACATGTTACTTTTTATATTTTGAAAATGCAAGAAGCGTTTATTAATGTTAAAAATGTCAGGGATATTTACTTAGTTTTTAGACTTTTCTTCTATTTTTCAATTTTGGCATACATCATTCGTTCTGTATCTTTTAGATTGTACAGATACAAAATGGGTACAGAATAGTAGGTTCAAAAAGAGCAAATTTTAATATTAATAAAATCAAATGCATCGTGTTAGTAATCACTAAAAACACAAAGAGATAGGCAGGAGGAGCCGTATGCAGTAGCTAGTTTATTTATATATAATAATTAAACGATTATTTTTCGTACGAAGTTAAAACAAGATACGAACTGATAAGAAAGTAATGAGTACTTTAATGATAAGATAAAAAGTGAAAAGAATCAGTCTTAAAGTGCATTTCGATTGGCATACAGTTTTAATTTGATATTATAATTATTATAACATATTAAATATTTTGTATTTAATATCTATTATATTTATGTATTGTTCGTATTTTATATTTTCATAATATAGTATCAAGAGTGTGTTCGATATTTATTTCTACTTTCACGCAGCAAAGAAGCAACACATCAACGTGACTTTCTGCATATAGATAAATTTATGGTATGCACAATGAATGAGTGAGTGTGATTAGCCCCTGAATTGAGACCAGTCACTATTACATAACAAATTAAAAATTCATGACTCAAATAAGTAAATATATGTATATATTATGTACATATGTATGTACAATGTACATATCTTACTTATCCTATAATAAATATTATATTTGTATTATACTGCATAATATTTTTAGTTCTTTAATATCTTATAATCAATAATCATGATATTTTCTAAGAATTATTTCTTTTTTTACAGGTCAGTTATCGTTAGAGGCTGAGAAAACATGGCTTCAGTGTGAATGCGATCGCTGGGGCAACAAGTTCAATTTAGAAGGTAAGGAGACCATACAAGCGTAAGGCATTGCACTAATCTGACGTTGTCACACATCGCGAATGCGTCGTTCTATATTATAGGCTTAAAGGGTTTTATCTTTTGTTACTTTGTTCTGTTTTTTATGAAAAAAAGTATGGATTTTTTTTCTAATATTTTTTTTTATTGATGTTACAATAATGATTATTTATGAATTATAATGACGTTTGGAATATTGCTCCAATTTTTCCATATTTGGTATAGTAACCGCAAAAATTAAGGTTCTCGAATAGGCTTTCAAAATACTCTTCATAATTTAAAAAAATAAGTAGAATTCTTTATATATTTAAAATCAAAATTATATTATTTAAATACGCTTTTACAAACACTTTTTCTTTTGTGAATCATCCATTTTATATTTTAATTGAAATTGTCAATATGTAAGTCTCAAGGCAGGCTACCACCGGCTCGGATGGCAGTTCTGCTGGAAGAGCCGGCGAGATGCTCAACAGTTAAGTACCTAATAATATACAGAAGAAGTCGCCGTATAATTATATCGTTAGATAAAACTTCGCTGTCAGGACAGCAAAAACAGACTATCCTACGGGAACCGTACATTTTTCCGGGATAGAAAATAGCCTATGTGTTATTCCAGACTATAATCTATCTCTGTGCCAAATTTCATTCAGATCTGTTCAGCCGTTCTGGCGTGATTGAGTAACAAACATCCATACATCCCATACTCATAAACTTTCACATTTATAAATATTAGTATAGATTTTTAAGTAGCCAATTTTCCACAGGTCAACAACATTTAAGTTCTTAAGTCAAGTTTGTTAAGTTTTCAATATAAGTTATTTTTTGGTGAGTCCAGCACTTTTGTGCGTTAATAATGTCACAGTTTGAAGTAGATTTATTATATCACTTTAATTTTCGAATCAAATGGGCATAACATTGGTAGCACATTTAACCATATATGGGATTATTTATTTATATGAATATTCTTTAACATATCAATCATCAATTAAAATTAGGTTTTTCAAAAACATAACTTGTGGAAAGCACTTTTATATATATTTTTTACTTCGTTTTTGAGGAAAATTATATAGTAGGAACATACATATACTTGTTTATTATTGGTTTAGTGCATATTATTATGAAATTATTTAATATATGAACTTTAAAAATAATGTATGTATATTACGCACATGCTTTAGAACTATAAATTAAAAAGTATTTAGGATTGCGCTTCATAATAATATGTTAAAGAAAGCAAATTATTGTAACAAATAAATTTTGGGTTATTTCCATTATGTATTATTGTAATTTTCTCAATTTTTATATGTGAAGGAATTATATTTAAAGAAAAATTAGTTCCCTGACTTCCAGAATCCAGTCGTGTCAACAAATCAACATTATAAATATAATAAAAAGGTCACAAAGTCATTGATTGTTTAATAATTTCTTAGATTAACGCGAATTTTTCATTTTAAATGAACCTATTTTTGCGGATTTTTTCATGAAACACAACGCCAAAATAAATTAAGAAAATTCGAAAAAAGAACAGGATTATTTATTGTTATTATTATATATGTATTTAAAAAAAAAGCTGAAGTCGTAAACCCACGAGCAGGTCTGTCCAAGTCGGAGGAGTGCCAGTCCATGCCGGCGCTGGTGGGCGCGGCGTGCGGGCCGGGCGCCGGCGCCGGCCTCGGCATCATCCCCGAGCACAGCCTGCTCGACTCCTGCACGCGCCTGTCCATATCGCTGGAGGAGAGCGTGTTTAAGGTGAGTTCACACGGTATGGTTTGCTTTGGTTACATTTCAGCGTCTTCCGTAATGTATTTCGCGCAGCTAATTATGTTCTTAACACTATTATCTGTATCGCGAGCAAGCGCGCGAGCATGCTAGCGAGCATTGTTTTTGTCCAGGGACGAACCGCAAGCAAAGCTAGGGTGAGTCGTTAGTTTAAATTCAATATATTTTATTCAGTATTATATTTATTACATTTTTTTACTAAACGCCAAGAGTCTTCTACCAGTTCGGAAAGAAGAAGCCTCAAACCCGAGAAGAACTGGTAATTTATATATTAATCGAATTTCATGCAGGTTTCAGTGAGCTCGTCGTCGCAATCATCCCGCAGCAACTCGAGCCCGCACATGACGCTCGAGGAACTGCGCGCCATAAACAAGTACGCGGAGAGCACCAAGAGCCTCTCCTACTTGCCTCAGGTGAGACCCGCTATGTGTATACCTAATCGATTATATTATTTGAAATGTTTATTTATTTTTTTTAGGTTAAATTCGGTTAAATTTTATTTTCTAATACATGCACAATGCATATTATGATTATACAAGTTAGGTGTTTTTTCGTAGATACGATTTTCTAAATTAAAATGTTTTTTTTTCTTTAGAAAAAACTTGAATGCAGATAACTAAGCATTCTTAATATAAATTGTTAGTAAAGTAAAAATAATTAGTTCTATTAACTGTACAAAATTCGCAGTCAAAATTATTTATAAATATAATTGATTATATTGAATAAAAAAATAACGAACATACATACAACGTGTCAATAAACTAAAAATTATGTTGTTTTATTTAAATCGTGATTATATATCAGCATTAGTAGTGATCTATTTAAAAGAGTTAAATTAACAGTATAAGTAATTGATTATATACAAATTGAGCTTGAACTCTAGTAGGTAATATCAATATTGGAATATTTTTTGTTTTATAACGTTTTTTACCTATTCTTAATTGTCTGAGAATAATCTCATATTATATGAACTCTAGATTAATGAATATCTCACTGATAAATTGAATTGAATCAGAAAACGTATATAAAATGTATGTTTGAATTCTAGCGCACACTAAAGGATTGGTTATTGTTTAAGAAATGGTGACGAGGTTTTGATCTGTAGATACCCGTAGTACAACGAACGAATCGTACCTTGTCTACTCTATGTAATCCCCGTTTTCTTAGTATGAACCACTGACTTAATTTTTTTTTTAATAAAAATTTTTGCAATCTGGTATTTTAGCAAAGGAATTTTTAGATATTCTAAATAACTTAAAATTTCTTGTTCCTTTAAATTATTTGAACTTATTAGTTTAGTTTTACTATATTTATTTTTTAAATATTAAGAAAGTCAAATAAAAAAAAAACATTTTATATGAAGTAAAAGCAACAACTGTTATTACTTTATTGTTCTCTATGATGTAATTTACAAACATCTATTAAAAATGATAAAATTATACAAGATTAAGTAATTCTTATACCTTCTTATCTCGTGTTGTAGGTAATACAAAATTCTGGTATTTTTCAGTGGTTCATACTCATACTTGTTGCATGAAAAATTATCTGTTCACACTTAAAAGGTATTTAAGGCGAGTTGTGACTTTCTTTTAGTTATTTCTATGAAAATGCAACGTGTGTGAAATAAACAATAACGCTTCGTAGACGATACACTTATACTACGTGTTACTTTTTGTACGGGAATAAAAATTGTACCTACATGATATTTTAGAACATGTTTGTATATTAATTTATATACTGACCAAAAAGCATTGTCAATTTGCGGTTGTGTTTTTTTTTTATTCGATGAAATTAATATATATTTTGGATAATATATTATTATTATTGATTTTTCGATGGTAATGGTTTATAATAGGTGTATTGTGTAGTGACTAATTAAATTATAAATGATTAACGCACTAATGTTCCTAACATTTGTTTCACTTTATACAATTAATTAAATAAACCTAATCCGAAATAATGCAGTATTTTACTTATAAGGTGGTTAGTTAAGATATTACGAGGTTTTAGGTACATAGGTTTGTTCTCTGAGTGAATATTATATTTGCTAAATAATCTTCTGTTTTATGGAGATTACTTTGTAAATATCACACGGTTTGTGGGTTATTTGTCACTGTATATAGAAGCTCGTTTTAAGGTATGAACAACTTTGTTGGAAAAAAAAATTGAAATATTGTTTTAAAATTTATTTTATGATTAAATATAAATCATATAATATTATCATTATCTAATACTTGTATCAATCAACCCTAGCATACGAAGTGCCATGTTACAGATGTTCGAAATAGCTCGAAAGTAGAAAATTCAAGTTTAAAAATTTTTAGAAAAATAAACTGCTTATTTAAATTTATTTAGGATTCGTTTAAATATTGATGAATTAATCTATACTTATAGAATACTAAGAAACATATAATTTATAGATTACTAGCAGAACCCGTGGTTTCGCTCGCGCTAAAACTACAAAAAATAAAATTCTTGGGCTTTATGCCATTAGTAATAATTTGATGGATGGTATAATTGTGACTCTCCGTCGAATATTGTGTTGCTTTTACTAACATATTTATATACAAATATTTTTTTTTATGTTTTCGGAATACATAATATCTAATATATTGAAACGAGAAATTCTTGTATATTTATACCGGCGATCTCGAAAACGGCTCTTAACGATTTCGCTGAAGTTTAGTATGTGGGGGTTTTCAGGGGTCAAAAATCGCTCTAAAGTCTGATTTTTAATTCGACGGAATTCTGACATTTCAGAAGTGTTGTCAGCTTTGAAACATTGTCACTTAAAACGGAAAGCATTTTAGCAAAATAAAAAAATAAACGTTTCTTGAATTTAAGGTTTCAATTAGAAAAACTAAAAAAAAAATACTTAAAAAATTATTGATAACTCTAAAATGGTAATTATTTTTTTTATTATCATATTATTGAAGTTACAATAATTAGTAAGAAAATTATTTTTCCATTACAGGAATCCAGTATCTGAAAATAAATTTTACGTATTTCTGTGAATTAATATTAATGTTTCCGCCCTATTTCTTGCGTTTGGGGTTGAAGTTCCAAAACGATATAATTCGTATGTATTTATTTTTGCTGAGAAGCTTTAATACTAAATTTCATTCTTCTTGTTTATAAAATGACAGACTCTCCATATAAACTTTCAACCCTTATTCCACCCTCGTAGGGGATAGGTTTTTAAAAACGCTGAAATATATATTTATTTCTAATCAAAAGCTTCTATATGAAACTTCATGCTTCTTACTCCAAAAGTGACGGACTTCCCATATAAACTTTCAACCCCTATTTCACAAGGGTTTCTCTTAAGGGACAGATTTTCAGGAACTGTGAAATACATATTTATTTATATCCAGAAACGGAATTTCTAAAACTACTTTCTTAGTGGATGTTTACACCATAAAATGCATCAACTACTAAAATGTCAAGTTTTAACCCCTATGGTTTATATATGTATATATAGATTAAATTTTAAAATTAAACAAATTATGTGATATATTATGTATTTCAATAATCACTTTTCAAAGTCATACGTAGATTTATCGAAATTTATTATTAGATCGTGTTAGTATTTAAGACGAACATTTTTATAAAATTTAAACTTAAGCATATTCCAAGTCAATTAGCTAACATGGCACTATATTATATTTCACTCGTCGTATCACAACCGAACAGAGTTGTTTATACCGTGCGAGCGTCCACCGTGCGCACGTACGAGGGTACGGTGAGCGGTGTGGGTAACAGGGCGGGTGCGTAGGTGCACGAGCGGCAGCGGGCGCGCATGCGGACCCGCTCCGAGTGGTTCCTGCAGCCCGCCGCCTCGCTGGACGCCCGCCCCCGCGCAAGTACGCCGCCCGCCCCTCCCCCGGCCCCCGCCCCCGCGACCGCCCGCCCGCCCTGCGCGCGCGAGAGCAAGGCCCTCCTAGCGCTCGTCGCCTGTCTAGAGTTTTTATTTTGATTCGGATTTCGGATTCACACACACGCACACCAACCGGTACTGTGGTTATGTGTTACGCAACGGATGCGCTTCCTTTTCGGCTGCTTTTTTTTTCGGTTACAGATTTTTTTTCTTTTTTTTTTCCTTTTCTTATATATTTCTACTGGTTTTTTTTCGGTTACGGATTTTTCTTTTATTATATGTATGTTTTTATTATGTATATATTTATGTATTGTATTGTATTCAGCCCTTTTTGACGTCCCACTGCTGGGTACGGGCCTCCCTTCAATATGAGGGGATCAGGCCATAGTCCACCACGCTGGCCAAGTGCGGTTTGGCATATTTATGTATACTATGATATATTTCGCAGTCTATATTGAAGTATGTAAATAAGTTATATTTTGTTTCCATAAGGTTATTGGTTTGGTCAGTTGATACATTAATTTAGATATCGTTCGTGAACTTCTAAGATCTTCTATCTAACAAGCAAATTTTATAGGTTGTGATAAACGAATTTTATTATAGATTGAAACACAACTGGTGACAGTTTTAAGAGAACTTTTGCATGGGGTTTGAGTATCTAGTACTTTTTTGGTCGATGTAAGTTACGGTTAGGTAAAAGTATATTATTTTCTTATAAATATAATTATACCATTTATATTGTATTTGTAAGTATTTTTATTTATGTAGCCGAAAGGGAAATGCCTTCAAAGCTTGAGACACAGTGTATATATATATGGGCGAAGGGGGTCGCTTTTCCTTATTGCATGTGCGCATTGTTAGTTTGTAGGCATGTATGTGTTGCACGTTTTGGATTCGTTTGCCAAAAAATTATTTTCACTTTATTTATTGGACTCTAATTATTATCGTAGCTTATATTTATTATAGGTCGGCTTTTGATGTATTTTTAATAGGTTATAATAAAAATTAAATGTTTTTTTTTGGTACTTTAACGCACAGAGTTTTTAAATGAATTTTGTTTTCTGCTTAGATAGACTGGTTAGTTCAAATTAATTGTTAGGTTAAACTTACATTAGTGATTTGTTGATATACTAGCTAATAGCTATATATAATGAAATATTATTGTTAGTACGTATGTTTGAAAACACTTATTGTGATTGCTTTACTCATTTGCAATTTCGATAATGTTAAACTTTACGAACAAATTTATTACATTTTTATCGCTTATTTTATTAACAGCGTCGACCTTAGATGCATTTTTTACTGAACAAAAGCTATCATTAGTAATTTTAAATACAAAAATGGCAACACAAAGCTGTCCATGTGACGTCATCTTTTAGCTTTATTTATTTACAAATTCGAAATCATATAAAATTTTGACACTTTTTTTTAAAGTATTTTCGAATTTGTATAATATTTAAAAACACAACGTGCTCGTGACAATGTATATGCTTTTCGATATTTCAATGAATGCAACGGTTTCGGCATGATATATTGATGTCGCCTAAGATTGTTGTTCCTATCGTTTGTTTCGATGTGCACGTTTCTTGGTGTTGTCAATTGTCGAATTTATTCAAATTCCATTATTGACACATTTAATGTCGTTGTGTGCTGATATAAAATGTAGAAAATTTATTATTATTTGCTATTTAATTTGTAAAGCTATTTAAAAAGTTTTTTTTTCGTTATCAGCGCCCAATGACAGTTTTTTTTAAAATGACATTGTGAATATTCAGACATTTGCACAGGTAATATGCGCCAGTATTGTTAATATATTTTTTAAAAGGTGTCTATGAAATTTTCTTGTGTTATAAACTTTTTAATGTTACATATCGTCTTTAAAAAGAAAAAGTATAAACTTAAATAAAGAACAATATCAAAATTAAATTTGGGTTATGGACACCATCAATCAATTGACATATATATTTTTATGAGCCTTTACAAAGCGATTCTCCTATTGATTTTGTATGGCAAAAGTAACCTGTGATCTCATTTTTTTGCCAACTCGATTAACTTGATTAAATTTATTGCTATCAAAACAACTAAAAATGTAATTTTATATTAAATTGAAAAATTGTTTCTCTTGGAATTAATTGGTTAATGATGTTAACTACCCCATTTGTAACGTGACAATAACGGCGCATACACACGTGTGCAAACGTCCAGCGGCCCCGGTCCGCCCCCACCAACAACGGCACGTGCACACAGGCGGGTCGCGGCGGCGGTCGCGGCGCGCGCGCCTGTGCCGCGCCCTCACGCACTCCGACACTGAGGTGCCGCTCGCTCTCCAGCCTCGTCAAGTGACCGCGTGACCCTCCCGCACCTGCCCCCGACCTTCCACCTGGTAATGCGCACACACACACACACACACACCACATATATACACACGTCAGTGGCGTCAGAGGTAGGCCGTTACGAAACAAAAAACATTGATATACAATTTTTATATGTACGTATTAAAGCTATTATATATATATATATATTTCCAAAAGAACATTTACACATAAAAAAAAATTAAATGTATGAAAATTTATAGCAAACTACATTGTAATGTAAGACGTCTAGTATGGATACTTCGCCACTGACACACGTACACACCCGACTATATAATTATATACAGTGCCAAGTTTGAGGTTAAAGGGGCTAACGACGAATCGTTAAGACCTTGTTTTTTTATAATATGTTTCAAGTTAAATAATGTGATTAATGAGTGACGTTGAACTAGTGAAAAGTTAATTCATTTAGACCCCCATTTTCATGTCCTCTTCTAAATCTGGCTCTGTATACGCATCCTCAGATACATAAAAAGAATGTAAGTTGTAACCCTCCTAACTAAACACGCTGTATAAGCTGTGTCAATTAAGAATGGAATTGAAGGCCATTGTAATGTCATCTTAGTCTAATAATATTGATCTCTAAGTCATTGTTTTTTATTGAATTTAATCTTGTATAAAAATTTTAATTGTATTTATTTAGCCAAATTACATATTACTGCTATAAAGTGATAAGAAATTAAAGTTTGACAAATTAACTTTTTTAACGTAACGAACAATTTATTATTTATTCTATCGACAAATTTTTACTATTAGACACATGGCAAAATAGTTGGATATTTTTTTTTATGTTGTCTATACTGAGGTATTATTACTGCCTCCATTTGCAATTTCATTCTTTATTGACACGGGTTGTACATTATATATTGATCTGTTTTGTTCAATGAATATAATCCTACCAAAAATATTTAGCAAGATAAAACACCCCTATATTTAATGTCATAGTATATCTTGGTGCCAAATGTATGAAACATGCACATAATAAAACATTTTCTTGCAACCCTACATTTATCGAAGTAATTACTTTCAAATATCCTACACAGTAATATACCCTCAAACATGTTGCTATTACCTATATATATATAACAATATTATATATTAATAACATAATATATATATATATATATATATATATATATATATATATAATATGGATGATTAGCATATTATATTTTTTTTCTGAGTTTTACATATAACTTCTCAATATATATGTATATCAGTGTAAAGATCCTCGTCTATTATTATGTATAGTATGTGATTTTAACATATACATAACATTTGTTTCTAAAAAGGATACTTTATTATTTTTCATAATACACTATAAATTATTATACATATTATAGATATATTATATACTATTTAAACTGTTAGTATTATTAATATGAACAAAAATAGATGTAATTATTTTCTGTTTTTGCAAAATGTTAGCTATGTCCATATAAAAATTAAAAATATTATTTCTTACTCAGTCTTAAGTTCTTTTTGTTGTTTGTAAAATGACTTTACGAAACGAATGTTAAATGTTAAAACGTTCTCTAGCAATGGCATGAGTGAACGTTTTATTTTAATATATAAAGTATGTGCTCTCTAAAAATAAACATTTCTAGATGTAAAAATCTATACATGTGTGCAGTACTTTAATTTATAATATAAACAAATACTATTTATTAGTATTGTTCACTTTATACAGGGGTTCTATAACATATGTATATGTTTATAATATGATAAGACATACATAATTCTTATCATAACATAATTTCTATTACATCTAGTGTGCATTTGTATTTTTATATGGAAGCTTTACTTTACTCGTGCCATCATACAACTAAAAACTTCATAGGCAGTTACTTTTTTTTAGTATTTGCACATCGAACATTCCTGTAAATATTAAATTAAAATAATTATGATAAATAACATACATTTAGGAGATATGAAAAGTAACATTGCGAAATTTTTCTAGTATATGTACTGGTATACTGAAGTATATAACAACACACTGCATTTTACTCTACCTCATTTATGTATTATTTAATTGTATTTCGCTCATCATATTTAATTTACACCCTTCTACATATTCATTATTGCCAAAATTCTAATACTGAATACAATTTTTATATTATAATCTTTTGTATAAACAAAGACCGATTATTCTACACTTGATTAGTTTTATAATGCTGTGTTATATACACTAAGATCTGTCAGATGTTCGAAATTATATTTTTTATAAAATTAATTATATTGACCTATTTATAAATTTTCATCTTGGAATCGATGCAGACTTAATTCAGGAATTTGATATTGGTTGTCTAGAATTTGTAGTACAAACATCGTTATATAGACATTGGATTATATATTATCTACTAATGACTTAATTTTACGTTTTAATTTTTTTGAGCGGGACCCTAATTCTTTTTCTAAAATAAAAGTCTACGTTATTCCTTATAACATCAACTATCTGCCAGTGAAAGTCCCGTCAGTCCAGTCGTTTCGGAGATTATCCGGACTAAACAGATAGACAAAATATGTGTAAGTACATACATATAATCCGATGTCTAAACTTTATATAAAACCGTTCTAATATAATTTATAGGTGCTGGTTGATTGTGAAATCTTGTGTAATTATTGTAATAGTCCTAATTTTTTAGAACCTTTCATTATTGACATTTTTATGATGTAAGGTAATTTTAGCTATAGACTTTTTGATAAACTTATAAAATAAATTCTTTGTATTATCTGTTTTACTTCTTTAAAAGTGTTTGAGGTTTTATGGAATTTAAAAGTTTGGTACAGTATTTAAACTTATAAGTTTAGTTCATTCGATAACTGAACTAAGTAAGGATTTTCATGTACGAGTGCTGAAGCGAGCACTTTCTCATGTCAATACTTTTTTCATTCTTCGTCATTCACTCCTCATTAATTATAGAGCACGAGTTATATTTTTTATAATTGTTAACGAATATATTTTAAAAAAGTATTTTTAACTGGTTTTGCTGTTTTAATATTTCAATGCAAGGCTAGTTATTAAGTGTTTATATCTGTACGATTTGTCTATAGAAAAAAGAACGAATGAAGTGATTCGTTTCGAGTATCGAGTTTTAATCGAATACTTTTCTAATACAACTATAAAGCAATTATAATAATATAATATATTCGATTTAAATATCGTAAATGTGTGAACATGTTTATAAATATGTTACGATGCTATATAGTTTAGTTTATGAAGGCAGCTCAATGTATTAATGAATTCCTAGCGGTTGTGGTGTAGCAGTTACATGAGGGCTAATTGTGGCCATATGTAAGGTACCTAATCATTCTATTAGCATTTTATATTATTATTATTATTATATATTACTAACGATAGTATGGACCGGTGTTGCCATATGTTGCTATAATTTATAAAAATCCAAAAGACCATTTGGTCAGTTATTTATATCATTTAAGTATTAAGTAAAATAAGTAGTTAATGTGTTTATTTTTAGTTTTTGAATATATTTGTTAAAATACGCGCATCTGGCAACACCTGGCCAAGCGCGCGCTCATAGGCCTACGGTTATGAGTGTTGTGTAATTTTTGATAGATGTTAAATTTTTCTTGGATATTGGACGTCCAAGTTCCTGTGTTCATTGATTAGCGTTAGGATAAATTAATATGTAGTTTTATTTTTTATTATAAATAATAAATGTATTGATGTATAGATGAGTAGTCAGTTATTATAGTTACATACGTTTGTTGCTTTTGCCATTTTATATAGATTTGAATCGCAAGTCTTGACGAATAGCGATGGCAGCAAGTTTTACAATTTAATAACGATTCTACTAAATATCTTTAAATAAAGTGCGTCCTATTCTTTTTTAAACCACTTTCGACGATTGTCTTTAATTATAGAAAATATGTTTTTGTACAATGATGTAAGTTTTTGCAAATCGTTGGGTACATTTAATTTTTTATAAGACTGTTCTCATTAAATTGTATTTTATATTATATTAACTCGAATATGTAATACCTAATCATTCCACCGACTTAGTATTGAAAGCAGTCGCTTTGAGTATTAGTATTATCTATTGTCGTAAAATGTTAAGTCATCCTTCACAGATCTCGGAGCTTTAACGACGGCGCGAACAAATTGTTAGATTTTAGTTTGAATTAGAACGAATTTTGTTTTGTAAAAGTTTCAAATTGATATGTTATTTTATTTGTAGCTCAAGTCTAGAGCAATGGACGATAAACGAACGGTGTAGCAAAATTATTGATGTCCATTTTAGTTTTCTTTATATAAAATAGTATTAGTATTATATAATTTATTTTAGAGTATTTGTACTATGGTATTCGCTTTTGTGAATTAAGTTGTAACAAATTGTCACATTATATTTGCACATTTTCTATACAAATTATAAAGAATTACACGAAAATATAAATAAAAATTTATGGAATAATTGCTGGATTTTATTTTTATTTTAAATATATAGATAAGAAAATTGTATCCACGTTATTTAGCCGCTTTGTGGGCCACTATTTCTAAAGGTATTATTTCTGTTGAAAAAAAAGATATGTATACTGTAAAATGGTATTTATTTATATAAATTATACATATAACATATTAATAAAAATATACTTTTATTAAAGTAAATTGGTCCCAACTCCCATTTATATTATTTAAAAATATTATATACACAACCGTTTTGTCTTAACTCTGTATCACTATTGAAAGTTTTTAAATAGGGATATGGCTAATATAAACATTTAAATAGTTAGCAAAAATAATTAAAACCCAAGTCACTCAAAAATGGTAAAAAACTAAAATGTTCATAAAATAAATATTCCTCTCATTTCAAAAAATAAAAACCTTGAATATTAAGTAGATTTAAATAAATGAAATATCATTGAAAACCTCCCATATTCAAATTATATCAAAAATAGTAAAAATTTTATTTAAAAAAAATCAATATTTTATACATATAGCTATTGAAATAATAATAAAAATTGTAGAAATACATGTTTATGATCCTTTTTCGTTATGATAAAGCAACATTTGTGCTGGCCATATTTATATCTTTCACTTTCTTGCCCTTAACAAAAACCTGCACAATATTTCTATCATCTCCCAAGTAAATGAATCTCTGTACTTTATCTAGTAAATTCTCTTCTTTATTTATTGCCACAGAATAATCGAACTTATCAACAGGGCTATCTTTTGCATACAAATCTATGAGCAGTGCGTCGAACTGCTTACCGATCTCGAAACTACCAATTTTGTCGTTTAAATGGAGAGCTGTAAAAAAATAATGATATTTACCTATCTTTGATTTTAAATATTTGATTATAAAAATAATCGTTTTATGTATATATATTGATAATTTTGTAGTTTATCCCCATAAATCTATATAAATATACGACATATATTTCTTACGGGATACACAAAAATTTTTTAGTTGATATGTACTTATTAAAGGTTTTATATAGTAAAGTTATGGTTAAGTGTTTGTACACAAAACTGAATTCGTACCGTGATTGCTGTAAAGCATTTGAAAATTGAAACGTCTAGAACCAAGTATAAAAAAAAACAGTTTTTAATGCAAGTTTTGCATTCTATTATGACTTTTTTGACGTCATATCATAGTGATGTGACACATTTAAGAGCAATTTTAGTGTCAGGATTTAGTAATAATTAAGTCTATACATATAATAAAATTCTAACTGAGTCAAATCTGTACATTAAATATTTTTTGGAAAATCTTATTGATAGACATTATTTTCGATACAGAGGCCGAATCTACAGTTATTAGAATTTTTGTCTGTCTGTTACCGCATCACAGAAAAACTACTGGACGGATTTTGATGAAATTTGGTATGGTCATAGCTGATTATCTAGGTCAACATATAGGATACTTTTTACCGCAGAAAAAAATGTCTCATTTCTGAGAAAAAATACAAAAACTGCAATGTAAGGCTATACTAATATGTAAAACCTAAGAATTTGGTCTTTGGTCATCTGAATGCGGGCGGAGCCGCGGGCAATGCTAATTAAATATAAAACGTTACCTTCCGCTCCACCTAATGTCGCCAAATATAGAGCTTCCTTCCAATTTAAAGCCGATTCCTCGGCTCCTAGTAAATGTAAATGTTCAGAGACGTCCATTGTTCGTCGTATAGCGTCCAATATACTCGCATTGTCACCGCCCGATACATCTATTTAAAAATTAGTGAAATAAATAAAACCAAACATACAAAGCAGATAACATACGAAGAAGTAGAACGGTCCTAATTCGACCTTTTTTGTTTAATTAAATAGGTGCTAGATGGCGTTGATCCGAAAGCCTACGAACTATTTTACTTCATTACCAAAAAAATATATATAAAAAAAATACCCGACTGCATAAAATCTAACTAAAAAGATGAACAGAAGTTTACGAAGGAATATAGTATTATGCAGTCGGAGACATACGAGTATGTACATCTCGCGGCAAGAATGAAACGTGTATACTCCCTCTTATTACTTATTCCTGCGTGAACTTCTTTTCATCTTTTTAGTTAGATTTTATGCAGTCGGGTTTTTTTTTATTTGTAAATATTTTTTTTATTTACAGCTTTTTAGTTTGAAAAAATCACTACATACTTTACTATTTTATTTTTGTATTTGAGTTCATTTTCAACAAGACAATCTTCTAGATTATCTAAGTTTAGTTTTTAAATTAATAATATTATTATTTTATAAGTATATTTATTTGATTACCTGTACCAAGTCCCACTTTAATTTTATTATTAAGTAGTTTCCGTACAGGACACAAGCCGGACTTTAGCCTGGTGTTTGAGGCGGGGCAGTGTGCTATGCTAATTCCTTTACGTGAAAATATTGACATCTCTTTTTCACTCAGATAAATTGCATGCGCCATTATACACTGGAAATGTTTATTAAATGGGTTAAAATAAATTTATATATTCGAATCTGTTCGATGTGTGTTTTCTATCCAAGAAATTAAATTCTGGAACAATTGACTGACAAAAGTATATAGTAAAGACTTGGATTTATACTGAATTCCTATTTTATTTGTATTATACCTACATTTTATTAAAAAAATAAATAAAAAGTGCGTGTATGAATGTGTACACGCGCTAGAAGTTAAACTTCTGTAGGTTATCGGTACTCTTTATAAAATTCAATTTATGTTTTAAATATGTAATTAGGATAGGTGAGATACTAAAAATAACGCATATATGGCATATTACAATCATATATTTATAGAATATCATTAAAGGAAAGAATGTAATAATATATATCGTTTGTCAGACAACAACGGTTACCATGGCAAGAAACGTGCGTATGTACATTTTTTCGTATCGCATTTACCAGCTTAACCCCCAAGTCAAGCGTGCGGAAGGAAGTTTTACTTTAAAAATCGTGATTTTTATTAAAAATTAAAAAAAAACCCTACGCAAATTAATTATCATTTAACGATTACACTGGCACGCGTAAAGCACATAATCGAGTAATCATACGCCAAAATGCCTTACATCATTTTGCAAAAGAGCTGATACTCTTACACTGCTGGACCGATATTAACCAAACATAGCTAAGAACCACCACAAGGAATGGCTTTTAAATGAAAAAAAAAACCACATCGCAATCGGTCCACCCGTTTGAGAGCTACGATGCCACAGACAGACACACACACACAGACAGGCATCGACGTCAAACTTATAACATCCCTCTTTTTGCGTGGGGGGTTAATAAATGAGTTAGTTGTTAGTTTCTTTTTATGTGTGTTTGATTGTTACTCCTTTAAGTGGAAATGGCATGATGGACTTTAGTAAAAATTAGTGCACAGATCGACTATATGATTTGGCATCACATTGTCTACAATTTGACACTGTTATTATGTAAGACTTAATGAAGTCAAAGACATAGGAAACTAGACACACTGTTACTACCTACTGTTTGTGAGTTTGCAATAGGCACTTTTAAGTTACTAATCGACAATACGACCCTAATAAATAGTGATAAAATTAAAAATGAGAAAGTACAAGACAAGTTTACTTTTCTTATCAAACCGTAAAACATAAAAAAACTTGCAAAATAGAAAAAAATATAATTTCATATAGTAATTTAACAATACATACCTTTTCATCAAAAATGCCACATTTCTCATATACATCTGAATAACAAGAGCAACATGGATTTTTTTCCAAAACATGTTCTATTTCCTTTTGATTTTCTGATATATGACTCTGTAAAGTTATATAATATTTATTCACGAATCAAAATAGATTGTGTTATAATAAGATCAAACTTTAGTAGGCTTTGTGTTTGGTATTCTTATTATTAGAAGTTATGATTTATTATAGTAACTTATTGAGAATTTTTAACAATATACCTACTATAAATTTAAGAAAGTTTCATTGGTTTGCCACTTTTCAATGTTTATGGGAGGAAATTAAAAATACCCAGAATGTACTAAAGAGGTGTCCATAGGCAATGTTATTTGTCAGCATGGTTTTTTTATTTTTTTGACAATATTCTAGTCTTCTTCTGCCTGCCCATTTCTCAATAACTTGGGGTCGGCGCATTACATCTTCCGTACTGATGATAGGATTTGGCAAGTTTTACGACCGGCCGCCTGCGTCCTGCCTGACATCAATCCTCCTTGGGAATGCTATTGTTTTATCGCATCCACGTCTTGTATTATGCACATTCGATATTGTTTTCTTTTAAAACATTTTTTTTCATACTACTACTCGAAACTTTTAATGTATTTTTTCGATATATTTTGAAATAAATTTTAAACACACAATAAATTTTGTTTTGATAATATCCTAATAATAAGTAAAAAACGCATTTTTACCTGTATTCCACATTGATATCTATTAGCAATTTGTGACAGCTGTTTCATTAGTTCTTTGTCACAGCTGACTGCAAATCGTGGAGTGACTATAGGCTGAACCAAATCATTCTGAAATAAAAAATAACTTTTTATATGATCCTTATTAATAATAGGGAATATGCGTGATTTTTATTTAATTATTTATACAATAGCTAACATCATTTACTAAAATTTAGTATAATTTTGTTTTTAAATATCATACTGATATGGATACTTTATGGCGCTAGACTTAGCCAATGACGTAAATGAACCTAATCTAAAGCATGACCTAAAACAAGACTTCTTTAATTCCTGCAAAAACAGAAACAAAAAATAATAAGTAATTAATTATAAAAAAATCTAAATTATTAAATAATACCACTCGCAATAGACACTAGGGGATCGAACCCGCAATTTGTGGGTAAAACCCATTGTTCTTACTTTACACCAAATGAACTCTTGAACAGATTTCGAAATGTTTACCCATATATAGGATTAGGATAGGAAATAGTCCCCCCCAACGAGCGTTCACCTTGTGGTGGTGGGGGGGCTCAGTAGTGCCCGGCAATCCAGCCGGGCGCGAAGCCAAGAAACGCACAGGGAGGTGGCCCTCTTCGGTGGGCGGTGTACCATGCGGGTTGCTCCTGGTACTTCGAGAAGGTTTTGTTGGGTTATTATTATTGTACGAGAGTTTGTAAAAGAATGAATATGATTTAAATATTCGCATCTACTTACATTACTTCTTGACATTTTTGAATTCTTCGTAATTAGCATCGTCTTTTTTTTGGCATTTTTGCAGATATTAAGTATTTTTTAAATTGAGTCACTTCACTAAAAATACCTTTACTTATAAACACTATTTACAGTTACTCAAAAATATTTAAAAAATATTTACACTAATAACAACGATTCCCTAAGCTATAATAAGCCCTCTCGTTGTTATAAATATAATAAACTTAACATATTTTATATTCATAAAAAAAACGTGTTTTGTCACAATCTGCCCAGCCGAAGGCACTTTAGTTAACTTTTATAGTAAAATAAATGCTACATCCAAATATTTTACTTTGGCGCGTTGTTTGCGAAGCGACGAGAAACACGGGTATCCTATACGAAGGTCGTCGGCCGACTGCCGCCCAGTCCTCCGCTAAGCAAAACTAAGAAAAGCAAAAACCGCTAGTTTTTCCGAAACTATTGCTGTTTTTGAAAATTTGCTAAATAAGTTTAAAGTACACACGGTACGCTTCTTTTTAATATTAAGTACATTGTAATATATCATATATATTTTCTAAATATATAGAGCTATAGACAATATATCGTATATATTGCCTATAGGATGTTTAGTGCTTAACTAGACGTTCACAATTTACTTATATTCTCGTAAACCATGCATATAAAAACAAATTCGTTAAATGATAAGGAAGTCAAAAAAGTTATCTACAAAATATATTTTTTAGATTGTTAGCATGCGTGTAAAAAAGTTATAAGCATACAAAAACAGCAAATTAGCTATGTCTAGCCCCTTAAACGCCCGCTATTTCGCGCGCTTTTCGTGACGTCACAGTATGATATACACAGTAAAATGACGACTCAATTTGCAGCGACAAAATCGCTAATCGCTGTTAATAATACTTTGACGTCATATTCGGTCTGACCAATGGCGTGCGTTTCAACTGCTTTGAATTTCCCACCTATTTTTAAACATTTTAATAATTATTTTCTTAACCAAAAATACATTATAAATATTGATACAGGCTTAATTCGAAAGCAATGAAGATTATAAAAAAGATATTTCACCTTTATTTAAATCACAGGCATATTCCCTATTGCTTAGTTTTATTTCTTGTCAAATTCTTTCTATGATTGCATAATATATGTATTTTTGTAATAAGATTTAGAATTTGAAATAGAAACAATTTATTTACCTTACAATTATATACTTTATTTACAAATGTCTCAACCTCTTCTAATTCCTTTTTTGTATCATTAAAATAACCTGCATCATTCTTGATGTTCATACTAACTTTACCAACTAATGCTCTTTGATTGTGCTTTATTACACTATTTACAAGTTCTAGTGTGCCTTCTAAGTGGATAGATCCAAAATAGCATGCAGTTGTCGTGCCATTTTTTAATAACCTTCTCTGAAATGATAAAAGAATTTTTTTAAAAGACTATTATAAGTTAATGTGAAACTAAAAGCTTATTTACTAGCATTAATATAAATTATAATAATTAATTTAAAAACTATTATATAGTATTTATTTACTTGTAATATCAGTCAATCAGGCGTTGAACTTAAGAAATAAAAAAATATATTTATTCCAATTCACTTTAGCTACTGGAAGCCTATGAACAATACAATACTTACAACAACCTGATCATACACACTGGCAGCAAATTCTTTATCACTGTATTGACTTTCCAAAGGGAATGTATACTTATCGAGCCATTCAAGCAATGGCCGGTCAAGTCCTAGCCCAATATTAGGAAACTGAGGTGCATGGGTGTGACAGTCTACGAATCCTGGCATTAGAAATTGATTAGGACCTAACACACGTACATCAGTATTGTCACTGACCCGTAACGGTTTAGATTCTGTGGTTGTGCCTATATCAGTAATCTGAAATAAAATTTAAAAATATTTTTACTAAAAATGTGTAGGTATATAATTTCATCGAAATCTATTCAGCACTCAGCAGTATAAGATCGAAAACGTAACAAATAGTGCCACATTTTAAATTTACTAGGTATTATAAGTATGGAATAATATAACAAGAAGTATCTTACTATTCCATCTTCCACTTCTAAAAATCCTGATGTACGACAATTTATATCATTTAATGATTTCGGCGACACAATATCCCCCACAAATATTGTTTTTTGTTTCATTTTAAGTAAACTCACGACTCAAATTATTATAATGAACACTTTTGTAAATTTTATAAAGATATTCAAAGTTACTTGCTGAAAATGATAATTGATAAGATAAACTAAAGTCAAAAGTCAAAACTTAATTGATATTTGATAAATGCTAAAACGCTGATAGTAAGTATTCATCAGTGCTGCCAACACTTGAAATTTTATCCCCCTAAAAGTAATTTCAAAAACTCCTACAACCCCTTTTTAATTTTTTTTTACAGTTATACTTCTTTTGGCATATTTGGAAAAATTTATGACAGTAAAATTTTCACGATGCGCGCGCACACCGACAGCCAAAAAGCGACATGATTAAGTTAGCTTTTCTTTTACAAACAAAGAGTTGTGACATACGGGAAGAAATCTTTAGCAATTCTGTTCTGTTCCGCCAAAGAAGTATAACTTCTTATGTGCGTGCATAAGTATACACCCACTTTTTTTTAAATGATTAAAGGATGTAAGGTAAAAAGCTTATTTATGGTTATTATTATTATTATTACATAAAATCATTTAAACAAATAGTTTTTATTTTTGGATATTCAAATTAATTGTTTGTTCTTAAATTAAAATTTTGTTAATTAAAACAGTTTACATTTATCTTGGTTTGGCATCTATCGGCACACGTCACGTGACCATGTCATGTCATGACGACTTATATGAATTTACTCTCCATCGAAACCTGCCTATAGAAGTTTACACTTCAGTAAATTTCATAGATTACTTAGAGAAAAATAAAAAAGGAAAAATGATGCAAATAATATTTAAAGATATATGTATGATTTTTCCAAGTCTTTAAAATGAAACTTTATAAGCCCAAAAAATTACGGACAAGTGCTAGTCGGACTCACCCACCGAGCGGCGAGGGTTCCATACAAATTTGTAGGAAATCTGTTGCACTTTAATTTTCAACTTTTTTATTTTTTGGAATTTTTCCTCTATTTGTGCTGTAAGACCTTACTTTTTGCCAAATTTCGTGATTCTAAGTCAACGGGAACTACCATAATATTTTCGGCCCATAACCTCTAGGGTATTTCCGGTTGAAATTTTGGTTAAAAGCAAGGTCTTATAGTACAAGTAAAGGAAAAATTCCGATATATAAAAAAAATTGAAAATTAAGGTAAATTTTGTACTTACAAGTTTTTGCGAAAATCTAAATTTGCCCATATCTTTTTATCGTGTTGACTCAGGACCTTGATTTTTATACACCTAATAGGGACTATAGACCTCAGTATCGGGTATAAATTTAAACTTGCTAAGTTCACCCGTTCCTGAGAAAATCAGTGGTGGCACACGGACAAACGGACAAGAGAGTGATCTTATAAGGGTTCCTTTTTTACTTTTTGAGGTATGGAACCCTAAAAAACTCTAAATATTTTTCCCCTCTAAAAAAATCACCGGTGCAATTGTTTACCTCTTATTTTGGGGGGAAAGCCCCTAAGTTGGCTACACTGGCCATTATGTTACCAGCACAAACTATATAGAAATGTTACCAGGTATGACATATGCGGTTCACCACTATAGATGTCATATTTATTATAAATATTTCAAAGATTAAAATAGTTAACTCATCAAAAAGTCCGATTATTTACAAATGTCAAAGTTAAGGAGGAGCTTTTTTAATTATCATAAATTTAATTTAATAATCACAGTTAACATATTTGTAAAGTTAATTATTTTAATATAATACTTTTATTTATAATGAAAAGAATCGTTAAAGTCATGCTATTAAAGAAAAAATCCCCTAATAAATCTTCTATGCATTTTCCCCCCTAAAAACCCCTTAACATTTTTCTCTTCAAAAAAAACTTAGGTATGTTTCTCCCCAAAATGGGGAGGAACATACCTAAGCTGGCTACACTGGTATCCATGGTTATAGATCACAGATTAAGGTTGTTAAAGTTATGATTGCCCCCGCCCCCCATTCATACTGCTCCCAGTTTGACAATTAATGACAATGAAACTTTTAACTAAAATTATAAACCATTGACATAAGTAGGTACTTTATTCAAATTTCTTATTTTATTAATCTTGTAATGATTTTATGAAACCAAATCTCACAATCAGTGTAGTGTTATTTCTACTGGTCAATTCGAAAAGGTATCTATCATATAATTTAGATGAACTTTGGTGTACTCTATGTTGGTGACAAGCTGTATGTTCGTCTGATGTAGTGATTGCCTTGGACCTTGGAGAGAAAAATCGATTACTAAATAATCTATTTTTATCTCTTTAAAATAAATCGATTTGTAAAAAAACGATTAACTAAAAAATAGTCGATTTTTAATATTTATATACAGATGGCGCCATTTTTCGACTGACAAGTGACATTCCTTTTTTACGTTTAGTGACCACGCGTTTTTTCATTTATAACACAGATGGCGCTGTTTGCAAAATTTGATTAAAATGTCTAGTTTGGCTAAATTGGCCTAATCCAACAACGTATATCTTATCTTTTTATTTAAAAAAAAAGAGAGTAAGTAATGTAATCGATTCATTAAAAAACGATTTTAATAATTAATTAATATAAAAATCGATTATTTTGTCACATCCCTGGTCTGACGTAATGTAAGAAGCTTTATTTGTCATCCATGGTAAGAAGTTATACTTACTTCTTTGGCGTAACAGAACAAAATTAACTAAAGAAACCATCCCGTGTGTCACAACTCACAACTCTCTGTTTGTAGAAGGAATGACAAATTAATAAAATAATGAATAAGGCAAATTAGGCATATTACGATCATATATTTATAGAATATCACTTAGAAGGAAAGAACATAATATAATATATCTTTTGTCAGACAATAACAACGGTTACTATGGCAACAAACAGTTATCAGCTAACTTCATCATGTCGCTTCTCATTACGTGTACGAAAATGTTATGTATGTCCGTAAAAATATACACGAATTTTCCAAGAAGTGTTACATGCATATCATTAATACTAGGAGCAAACACAAACTTGTAATGCCTGTGACTCGTATACACAGAGTCAGTAATTCTTTTTATGGACAATGTATACGCTTGTACAACAGGATCCCAGAAAATGTTTAAAAATCTTCTATCGCCAAAATCAAAAAAATTGTTAAAGAACGTTTGTGTGCTAAAGGCTTATTATACAATAAATTATTTTATAGAAGATGGCACACCTTGGAAATGAAATATCGCCTCCAGGCTACTTCAACTTGATAGAAATATTGTAAATTATAATTTTACTTTAAAAAAGATAACAAGTCAATATTAGTCCCGCTGAGTTTCTTTCGCCAGTTCTTCTCAGGTCTGAGGCTTCTTCTTTCCGAACTGGAAGTAGACTCATGACGTTCAGTAAAAAATTGTAATAATTTAATGCTGAATAAAATATTTTGATTTATTGGCTGTCGGTGTGCGCGCGCATTGTAAAAATATTACTCTCATAATTTTTTCCAAACGTCCCAAAAGAAGTATAACTTCAAAAATGCTTTGGATTAACAATCATCTGAAGGACTTGGAGGAGAATCTTAATAATATTATATTAAAGTAGTAAGTATTTTCTGGGATGTGCAGTCTAAAGAAAATATGACAACTTATTTTTAGTATCCGACAAACCATATTAATTTTTAAGGCATTACGTCACATCTTACATCAGAGGTTGGGGTACGAAATCATCATCGTGTCTTAAACGGTGTAAGACTTAGAACACCTGGTTGCTAAGCTTAGCCAACTTTTCAACCCACAGAAAGACATCTCGGGACTAATTGCTTTTAAAGGAGTACCTCTCGAAGTTGGTTTAAAGTACAAAGGAACGCTAACAAATCCGTAAAAAAATTTGCAAATTAGTAAGTACAATTTCAAAAAGGAATGTCGAGGAAAATTACGATTAGGCTGCGCAGCATTTAAAAACATTCGTCGCAAATACTGTAAAGTGTCTTCCCACCTCGATTCAGATCTTATCTAGGTACACAAATTAAAAAAGCAGTAGGTACATTGTGAAGTCACTTTGTGTATGCTTATGTCCAACTGTGGCATATAGCGAGTTGATTATAAATGTGATAATGATTGTAATGACAATGATGATCAGTTTCAATTTGTTTAATTGTTTGAGTACGCTATACTAGGGTTCTACTGAGGGCGGTGAAGGACAACTAATGAAAATCGTCAAAAATAATTAGATTTTTTAATCTAAGCAATTAGTTTTGTTATTGCATAAAGTCATGTTATAGATTAGTACGATACTATATGCCTTTAGTAGTCATCTTGTATAAGATTTTGTGCCAAGATGTTCGCGCATTCATAGTGCTAGCATTCCAAGATGAAAACCGGAAATTTCGGGCGTTTTGAATCCAAATTTGGGAGTTTGAATTTGTAGCCAGTGCTAAAGCTTCTTCTAGTCGATTGTTAATTTTTCGAGCTTCTTCCAAAGCCTATACAGAAAATTATGCAAGTCATTTACTTTCATTACATGTATATTATATATTACATTTAACTGCTTCGTTGGTTTAGTAGCTGCAATTTAAAGCTGCAGATCTAAAAGTGCTGGGTTCATAGTTCCGATTCGGGCCTAGTATAATGATTGAGTTTTTTTGCCGAGAAATTTTCAGTAACAGCCCGTGGTTGGGAAGGTGGTTTTATACTAGAGTGCCTCGGAGAGCACGAAAAGCCATCGGCTGTACCTAACCTCTCATCTATCGTGACCAATTGTCTCCCATCAATCATCACCAACACCATCACCAACATTTTGAGAGTGAATGGAGTTTTGCACTATAATATATCCTACGCAAATAGCTTGTCTCATTGAGATTCACTTCTTCTACTTCTCATTGAGGTCACTGTGGACGAAATCTGATCGCATGATATTTTTTAATTACTGCTCAAATATCAAGTATTGATAAATAAATAATTAAAATATTAATTTGCTATTTAACTTATAAAACTATATAAAGTAAACTTTGTGCAAAATGAGGAGAGAGAAATAGAAATTTATGAATACTTCATACTAACCTGATTTACTAACGTAGTCGCAGCTGTTTGTCGTCCAGATAAACTTAAGGAATTTGCTTTTAATAATAGCCAACGGGGATAAATTGCTCGTAATAGACGTATGTCTTTCTCCAAATTAGTAAGTTCTCGGTCAGCTAAAGAACGCAATTCCATTAAATCTACAACCTGATGACAATGAAATGATTAACTTCTACATAATATAGAAATCTATATATATACTACATCTAATAGTCATTAATTATCACCTTTCGTAGATCGTCAACTTTTTTAGCTAGGCTCTCTAACATTCCTTCTGCTAGTCTCATTCCGCTTATAATAGATTTCATTGAGCCTTCGTCGGCATTATGAACTAACCAATTCAGCGCTTCTGTTTCATATCGTTTTGCTTTTTGTTCGGAATCTACTCGTAACCAAAACGTCCATAAACCTACAATGAGTCGCCGACGACCTTCGCCGGCCGCTTTGCCTTTATCAATCGAATATTCAGCAAAACGACTTATTTCATATGGTGATTCTAATTGAAAACCTGCATCTAGTATCATGTCAATGCAAAGAGCGTAGTACCAAGTTTCGAATTCTAGTGTTGCATGATTTTCTCCCATTTGAATAAGAAGTTTGACAACATCAACCGCTTCTTTAATACGGCATCGCGATAGCAAAAAGTAAAATAAATCAGGAATTATATCAATGGATATTTTATCAGCACCTAAAAATCGGCTGATAACAAGAGCTCTGAAACCAGATCGAATTGTAGCTGCAAGCTGACCTCGAGCAGTCCGAGCTCTAAAGATAGCTAGAAATAGTTTCCCTATAGCAAATAATTCGTCACCTTGAATAGGTTTATGTGTATTTTCTAGACATTTGTTAGCCATTTTTTCGAGTTCTACCGTCGATTCTGGTACTCCTCTATCGAGTTCCAATTGGATAGCATTGGTAAAAGTGTCACATATATCTATAACATTACATTCAACTTTTTGTACAAGGTGTAATGACCGAAGTGCAGCTATTCTAAAAGTACTCTCATCATCCAAAGTGGAATATAGCATAGTAGCAACATTTAAGAAAAAAATTGAATCTTTTCTCATAAGCGTATTATGCAAATTATATTTTTGGTGCTTAAGTCGAAGAGCTGTAAATACGTCCTGTAATTGAAATATGTCTGATATTTTTCTCAAGTTAATTCGATAAATTCTTGCAGCTTTCTCTATATTAGTCTTTGCAGCAGTTAGTCTACCACTTAGCAAAAATGAAGCAGCTTTTAAAGAATATATTTTTCCTAAAAATCGAATTTTATGTAAATCAAATTCTTTTGTGACAGATTTTTCAAGACATGTATTTTCAGCTTCCTCAAGTTTTGGAATGGCTATCTCAAAATTATTTTCCAATACATTTAAATAACAGTACTGTATAAGGAGGTCCATTGCTTTTATTTTCATTTCAGCTTTCTGGGCATGGTGAATAAGTTGTTCATGTATAATAATATTAAGTTCTGCGCAAGAACATCTATTAAAATTAATTTGGGATACACCTTTTTCAAGGATGATATAAAAAGATTTTTTTTGTTTCTCATTTTTGTCTATTTTAAGACAATCGTCACTGTCAATAGCTCCCATATTATGCCATTCACTTATAAACTTTGCTTCTGTAACAGCTCTTAACATATCAAATATAGTATTTGTATTTATAACGTCTGAGCTAAAACTTTTAAAATTTACATCAGTCATTGTAACCCTTTTTGTTGATCTTCTACACGTATCACGATCTTCATCATCATTAGACTTTATTTTTAAAATAGGTGTTTGTGGGGACAGATTCTTATTTGACAGCTTTTTTATATTTGTATCTGAATTGGTTACTATATTTGTTTTAGAGTTTGTCTTATTAAACGATTCTGATTTTACTTTCCGAAATTCCAGTGATTCTTGGGTGTTGTTAGAAATTTGAGATATTTCCTCAATTGTCATCTCACAATCATTTTGATGTTGTATTTGCATATTTTCCTCCTGCATTGACATATCCGCGGAGTATTTGTTTATGTATGGAACCTGTGGCTGTAAGTTCCATGTAGATTGCACTACCATTAATACACCTCCGCATTCTGGACATTTTTGCTTATTATTTTCTAGATATTTTACAATACGAGAGTGAAATTCTTTCTTCTGATTTAAAGGTAATAATTCATAAAATGTTTTTCTTGATTTTTTGTTTTTAAACTTCATAGCTTTGCAAAATGCATATTTTGGTAAATTATCATTTAATTCTGGATCATAATCAAATACACAGTCACAAGTTAAAATTACAGGCTCTGAACAAGTAGACATTACTGTTGAGGTTGAACCTTTACTGTATTTAACATTAGCACAACACAGTATGCGCATTGCAAATAATCTTTTAATTGCTTTTGCTGTAGTTAAAGGATTATTTTCGTACATTATGCTTTCTAATAGATCTCTTGAAAGTATATTACCTATAACTGAAGCTATTTTTAAAAGTAGTTGTTGGTAAGGAGTTAGTGAATCTATTTGCATCATAATAAGTGCATCCACATTTTGTGCGTTTAAATCTATATTGAGCTGTTCCTTTTGTGTAACAAAGCATATAGAAATATTTTCAGCCACATTTTCTTGCAATAATTCATTCAATGCTATTTGATCTTTGGCGTTCAATGCAACTGGAAGTAACAATGCAGGATCAGGAAACTGTAAATCTTGATCTGCCCAATTTTCTAGTTCATTTTTGTTAATTTTCTTGATTTCTAAAGCTCCATTTGAAAACAAATGTACGATAAAAGTTTCCACGAGCCCAGGTATTCCATCACATTTAGTTTTGAGAGCACTGCATAAGTCCTTTGATACTGCATGTACATCCAAAATTTGGCATGCTAATGGGGCGATCCAGATTGAATTTAAACACCCTAAAATGACTTTTCTAATATTATTGTTTATAAAAACTGCGTATAGCCAACTGTGCACGCTACTAAATTTGCCTCGTGTTACAGTAAGCACTGTGAAGATTTTCATTGACTGAAACATTATTGTCAAAAATTCCCATGATGATGAATCTAAATTTTGTAAATCATCTAAAAATATAATATACGTACTAGATAACGAATCAATTATTTTTTTAAATATACTTTTTGCTTTTTCTTTCCGTACTTTTTCATCTTGAGAGTAAATTCCTTCGTGATATGCAAAACGAACTTTAAGTATATTATTTAAATAGCATAAATCTTCACTATAGTATTTTAAAAGATTAACTATTCGCTCTTCTTTTTCAAATCCACTAAAAGACTCCTTAAGACCCATTATTTGTTCTACGATTTGACTTAATGCTAAGTAAGTCGTTGCAGAATGAATTGAGGTTAAACATAAATAACATACATTGAAATTTTCGTTTCGAGTAAACCTTGCCATCCATTCTAAAAGTCTAGATTTGCCTATGCGGCTTTCGCCTATGAGCAATAAAGCATCAAAACTTCTATATTTTAAATGGTGATCATTAATCCAATCCTCAAAATATTCCATTTCATCATGACGATTAAGCAAGGGTGGAATTAAAGGTATATTGAAGAGTTCTTTTACTCTAATTTCTTCTGTATATTCAAAAATTTTACCTGGTTGAACTATTCCTTTGAGCTCTACCGGTTGCTGTAGAGTAAATCCATTACTGGACATCTTACTTTTAACGAAAGTAGCTTCATCACAAGTAATCTTATTATGAAAACCACACATAAAACGTGCAGCTTTATTAACAATTGCGCCTATTACAGTAAATTCTCTGCGCAGCGGATGGCCCACTACCCCGCAGTAAACTTGACCAGTAGTTACACCAATAGATACTTCGAGAACCCCGTCAAGAGCTGACACGGATTTCTTTACACTATAAGCACATTTCAGCGCAGCTTGGGCCTCTGATTCATGTTTGAATCCTCGTAAACCAAAAATCACTAAAATCATTATGTCTTTGTCGAATAAGATTATTTTGTTAACACAACCCATAGACTTATATACAATTTCACAAGTAATTTGATATGAATTATTAACAATAGTTATAAGTTGAGGAAAAGAACATTCTTTCGGCTTAAGAGTTATAAACAAAACAGAAACTTGTCTCATTTCTGTCAAATATTCCAGCGGTTGATGTGCATCAATTTGTGTTAAAACTGGTCTAATCATAAATTTTCTTATATCGGCACCAATATTTCTTTCTTCAGCTAATAAAATTGTTTTGCGGAGACTCAACCATTCATTCTTCTTCAATATAGCCGATGAGTTTAAATTTTTAGAATCATCTAAAAGGAAATCCGCAACATTTTCTAAGGCAATATATGGCTTATTAACTTGTCGGATCATAGCCCCGAAACCGAGAAAAGGCTTACTTACATCTTTTTCATGTGGGTCATAAAGTATTGCTTTTATTGTAACGTGTCCATCACCGCTTATAACATGATCATAGTTTCTCGAGTAACAATGACCCCAAGCGGTTGGCGTTAATTTTACTTCTCCAGATGCGCAAAGGCTTTCTGCAATTTTAGCTTCAAGTACAGGTAATCCAACGATAATGTAATTCATGTCTATACCAGATTCGATGGGTGCAAATATAAGGTTACCAGCCGATATTGCTAATTTTACTTTTAAGTTAACTTTAACATCAGTTTCATACGATCCATAAGAATGCTGAATAATTAGAGCGCAAGCAATCGCCGTGTGGATTGTGTGACATAAAAACGTACGTTTATCAGTTTTCCAAAGAGCTAAGAATGCATCCCCGGCGAATTTGATTATGTCGCCACCGTGACTATAAATTACTTCTATCAGAGATCCTAAATATGTGTTTAAAGTTACTGTCAATCTGTATGTACCACTTTTGCCTGTATTGTTATATTTTTCAGACAAAGCTGTGTATCCTGATACATCAGCCATCATCAACACGCCAACGAATCGTTTCGAATCTACGCTGTTGAAACTGAAATATAAATAAATTATCTTATCATTAAAAGTAATTTTAAAATATTTATGTTATTTAAAAATAATTATACTTTTATAATTACTTATCCATGAGAAGTATTTGATCTGGTACAAGTGTAGATAGAATAAGAGTTTGTTTCTTTGTAAGATTTACTTCCACATCCTGGTCAGTCTGATCAATAGTCACGTTATTTTGCGAAAATAAATCTTCCATCCAGTCTTTTAAATCAGCTGTTTTAGGCATGTCGTCTTCCGAATTTCCCTCAGTATCTATATCGCGACGTGAAAGTTTTCTGCTATAACTTCGCCACCTTTCTGTACTAACCATTATATTCATAGAGTTTCTATGTGACCGCGCTCGTGATCTTCTAAAATTCATTTTGTTTAAATATTACAAATAATTTTTCTAGAAATACCAAATAGATTATGTACACTTTTAACTTAACCTATATCTACTTATGTCAAAATCTACGTGGTTGTGAAATTTTATGCTCTAATATTTTATCATGATAAAGTTTCACGAAAAATAGTAATAATATTAAGAAGCAGTCCGATTTTTGTTATAAACGTAAAGTATTGAGACGACTATTCTTCTTCGTAAATAATAATGTTCTTCGTTCTATATCGAAAGTTATTGATAACTTCGAGACTTCCATTTTAATATTAAATATGCAAAGAGGTTTCTATATTTTTTTAACACACCTATGACTCATTTTTTCATTTAAATACACGCGGCCGTATATTTGATTCCGGTGATGTAAAAAGCGAAAAAGAAACAGGGGTGTAACATATTTTTTTTAAGAATGGAGTAAAGAACGATAGTATTTATTTCAGGGAGTGAGAAAAATTGAAGTAAATAAAGCTATGAAAATAGATGCTAAACTCTGCTTAGAATTAAATTAGAATGTACCTGCGAACTAATATGTGATTAGTGCATAGCAACTGAATTAGACATTTGTGACCCGCCTGTATGTATACCTGTGTATATGATACCGGCCGAACTAGATTTCAGGCCAAATTGGTTTGTCCTAGGCCAAACAGGTTCATCCAAAGTGTGACAGGATATACTAGTTTAGTCCGGACAAAATACTAAATACTTTAGGTTTAACTAGTTTAGTCCAGGCCGAACAATTTTGAGGTATTATTTGGCTGCTTAGTATATGGGACGTGACCTCTGGAGGAGTGGGTGGTATTATTATGTGACAGATCCCACTTGGATAACATAGGTTGAGAAGGCTGAAGTGAGAACGAAGCGTAGCGTAGCTCCCGCTTATTTTTCATTAGATATTTTTTGTTTATTTTAAACCCAGAAACCCCAATATCATAAGTGCTATGTTATTTCAAACTAGCTATACCTAAAGTATTTAGGCCAAACTAGATTGTCCTGGGCTAAACTAGTATATCCTACCACATTTTGGGTAAACCGGTTTGGCCTAAAGAAGGCCAAACTAGTTTGACCTGCAATTTAAATAGTATCTTATTACATCGAAATATTATTTTATATAGTTAAAAAGTTATAAAATCGTGACTACAGGGTATATAAATGTATGAATTTTGTATTTAGTGACTGGCTTTGACACGTGATCGTTTTATTTAGCAACAACCACTAAACGTGAAAGAGGGATTACGTTTAGCGGTTATGTTACCACAAAGAGGTTGTATAGGATTTTTCATCTTTGAAATGTTTAACAATAAGTTTTTTTATAAGTATGCTCATTAATATGGATTGCAATAATTACTCATCCTTACCACTAGTTGGTCGTCTTACTAATATTAAAAGTGTGAAAGTTTAGATGTTTGGATGGATGTTTGTTACTCAATTATGCCAGAACCGCTCAATGGATCTGGATGAAATTTGGCACAGTCAGTCAGTTACTTTTTATCGCGAAAAATGTACGGATCCCGTGGGATAGATTTGTTTTGGTTTTTCATAATTTAAAAAAAATAAATAAATAAAATTGGCTTAAAATTCCCATGGCATATACATTTACTTGATACTTTTATAAGCAATGCGGTGGATAGCACAAAAAGTACATAGTTACTAGTGTAAAGCACGCGGAAAATAGTAGAGACATGATGGAACGCGAGTGTAGCCAGTTATGGATAATGTAAACATTAATAAATTATCATGTCTGCAGGCATTTGTGGAACGTCCTATCTTAAGGCGGGTGCACAATGCACATAGCAAGCAGCGCTCGGAAACTTTTAACTAGTCAAAAGTAAAGCTTACACATATTATTTCCATTGTTATAGGTATACCTACACATTGAATTCACTTAGGTACTTTATTTTTTTTTTATCATTATTTCTGAGGAAATTTTATTAATATATTATAGTATACTATATCAATAGAGCTTAATTATTTTGGTTTATCGACTTATACTAAATGACTATAATAAGCGACCCTTTTCTATAACACCCATACTCCATACCTCAAACTTAAATATTTGGCACGTACTTCGATAATTTTCGGAGATATACCAAAATTATATCACTCATAAATTATATAAAAAAATAACTTTAAAACTATTTTTAGAAAAAAATACACATGGTTGTCACCCTTTAGAATTAGCTTTTGTTGAATAGTATACATATTTACATTATGAGCAATTGTATATGTACATAGCTTAATGAATTTTTGGCGGCGATACTTAAAGTTATGCAGTCGCACGCAGTCCTCCGGTGACACAACAAGCTTTTAAGTTTTTCTATTTATTGTAAAACTGAAAATTAATATGTGGATGTTAGTATAACAATAAAAATTGTAAAATATCGATCATGGAGATGAACGGTCATTCGTTTTTAAATAAGATTTTTGGAATTCTGAAAGATGAATCAGCTCATCACGTCCCGCTGATCCAGTTTAAGCATCCAAAAGAATTAGAGGTAAGAATATATATTAGAAATAAACTTTGCAATTCTTGAACTTAGACTTATTTACAAGTAGGTACTTTACAAAGGTAAAGACTAATAAATATTAAATTTGCATACGTACCGGTTTTTATAGTATTTGTATAGATTATATGCAAATAAATGACAAATGTCTATCCTGCTAAGTTAATAAATATATTAATAAAAAATTTACAGGAAGTTTTAAGTGAAGAATTAGATATGTCAAGGAGGGTAAATGATTCTGAATTAGAACAAATTGTTAGAAAAGTTTTACAATATAGTGTAAAAACTAATAAAACGACATTTAGAAATCAATTGTACGGAGCACCGGACCCTTACGGGCTGGCTGGCGCATGGATTGCTGAAGCATTCAACACAAGTCAGTGAGTATTTTTTTTTGTAATAAACATCGTTAAGACGATATGCTATTCTACAATTTTTGAAAAATAGAAACTTAAAAAAAAGTAATATGGAAAAAACATTATGATTTAACTAGCAACTTTTCCACGCTTCACTCGGTTGCGTCTTAGTGCCAGGTGCCTAACTACTGTTACTTCAGGTCAGGTCTCTCCGTATACTAAATTTGGTCCAAATCAGTCCAGCCTTTTTTGCGTAAAAGAGTAACAAACATGTACACACACATACAAACTTTTTAAATATTAATAGGATTTTAATACAGGATTTTAAAATTTCCTTTCTTCAACAAGTGTAGAATGCTATCTTGTTAAAGCCAGATAAGAAATAGTTCAATTAATTAACAATTCAATTTGCGATATTGCAAATTGCATTACATAAAGGTTAATAAACTTTGCCAGTGTTCAAGGTTTGATTCTCGTAGAGTTAATATTAAGTTAGTGTAAGTAATATCGTAGTCTGAGTGATGACCCAGATTAGGTATCATCCAATCACGTGTGGGATTTTTTTATGCTAAAATGCAACAGTCAATTAATATAATCAATTAGCGACTCACCCTCACTTTTCTCGGGTTCGTTCCTAGCTTGCTTCCCCATACAAACTTTCATTCCCATTCTCACCCCCTTAAGGGATTATTTCCGGGATAAAAACTATTTCACTCACTCACTTTTCATATCATGAGATTTAAAAAAATCTTATTTTAGTTAAAAAAATGCTTTTAACCTTTCAAAGCACGCGGAGCAAAAGGTGGCTCGGTTAACAATTAATGTCTTAGAATTTTACCGCGAGGTGTTAATTTTCTTCTATACAAAACTTGTCCTGACAATAAAAAACACAAAAAAAAAGAATTATCCAATTTGGTGCAGTTGATCGGAAGTTATGAGCGTACATACATTTCGGTGATTCATTTTTATTTATACATATAGATTAGAATATTATATAGTTCAACAAATGCTTATACAAATTAGACCATCCGGTATAAAATTTCAGGTAATGTAATGGAGAGCTAATGATAATCTTTTTGGATTTTTGCGCGAATTTATTTTGATTTTTGGTTCCCGACGTTTCGAATGCTTTACAGCAATCATGGTCACGGGAGATACTCTCTCAAAGATAGTTTAGAGTTAATAAATACTAAATTGGGCAAAAAATTGTTTTTGAAATTTTAAAGAAACCCAGTTTCGAAAGTTAAGGTAAAGTTTTATTCTATCTCTCGCACTTACTATGAATATATTTATTTTAGGTATACTTTTGAAGTAGCGCCAGTCTTTACCCTTATAGAGTTAAATGTTCTCAATCATATTCTCAATTTATTCAACATTCCTGATGGAGACGGCATATTCAGTCCTGGCGGAAGTATTTCGATGTTATACGCGTTGGTCGCCGCTAGATATAAAGCGTTTCCGGAAGTTAAAACAAAAGGCATGAAAAATATTCCGGAAATGGTCATTTTTACTTCTGAAGATGTAAGTCCATGTTATAATTCACTTTGTGTATATTTTTCATAGAAACTAGAGTTTAATATAATTTAATAATTTCTCAGTTCTATCATAAAGATCATTCATTTACTATATTACAATTATGCTACGTTTTGCTACATGGAGTGTGACCTTATAATATATATGATGAAATATTTCCTTAAAATTAATAATCAATGAGTATATCTTTCGTATTTTTAGAGTCATTATTCTATAAAGAAAGCTGCACACTGGCTAGGTTTTGGTACAGAGAATGTGAAAGTTATAAAAACAAATGATCAGGGACAAATGGTGCTAGCAGAACTGGATAAAGCTATTCAAAATGAAATATCTGCTGGGATATCCCCTGTATTTGTTAATGCTACGGCAGGCACTACTGTACTAGGAGCTATTGACGATTTAGTCGGTATCGCTGATATATGTAAAAAATATGAGATTTGGATGCACGTTGATGTAAGTTAATTTTTATTCTTTCTTAAAATTAATATTCTTAACATAGAGGCAAGTTATGTAGCATTGACAACTATTATGAAAATTTCATAGAGAATATATTTGAAAGAGAAGTAGTAACTTATGTATTTTCAGTTGAAATTTGAACATCTAATCACATTTTGTATAAAAAATTGTATACCTATTGTATACTAAATATTTATACATTATATTATTGAATTTCTTCCCTATAATTTTTCAAGGCATGTTGGGGCGGAAGCTTGATGTTATCGCCGAAGATTCGTGATAAATTAAGAGGAATTGAACGGTAAGTACCTGGTATACGGTAAAGTCATAGCCGAAATTGTTCTAAAAGACCTATGTTGGATATTAAATAGAAAATTTGCACTTTCAGAGCGAATTCTATATCTTGGAATCCACACAAGATGATGGGAGTTCCCTTGCAGTGCTCGGTGGTTTTATTGCGGGAAAAGGGATTATTGCATGTAGCGAATGCGGCAGCGGCACAATATCTGTTCCAACAGGACAAGTTCTATGATGTCCGATACGATACAGGAGATAAGAGTATTCAATGTGGACGAAAGGTAACGAATATATCAGAGTTCACCCTCTTAAGGTCCTATGTTTTAACTACCTCTATGGTCTAGTAGTAGGATGTACGGCTGTAGATCCGGAGGTCCTGGGTTCGAGTACCGGGTCGGGCCAAATTTAGTTATTGAGGCTTTCTTATGAGAAAGTCTCAGTAACAGCCTGGACTTGGGAAATTGGCGGGGTTTCAACCCCGTGCTACGGAGGGTGCGTAGAGCCGATCTCTCACCGATCGAATGTCGTGTCGAATTGTCGTCCCGACGGAATTTTAGAGTATTTTTAAAAATTTTAGACAGTACCCTTCATTTGTCGAAGTAATTACTTTCAAACATCCTACACAATAATATACCCTAATACATGTTGCTTTTACATTTATATATATATTTATATATATATATATATATTATATATATATATATATATATATATATATATATATATATATATATATATATATATATATATATATATATATATATATATATAAATTAACACACATCACCATCTAATTCCATAATAAGCTACTAGGCTTGTGTTATAGATACCAGATAGTTGACATACTGCACATATATAACTTTAAATACATACATATTATAAATATATATACATTTCATATAAATTGAATAGTAAGAGATAGATGAAAAATAATAAATTTCTTATGATAACATGATACATTTAAATACTGCACTACATCACTTATATCAAATAGGATTATTAGAAGTGTCAAAGACCCGTTGTCAACTGATATTTAAAATGAAAGAACATCTATACATATAATAAAATTCTAAGTCGAATCTGTACTTTAAAATTTTTTTGGAAAATCTTATTGAAATAGTCATTATTATCGATACAGAGGCCAAATCTATAGTTTTTTGAACTTTTGTCTGTCTGTCTGTCTGTCTTTCTGTCTGTCTTTCTGTCTGTCTGTCTGTCTGTTACCGCATCACGGAAAAATACTGGAGGGATTTTGATGAAATTTGGTATGGTGATAGCTGGTTATCTGGGTCAACATATAGGATACTTTTTACCGCAGGAAAATATCTCATTTCTAAGAAAAAATACAAAAACTGTAATGTAAGAAGAAGATAATGTAATGTAAGAGTATAATGTAAGAGTATACTAATATGTTAAACCTAAGTATTTAGATTTTGGTCATCTGAATGCGGGCGGAGCCGCGGGCAATGCTAGTAACATATAAGTTTTATTTTAATTGATTCAGTCCAAAGTGCATATTAAGCGATATTATTAAAGGACAGTGTTCTTCGTTTAAGCAAATAGGGTGTATTTGCTTACACGAAGGAAGCACGCACGAAGCATTCTTCGAAACCGTAGACAGAATTAAAGGTGTAAATAAATGTTAATCAATGGATATGTTTTGGAGCTTATTCATTATCTCCGACTTATGAAGAAGTCGCCTTTATAAACATGATATTCTTATACGATAAATAAATAATTAAAATATACGAGAATATAATTATCGGTATATTTCTTATAAATTACCTACTTCCTGCATATCTCGAGTAAATAACTCAATAACTCAAACTGTTTATTACAATCTACATATACATATATGTACATATGTATGTATATCCATTTACCAAAACGAACTAAAAAGATGGGAAAAAGCCGACGCATAGGAAAATCTAATATATTTTGATACGTAAAATACATATTTACCTATTAGATATTCATATCTTAAAATATTGTCCGCTGGCACCGACTTCGAAAATATCTGATTAGGTATCTATTCTAAATGAAAACCCCCGTTTAGCTATTTTTTACATTTTAGTGCCTGAAAGTCAGTTTTTTTATATTACAAATGGCTATTAAATGATAACGTATTATTGTATGCATTGCAGTTAATATATAATCGTAATTAATTTCTTATCGTTTCGATTATGTCACATACATGGGAGTAAGTAAATGAAATGGTAGACTATGTACCTACTTAAAGTTAATTACTAATATAGTAACGAACCGTCCTCGCTTCGTCCAAGTGTTACACCAAATTATTTACTGGTTAATAGTTATATATCTATCTATAATCTATTTTATATATATATATATATAGGTTTAATAATCTTGTACGTTTAGAGCACCATCCACCGTGTCTTGTAGGAACTATCTCGAAACCCTTTTCGACATGCGCTCATACATAAAGCTTTATCGCAATAAGTATCGTTTAAAACTTAAAAGCACAAACAGATAAATATGTATTCATTTATATATTTAGATTTTTAAATCGTGTCATTAGTAATCAATTATTATGCCAAGGAAATTCGAATGTCCGGCCATTTATTTAACGTATTATTCTTTTTGGTACTCCTTAAATTTTAAGGCTTCGACTTCTTGTATTTTTATATAATCCACTAGGTTTTTTTTAGCGAGTAATCTTCTCTTGCGCTGGATTGAAATAAAATTTAGCTATTTTAAATACAAATTTAATATCAATAAGTATATCCTATTGCTTATATTAGTATATTATTCATGAATAGTGTTGTTTAGAGATAGAGATATTTTGAAGATAAGAGGAAATTTTGAAATTTACATCAATTAAAGGGACTCGCTCTAAAGCCAAAGCTTTTGACATTTACGTATCTAACTGGCAAAACATACTTAGCCTTACATGAATTCCTTCATTTAATTCTAGACATGAATTCTCTGTACGCGTGAAGATAGCAAGTTTCTTTCAATCCTCTCTTTCCTTTGTAACTATTGATTTTAGAGCTTTTCAATTGGCTTATTATTTTTAATATTTGTGTTACAGATTGATGCTTTTAAACTGTGGATGATATGGAAAGCTCGTGGAGACATAGCCTTAAGCCACTTGATGGACCACGTTATGGAAATTGCAGAATTTTGTTTAAACACTATTGCAGTAAAAGACGGATTCCGACTTGTTTCTGCTCCTATACAATGCCCTAATGTTTGCTTCTGGTATATCCCTAAGTTTATGAGACATCAAGAGGAAAATGACCAATGGTGGAATACTATGCACAAAGTAAGTATCGATGTGAATAGACATCTATGGTAGTTTTGATTGAATGTAATATTTATGCTTGTTTATATTATATAAGTACTTAGAAATCTCTCTTCACTGTATTCAAAATCGTTTTCAATAATATAACGCATTCAAATAACTCTGCAGCAGAGGTGCTAGAAGAATCCATGCTAATAATATAAATGTGGAATTTAATCTGTCTATCTGTCTGTTACCATTTCACGTTTAAACAGCTGTACAAATTTCGATAAAATTTAGCAAGCCATTCCGGTTACCACACGAGCGAAGTCGGGGACAAAAACTAATATTATTTACTAGGAGATAGTTGAAATAAATTTCCATCAAATGTATGACTGAATAATAATTACCTTTCATAAAAGTATGTTTGTTTTGAAAGTATAACTGAATTTTAGATTAAAGAAATCCTTATTTAATTGTCATTTAAAAAAAAAATTCTTGATTCCAGATAACCCCTAAAATCAAGGAGCTACTCACACTCAGCTCGCGTCTCATGGTGGCGTACTGTCCTTTAAGGCAGCATAAGAACTTTTTTAGACTAGCCTTTACTTTCCATCCCAAAATTGACGACAAGCAAGTGTTAGAAATACTTAACTCCATAGAGGAATGTGGAGAAATGATAACACTATCTATGCTTTAATTTTTTTAAAGTTTAAGTTTAAATTACATATGGAGTTAATTCAATTGCTTTGAAACACAGACTTTATCAATGTCACACAGAATGGATAAGACAAGACGGTCACTCTCCTTCGGTAAAATAAGTTTTTAATTACATTATATTCCACAAATGTACGAGTATGTATGGATTTATTCATATCAATATTGCAAATATAATATTCAAAACTAGTAGTGATATATAATTTGCTACCATTTTTACATAATTTACTTAAATATATGTGTTTAGGGTCGTGTCCTTTTAGCTGACATCCAGCTAGCTAGCCAAGGTGCGGTTGGCAGCCGTAACTGAAATCGGGTAGCGCTAGGAGGACAAGATTATACCAAAGCACATTTAAAATAAGATTATAATACATTATGAACATTTATGAATGAATAAAATGAATAAATTTATTATTTATTGAATATTTCAAAAGACAGCATTCAGCACAATCCATTCTAAGTACTGATCGACGCGGGTGTAGAGGCCGGGGTGTAACGCCTCTCCGCAGCGCACGCCCCACGACACCACGCCGATGATCGCCCAGCGACCGCTCGACATCTGGTACATCAGTGGACCTCCACTGTCACCCTATTTATCAAAAACTAATTATAAATACTTTCTTAGATTTACGCGAATATTTGACATTTTAAATATAACTATTTTTCGGATTTTTCGCGGATTTATTTGGATTTTTGGTTCCCGACGTTTCGAATGCTTTACAGCAATCATGGTCACGGGAGAGACCATGACCCCCCCGTCTCTCAGTCAGTCAGTCTCAAAACTCCAAATAAATCCGCAAAAAAATCCGAAAAGATAATTTTATTTACAAATTATTAAGATAACAGTAAATATCATACATATACATATATTATTACTGCCCGTGGTTTCGATCGCCTGCTTAATTCTATTTAGTTTTCAGACACAGAGCCTATCTCTTCGCCTAAACAGAAAAGATACAAACTTTTTCGTTCTATAATATCAAAATCAGTGCAAAATGCCGTGCTGCATCACAAACGTCATCAAAATCATCGTTCTTCGATTTGTCTGTGTTTATTTTAAGGCTTATATAAAAATATTAAGCGAATGCATGGTAATTCATGATGAGGCTCATGACTGCCTCTGTACCTATCTATAGAGTATAAACTACATTTTAAAACTATAAAACAAATGACGATTGGTATGATATGAGTATCAGAAGTTAGCGCTGTAGTGACAATTTCTTGTTAATAATAACAAATCTTTTAAACCAGTTTTAAAGTAGCAGAATCAGAAAAAGAAATTAGTTTTCAGTATTTTTTTCTTATTAATTGCAAAAGTTGAATATTAAAAAATGTATGTATTAGGTACACGTATTAAAATAAGCTTTTGGTCGATTTCACCAACTCTAACTTTCGCCTAAGTTTAAGGGATCCCCTAAGCATGGTTAGGGGGCTTTTAGGGGACAGTTTCTGTTTCACCAACAGTTAGGGGTCACCTAAATGTTAAAATGCCACCTAAATATAGGTACTAGAAATACGGGCTCTGACGATGGTAAAACGAAATTTAATTTAGGGGCTAGTTTAGGGGAACTTTTAACCTAGGGATCCCATACGTAGGTGGTAGCTTATGGGATGTTGGTGAAATCGGACATTTGTCTTACATACCTGACAAGCGTCTTTCCCGCCTTCCTTACCGCCGGCACACAGTGTCTCATTGAAGACCGAATCGCTGAACGAGTTGACACAATCTTGGTGTACCCACACAGGGACGGATACTTCCATTAGAACATGGCTTTGCGGTCCACCGTACCACAGTGTACCCCAACCTTAGGAAGTTAGAAATGTAGAATTAAATTCAAGAGACTATTTAAAAAATTTCAAAACAACAGTAAGTTAAGAAATGATTGGCTTGTGTTTTATACTGTAAATTAAGATATCTGCATGTCTATATTCGAACTATCTCCATACATTGCTTAAACCAATGATTTTCCTCGCAGGTGTTAACATTTCAACTAAACTGTCAACTAAAATTTCCACCGATGTACCACGTTCTAAAATAACTTCTGTTTCCTAACCTAGCGAGAATCTTCGAGTTCGAGAAAAATTTTCAAAAGTATTTGTAACATTCACAATAATAATAATCTATACATATCATAAAATTCTGAGTCGAATCTGTACATTAAATATTTTTTCGAAAATCTTATTGAAATAGACATTATTATGGATACAGAGGCCGAATCTATAGTTTTTAGAATTTTTGTCTGTCTGTCTGTTACCGCATCACAAAAAACCACTGGAGGGATTTTGATGAAATTTGGTATGGTGATAGCTGGTTATCCGGGTCTAACATATAGGATACTTTTTACCGCGGTTTACTAATATGTGAATCTAAGAATTTAGTTTCGGTTATCTGAACGCGGGCGGAGCCGCGGGCAATGCTAGTAATATTAATAAGATTAAGTAATGAAGCATGAACGATATAGTGAAATACCTGTAACAGTAGCGAGTTCATTCTCTAGCGGCAGTCCTCGAGGCGGCAGACAGATCGGCCACACATATGTGTTAAACACTGCAGCTCGATGCAGCTTTAGTATGGCGATATCATGGTGGTAATTGGTGTGGTCAAACAACTCATGCTGGCGTATTTCAATAACGCGGAAATTGTAGGAACGAGAGTCATTTGTCCTCCGGAAGTCGTATTCGCCGAGACGAACATATAACTCTTCGGCTTTCCACCTGTGTTTAATTAAATTCAATAAGTCAAGTTATGTTTCATGCATTTTGAAACTTAGCGTCAATTTTTTTCTGTAAATTACGAGTAAGGCCCTCTATTTATTTTCAAAATTCTAGACAAATTAACAATGCTCATTTTTTAAATTTGGATTTTTAAATGACCAAATAAATATATTCATGGTCATCGATCGAGTCCCTAAATTAACCTCTTAAAATAAGTATCCTATATAAATATATCCGTTATTATACAATGTATACAACACTTGTTTATAAGTATATTTACCAGAAATTCACTTTTTTTTCTAAGTTTTGTATGACGAAACAAATTACTTCGGAACTTTCCCAATAAGTCACAGAATTTATCAATACCTGAGCTATATAGTATAACTTTAAACAAAGTTAAGGTCATGTTCCGTAGTATGTCAAGTTTTTAACCGACTGCAAAGAAAAGGTTATGTTTTTAATATGGTTTTAATGTTTATTTGTAATATTCTTTATTCCCTCATATCTTACAAACACGATGGATTTTTTTAATTAAGGTATCGTTAGATTTGTCTCATTTGTCCAAGTGTTCTTAGATAGGGGACATAAAATAAATTAATATGGGGGTTGCTAGATTCCACAATGTGAAAAAGTAAAAAATGAAAATCGACGAATTATGTCGAGTTCCCACTTGTTATCGTTGAATAGGTATTTAAAATCATTTTTAGTTTTCTTTCATCATTTTTCATTTTAAATAATTTGCCATAAAAATAATGATTCCGCAGGCTTTATACACAAGTACAGAAATTAAATAAAAATAAGTACATAATTTGTATATAATCAATAAAGAGGTAAAGAATATCACCATCAATTAATAACAGTTGATAATTCGGTTAGAAAATATTCTTGATAAAGGAATTATGATTTTTAGTATTTATTAATTTTAGTAAAAATATTCGGTAAAAGAGTTTGTTAAAGTACATCTCAAAATACAAATATATATTACATATATTACTTTTAGTTTACTTTCAGTTGTATGATTGAAGACTTCGACTTTCAATCAGTCGATGTATATGTGTCTTCTTTGGAAAATAATAATAGATACCTGCGAGTGCAATGGGCGGCGGTCATAACATGACGGTCGGTGATGAGAGTCCCACCGCAATACTGTTCGAAACCTTCAGGGGTGATTGAGGCCATCCACGGCCACTCCCGGGGGTTGGCAGGACGAGCGCCTACCGCCCGACTCTGGGCTCGAGTGCTTAGACCACACCCTGTACCATTGAATCAGATATGAATATAAGAAAACTGTATTAATTAGAGAGGTTAATTGTAATGATTCGTTAATGTTAATGAAAGATCAATCGTCGAAATCAATTATGATCTGAAATATTCAGCAAAGGGATTCCTCTTTGTGATCTATGTATGTATATCGATATTTCAGCTGTAGTTTTGCTTTAAGGTCTAAGAAAATCGATAGTAGTGGTAATACTATTATTCAACCCATTTTAATGTCCCACTGCTGGGCACAAGCCTCTCTTCAATACGAGGTTGAGGCTATAATCCACCACGCTAGCCAAGTGCGGGTTGGCGGACTTCACATGTCTTTCAAAAGTTTGTTCTCAGACATACAGGTTTCCTCACGATATTTTCCTTCACAACAAGTGGTAATCATGTTGGTAATGATTTCCACATGAAAATAACAGAGGGATCAAACACGGCCTCTAGGCTACTGCCTCGATAATATTAGATATTATTAGATAATCGATATCACATAAATAAATATTTACTTTAAAAAATAATAAAATCATTGAGCTTTACGTACATTTTAATAAACTGTATCATGTTGGCATTAAATAAGAGCGTTATCTGTGTTGTTTACTACTTACTTAACAATATACTGTGCGATAAATATACATGTTCCACTTTGAAAAGTAGAGAATATTTTTATACTTTCATATCTTTATATATATAATTCTTCTGTGAGTGTGTATGTCACTGAACTTCTCTCAAACGACTGGACCGATTTTGATGAAATTTTTTGTGTGTGTTCAAGGGGATCTGGGAATGGTTTAGATTCACAATTTGAATAATAGTTTTCATCAAAAAAATTATTAAAAAAAGTTTGAAATTTTCAAATTAAAGACGTGTAGACAGGACAACGTCTGTCGGGTCCGCTAGTAATAGTTATAATTAATATTAATAATTTATTTATATGAAAAGATATTTCTAAGTACAAGTTAATAAAAGTTGTGATAAATAAAACAACCATTCAATATAAATCATTTAATGTAAACATTACACACCTCTATTTTCAGCTCGATTAGAGATCTTGACTGTTATCTCATTTTCATCTTTTGGAGCAGTCGCGGGCAGGTCACCTGCGAGCGCTTCTAGTGCGCCCTCGCCCAAGCTGTCCGGGCAGCACACACCGATGGCTCTAAAACAAACCAAATGTTGTAAAAAGTAGAAAAAGTATGTGTTAAAATAAACTTAAAAGAGAACTTGATAAATCCATTTTGTTAATGATAAACAATTCTTTAATTTTATTTTCCCATTTTACATTTATCTGCCTTACATTTAACGAATTAAAGTTGCCAAGAATAATAACAGCATCTGTATGTATATAATAACTGTACATTAAATATTTTTTCTAGATAGCGGACCGAATCTATAGTTTTTTAAAATTTTGTCTGTCTGTCTGGGAACGCGTCACGAGAAAACCACTGGACGGATTTTGATAAGATTTGGTATGATGATAGCTGGTTACCCGGGTCAACATATAGGATACTTTTTACGGCAGGAAAATATCTCAGCTTTGAGAAATCTATACTGAACCGTTAAAACGTTCAGAGGGACGTACCCGAGCGGAGCAAGGGCGAGTCGCTAGATGAAATATATATACTCGATTCGAAAAATATTAACGCTTATAACTTTACTTTATAATAATTACTATATTATGTATGTATTAAAACTAAAACCTATTAATGTGACGACTCGTTTAGCTCAGTTTGCAGTGACCCTACATGCCGTGCCAGCGGTTGCGGGTTCGAGTCCCGCTGGGGGCATTCATTTGTGTGATGAGCACGAATGTTTATATTTATAATATGTATGCATTTAAAAGTTATATATGTGGAGTGTATCAACTATTTGGTATCCATAACACAAGCCTCGTAGCTTACCATGGAACTAGATGGTGCTGTGTGTTAATGTCCCAACACATTTATATTTATTTATGTAAATTTAATTAAATACTTATATCAGTTTACCGACTATATTAAAAACCACCTTTCAAAACCTATGTAATATACTTAAATTCAAATTATCAAAGCTTATATTGATCATGTCAAATATTCAAAATTATTTCGTTATTTTGCGATAATATTTACAGAATAAATCTGAGTTTAAGTGTGTTTTATTAAAGTTTAAAGTAGAAACATGGAACATGCAATATGCATGCCTCACGTATTATCACGACTCACGACCAGATGGAAGTCTAAAAATAATGATTACAACATTATTATGCCGTCATTTATATATGAAGATATTGCCTAATTTTGTGATTTTAAACTTAAATAAGTTTTTTTATATCTAATTAAGTATATATTTTATATTATAAGGTTTAATGAATATAAGACATAGTTAAAGAATTATAAATCTGATCGGCACTGTCTATTACTCGCTATGTGCGCATATTAATCGCTATATGGAAGCAATAGTGAGAATTGAGAAGTTTTTTTTGCATTTTAAAGCTTATTTATTGAATAATATATTGGTACTGATTATGTATCATTACCCAGAAACACAAAACTAACTTTGACAAGTTACTTTAGTGTTTCTTTATTTGTCTAACTAATAAAGCTCTATGTTTGTTCTCGTCAGTCGTCACCTAACACATGACTACTCTCGATACTAACGACTAGCACAGCAGGAAAACACTCAGAAAATCGTCAATGAGCCTTTTGTCTCAAAAAATCATATACGTACGAGTGCTGTATAATGCAGAGATAATCCATAAATTTCATAAAATCCCTTTGAAAGTCTTCTTGAATGCAATAGTGTAAATGGCGACAGTGGCCAGGCTTGCCGTCCGGGAGGAGGCACGCTTGATGCGGGACGTTCGGCTAAAACAATTAACTATTGTTTAAGAGGATATCGTATAAATCTAGGCACATCTTGTGGTACTTTGCATAAGTACAAAAGAAATATTTGTTTATTTGTATAGGGCAGCCTTTTTTAATGTTATGTTCAATTCTCTTAAATATATAATAATTGTGCTGGATTTTATTAATGAGTGATTTCAGTTTAAACAGTTTTTTCTAATAGTTTATATTTTTTTATTGATTTTTTTTCTATTTTTTCATAACATACCTAAAGTGTACACATGCTTTTAAGCATGTGCTAAAAGAAGCTTTCACTTACCTGGTTGTCATTAAGCTCCACGAAACGCTTAGAACGTCCGTGTCCGATGTGCATTCCTCCAGCGGAAAACAGATCCTGCCATTCTGGATCGACAAGTCCCGCTGTGAAAAAACTTGACATTTGAAAAAGCTTTTAAAAAAGCTTCATTGTATCGACTTTTTTTTAAAGCATGTACGTGTCTATGTTAAAATAAAAATAATACAATATAAACAATTTTAAGAAAAATACAATACGATTAGTTTCATGCTACTATTAGTTGCATGCCTATGGGTGAAACAAAAAGCTCGAATTTATAGTCTCTACATAGCGAATTTGCATGACAAACTTAAAAATAGTAGTATATATGAAGTAAAAATGAGAAAATTTAGAGAGTTATAAAATATAAACTTACAGGCGACTTTTATTGCTTCACAATTTATAGTCAAACTGACTAATATCAAAAGACCCCACATGGCCAGAGTTCGTCTCGTCACTGAATATATTTTAACTCAACATTTAGGACATAACGGATGTCGATAGTATGATAATAATAAAACAGTATATAATCCGCAGGATGTGAATATGATAGCAAAACTCGCAAAAAATATTAAAAAAAAATTAACTGTACCTATTCAGCACTACTACTTATACTAGCATTCAGCATTAGCTCCGCCCGCGTTCAGATGACCAAAAACCAAATTCTTAGGTTTTACATATTACGAATAGTATACCCTTACATTACAGTTTTTGTATTTTTTCTCAAAAATGAAATATTTTCCCGCGGTAAAAAGTATCATATATGTTGACCCGGATAACTAGCTATCATCATACCAAACATCAAAATCTGTCCAGTGGTTTTCTCGTGATGCGGTAACAGACAGACAGACAGACAAAAATTCTAAAAACTATAGATTCGGACTCTGTATCGATAATAATGTCTATTTCTATTAGATTTTCCAAAAAATATATTATGTACAGATTCGACTTAGTTACAATTTTATTATATGTATAGATTGAATAACATCAAATGTTTTAGCTTTTTCATATATTGTTCCTTAACAGTTAGATAGATGAGTTCATGTCTAGGTAATGTTGACATTCATGTTAGTAATGTATGTTTGTAAATCACGTAAAAACTGTTAAACGATGTTTAATAATAGTTTATAGTTTTGAATTTAATAAGTATAATTTATATGTACAGAATAACTGTTACTTTTCCCGTGCATAAATGTATTTAATATTATTGCCCGTTTTTGCTTAATGTTTGATGAAATAAATGAGTCGTATCGCAGTGTTTATAGCTAAGACATTTTCTAGGAAATCTCATTAGGTATAAATTGAACGTTTTGAAAGCTAATATAAAATACTAGCTATCGCCCGTGGCTTTAGTCGATAGTATACTTCTATTTATTACAATTATTAAACATGAACTCCGCTTTATACGAGTATGTAAGAGCGCGTGGAACGCGTACGGTTAAAGCTTTCATCTCAAACCATTGTAAGATACAACGGGTTAAAGTTATATATTAAAAATGGCATTACAAAACAAAGAGACAAAAAGAAAAAGTTTTTTTTTTCAATTTACTTACGTTTTTCATAAGAAATATTTTCAAACATTCACACATTTTATTTTTAAAACATTCGGGTACAATTGTATTATATGTAAAAACTAGTTACTGCCAGTGACTTGACCCAAAAAATGTTGTCTAAGGTTTAACTAGAATCTTAATAACCTATCCATGATATTCTTTATTAGATATAGGAATTTGACTTGATTTTTGTGAAGCTTATTATGTCAATTTAGGTATATCTTAAGAAGTAAAACTTCAGATAGGTAGGTTTTTGGAACCACCTTATGTCAATCTAGGGCAAACAATCCTATAAAGTCCCACTAGCATGACGATAGAGTTCCATTGTGAGTTTCTGAGTCTCACGGCCCCCCCTGTTTACGGTCAATGGGACATAGATGAATTTTCCTATCAAAATAAATTGATAGATTTATATCTGTTAAGTTCAATGACTTAAGCGAAGCATACAAACTCACTCACTAACTTTCGCAAAAATAGTAATGTGATTACGCTAATGAATATTTTAGCTTTATAATATGCAAGAAAATACCTTCGTATTAAAGAGAAGTAAACGCAAGATATTCGCATTCGACATTTTAAAATATATTTATACTATTAACTTATGGTCTCAGAAGTGTAAAGACCGTGGTTCCCGGTGTTCATCTTTTATCGCCTATGATTATTATATTTGCCCTTTTAATGTTTATTAATGTAGAGACTTTAGGTGCTCATATTATATGTTTACTTAATATGCAGTGAGTAAATATTTTATATACTAGCGACTTACCCTTGCTTCGCTCGGGTGGTTTCCTAAGCTTCAATGGTTTAGGTAGGTACGCATAAAAGACAAACATTCATAGAAAAATTCTTTTTTTTTGCATCAGGAACCTTTTCAGGCGTATACAGATTAACCCATCAGAGTTTCTTTACAATTGGAGCAATCGTTTCGGAACACATAGAGGACGAACATACGAAAATTCTTTTTTATTCATATACATAGATATTATAAGACATTTTAATTTTACGAATATCCTTCTTTTATTGTAAACTAGCATTGCCCGCAGCTCCGCCCACGTTCAGATGACCGAAAACCAAATTCTTAGGTTTTACATATTAGTATATTCTTACATTGCAGTATTTGTATTTTTTCTCAGAAAATAGATATTTTCCCGAGGTAAAAAGTATCCTATCACCATACTAAATTTCATCAAAATCCCTTCAGTGGTTTTTCCCTGATGCGGTAACAGATAGACAGACTGACAAAAATTCTAAAAACTATAGATTCGGTCTCTGTATCGATAATAATGTCTATTTCAATAAGATTTTCCAAAAAATATTTAATGTACAGATTCGGCTTAGTTAGAATTTTATTATATGTATAGATATTTTCATAATATAGGCGACAAAAAAATCCTTGGAATACAATTACTAATGTCGTTTGAAATGAGCGGTTGTATGTCGAAATCAAATATTACGATACATTCCTGGGGGCAATTGTTTAGGCTACGGTGTACAGCATTATTCGAATACTGCGACGCCCATTCGAAATGGACCAAACGATATGTCAACACTGGCCGCTTTATTTAAATATAGCCTTTAATTTACATTCGTCAGAGTCTAATTTAGAGCAATATTTAGCCTCTCTCCTTGTATTGGTTCGCATTTGCCTAATAACAGGCTTAGTTATAAACTTAGTAAGGACGAACTAGGTTCCATAAATAGACCACAAGGTGCCATGGTTTCCCAATCTCAACAAGTTATTATTACATCAGCGTCAAGTGCCAGCGACTGAGACCGTCTAGACTCAGACTAGATAATTTGAAAATTGTCATAATTTTCAATATTATAAATTTCTATAAAAAATATATAAGTTTTAAGAGTAAAGAGTGATTATCATTTTTATATATGACTAACATTGCCCGCGGCTTCGCCCGCGTTCAGATGACCAAAAACCGTATTCTTATGTCTAATGTAGTTTTTGTATTTTTTCTCTAAAACGAGATATTTCTCGCGGTAAAAAGTATCCTATATGTTGACCCGGATAACCAGCTATCATCATACCAAATTTCATCAAAATTCCTCCAGTGGTTTTTCTGTGTTGCGGTAACAGACAGACAGACAGACAAAAATTCTAAAATCTATAGATTCAGACTCTGTATCGATAATAATGTCTATTTCAATTAGATTTTCCAAAAAATATTTGATGTACAGATTCGGCTTAGTTATAATTTTATTATATGTATAGATTAACTAAGATATAATTTACAAATGTGTTATTGAGACTTCAGAGAAATTAAATTTATGTCTGATAAATTGATTTAAATTTTAAAGCAAGCTAAGCTCATTAGAAATAATTTTAACTGAGATCGACTTTGAGAGAAAGGAGTGAAATTAACATTTCGTTAAAACTTAGGTACCTACACTAAACACAGTACACAGTTGACAGTTCGCTGTTATATTAAAGTTTTTTTACTTTAATAAAATGGCGCCTTGATTAAAAATATAGCAAATTATGCAATCCTATAAAATTGTTTGAACGTGATCACTTTGTAAATACGTAAGATTGCGGTAATAGAATGCAGGTTTTAGATTAAGTGCAATTAATATACGAGTAACATTATTCTGTTCGGGCGCCGGCGCGGGCGGAGGCTGCACCTTGCCTAATGATTGAGCTATGCTGCCTTTGAACTGCCTTTATAGAAGAATGCACTATATACGCAAATTGAATTTAAGTTGATGACAATTAAAACAGGTGTGGTCCAAAACTTATAAAATATTTATTTCTTAAATTACGCGTCATTCGAAAATGGCTGCACGGTTTTGAATGAAAGCTTTTTATACATATGATGATGAATTACTAAAACAAGTAAGTGTACACACTTTAATATCACTTAAAAGTAATTTTCCAACCCTGCAACCAATTGAACTAAACCTGACTGATGCCCAACCATGTGAACACAACACCCTCGTGACATAATTGGCGATGATATCACGTAACATACCTACTCCTAAAAAATAATCTAATCAAGTATTAAGTGAAAAGAAGCAACTTTTCGAAGCCCTTTAAAAACCTTAAGTCTTGTATATACTTGTTCTTGTTATTATAGGAAGTAGATATCACGCTTAGAGTATTATTTCTCCCTCGTGGATCCTTATCCTCATTAAAGAGCATTTGCAGAAGAATATTTCCAGTTTACTCGCTTGTTCGAAGAGAGCGTTAGACTTGTAAAATAATAATTGCTATCACATGTTTATTGATACATATATGCCAACTAATTAAGTAATAGAATTAAATTAGCATTAATTACTTCAAGCGTTTTAAATATTTAAAGATTTTTCATTTAATTCATTAATTATATGCGGTAGAGTATTAATTATTATTATTTCTATTAAATGGTATGTAATGTGTAAAGTAGAAGTACTGAATGCTAAAGAACTTGCCTCCAGAGAATAAAGAAAAAAGGTACTGTCAAAATAAAAAATAAACAAATTACCATGTACAGGTAAGTGCAAAAGAATATATGTATCTAATATCTATCCATGTATACGCATATATATTATACTTTGAATAAACACATGTAGAGCTATATAATATATAGATCACGTCTAAGACTAGCTCTATATTTTACTAATAGCAGTCCTTCAAATAACATGCCTTCCTCATATGCCACATATGTTAAAACTAAATAAGAACTGCCTTTCTTGATTTTTTTAAACAGGTACAAAATTTAGTTTTTGCTCATAATCTATACATATAATAAAATTGTTATTAAGCCGAATCTGTACATTAAATATTTTTTGGAAAATCTTATTGAAATAGACATTATTATCGATACAGAGGCCGAATCTATAGTTTTTAAAATTTTTGTCTGTCTGTCTGTCTATCTGTCTGTTACCGCATCATG